AACCTCTGCCGCTCCGAGCTCGCTCAGTGATAACCAACCCCCAACGGCTTTCTGTACCTCTGCTCATCCCCGAGAACCAATCGAATAGTGTCTACGAGCTTTGCTTAAGACACGACTTCAACAGTTGAACACAATGCCATAAGGGCAGCGTGTCTACTTGTTATATACTTTAGCAGGAGGATTTGCTCAGATTGCTTGGTATTGAGTATACTGCTCGTACCAAGTATACTGACGCAGCCTAACTGCTTGATTTGACCAAGATTGATGGTTGTAATGATGCAGGCCAGTAGGGAAGATGTCCAAAGTAAGTGTGAGTTCACTACAAGGCATATGGGAGTGCTGGGACGTTGAGAACACTAGGATTGAATTCCCTACACCTATAGGTCTTGTACAAAAGGATACAGAAAAACTACTCTATCTAAACTACAGTATTGGAGTCATTAAGTATCCCATTTGGAGAGGAATTGGAAGTACCCTTGTCCATGTGACAAGGAGGTAGTTTGCGACAGACAAGGAGCGGTGTGCTGAGACCTGCAGGAACCACATCGGTATTGGGGCAGATACAGTTGTAGGTGTTACAATGATCATACTGAGTATCGTTGATGCGGCCTCACTGCTTGGGTTGATCAAGTTGCTCCACTGAGAGTGATGATCATACTGAGTATTGCCAACGTGGCCCATTGCTTGGGTCAATCAATACTACAGTTCCTTGGCTCCTCTTGTATTGTTGCGTAGTCCTGTTTGTTCAGTGTTGTTGCAGGTTGCCCTTTGATCGTAACAAAAAGCACCTGGTTTTCAGCTACAAGTACCTGTTGAAGTCGTACTTTAAGCAAAGCTTGTAAGTACTTGTTACGATCAGTGGTACACTAGGTAGCACTGACAAGGATCGCTCTCACGCTAACGTAGGCAACAACAGAGCAGCGGCAAGTCTTGGTTAATCTGAGACGGGAACAAGGCCAGCTGTCAGACTGCATATATGCTCTCACTGATCTCACGATCTGACGTACAGCAACAGAGCACGTAGAGCACCCTGCATGAACGCTCCCACTGCTCTCACTGCGCTGTCAGATCACACAGAGCAGACAGATCACCACATAGACATGTTTAGTATACAGCATGTAGGAACACAACCCTTATGGTTTGTGTTCAACCTCATCAATTAAGTTTGTCATTGGATCTCAACCAACCTTCAAGCTAGACAGATTGCCTGTACTACTTATTGTTACCTCAAGCTGTTGTTAGGTGTTTCACCCAGGCAACTTACCCCTATTGTTCCAGAACCAGAGCTCATCCTTGAGAACCAATCAAATAGTACTTACGAGCTTTGCTTAAAGTACGACTTCAACACAGTGTTCCTACATGCTATATACTTGAATGATTGTACAGAGTCCTACAGTATCTTACTGTCTTATGAGATGTTGTCCCAAAGTCCCATGGGATATGTGAGACTGCGTGGGAATCCCATGGCTTGCTTGCTTCCATTCCATAGGACGCTAGACTACTTGTATCATCCTAGTGTACTCACGTGGCTGTGGGGTAGCTTGTACAATGGGCGCGGCTTCTCCAACGGCTGTTCTCCCTATGTTCAATAACCGCTGTGCCCAGGCCCAATAACTCCTTCTCTTCTGTACGTGTTTGTAACAGGGTCTCCACTAGGAGACCAAAGCATGTCCAAAGAGGCCCTGCTAAGCAAGGACACCTATCCTCAGGATCTATCAGCACAATAGAACAACAGATAGAAGTCTTGACCCTGTTTTGGGATTATACCATGGTCATCAGCAATGCTAGCCAGAATCTCTCCAACACATCAGCAATCAAAGTGATCTAAATACTTGGCATGCTCACAACTATCAGAACACTTGAGCACATGATCTTTTTGTGGGGTCTTTGGGCATTCCATTGATCCAGAAATTGTCAAAAACATTAACAATTGGCTGAGCTATAGGTGGTATAAAGGTAAAGGGTTGATGTGGCTGACCTCCTTAGTGTGGTGTTGGGTGGGGTTGATTATCTCATCTCAATTTAGTTCGGGCACGAATTATTGCACGCCCTAATGCCTGCATGACCGCTCTGACCTGCGTGCATTGTCAACGAACCTCACCTCATCACCTTGAACGCTCAGCACTCACCTAATTGAGTCCAAACTCGTGGAATCGACGTTTCTTATCGCACACGCAAAGTCTGCCTTTGTGATCAGCAGGCTTACGTTGTTTCCCCAACCTTCAGCCTTGTCGCCGTCACCTTCATTGGTAGCTGAACATCATTTCTTGTTGTTGTAGACCCATCTCTGACTTCACTTGTCAAACCCCTGACTTTGTTATGCTGCAATTTTCTGCTTAACAAAAACCTCATGAGTACCTTAAAGCGCAAAAAGCAGTCGACGGACTTGGCTATCGCAGACATGTTCAGCGGGGATTCGTTCTCGCCAGGATCAGAGACCCAAATCAGCGACTATGACATTCCAATCACGCAGCAGGGAGGTTCAGCAGATCTACATCAAGCAAATCGGCGCAGGAATGGCTGTGTAATAGCGCCACTGGGATTCGATGCTCGCGATTTTGGAACGGCTGCCTCTCAACGACCACGCAGAGGAGCGCCTTCTCAGACATCACCCTTGATCACCATACCACAAGACCCGCCGCGAAAGCCCAGAAGAAGAAAGGTATCTATTACTAATCAATTCAATGGCACGCGCACCATGGAGACAAGTCAAACATCAAATGACGAGACAATTTCGCAATTGTCTGCTCATGAAGTGAATGGAAACGATGCAGAGCGCGAGCAAACGCCTGAGCGTGATCAGGCACCCGCGGAGTTGCCAAACCCCTCCGCAACCCGCAGAAAAGACAAATACTCAGGCTGACAAATACTCAGGCTGCTCCACAATCTTCACTTCCCAGATGCACGCGAGAAAAACGTCCTACAGAGCGTTCTCAACAAGCACCAATCGAACAGGTCACCTTGTGCAGGCAAAAGTCCATAACGAGCACTGTCCGAGTCCTTAGCGATCAAGGTGAAGACACACCAACGACGAAGAATCCACGATCTTGCATCGTTCGCCTTCGAGTGCCTTCCATTTTTGTAAAACCCAGATCCAGGGAGTCGATGTCCTTTACAGGGTCATTTAGTCACCGACAGAAGAGCAGTGACAACAACGATTCACAAGCCTCTCAAGAGCAGGTCAGCAAATGCCCAGGCTGAGCATATGCCAAGTTACTAACAAACAAGGACAGAATCAAAGCATTGTTGAGAACCACAGCTTCCGAGACCATGATGCAGAGACCTTTGCGCAACCACAGCCAGAGCCAATACTCGCAGATAGCCAGGACTTGTACTCCTCTCAAATTGGCTCGGATGATGATACTACAAACTCACACGCGGCAACTCACTTGCGGGAGCACCTTCAGGTAAGCGGCAGCTCGATGCGTGAGCGATTCAGCACGTTTGGGTGGATCTCGAGACAAGATCAACAAAGATCATTCGCAGCCCTGACACCTGAGACATCACCACGAAGACAGCCACATTCCCAGGACGATGCTCCGATAGTGCAGAATGATACTGCGACCAATAACGACTCATGGCAGACTCAACCTACGTTACCTTGGTGCCCGCCGTGGAGTAAGTTCGCATTGAACAGGATGTCATATCTTGCTGATATTCTCTAGACGCTCCATCACCCGGAGGTACGCAGCAAGCACCAATATTCACTGATGTATCCTTCCATGCATCACAAGCAACGACAATCGATGAGGACCCGATGGACCTACCGCCTTGTAATGGAAGCCCGACACTGAGCCAGCAAGCTCTCCACGACATTGCTGACCGACTATTCGCGCATCGCACTTTTGGGCCGCCAAAACCAGAGCCTGTCGGTCAGCCATCGGTTTGGGCTGATGCACGCATGGATCTCTGCGAGACTCTGCACTACTTCCGCAGCTATCAGAGCGCTTGCCACTCCACTGGCGGTTTCGTTAGAGGTTTCATGTTTGATAAAGTCGCCCACCCTCGTGACTACATCGACAGCAACGTAGTCATTGCACGTGCGGGTGGCGGCCAAGTCAAAGACAAAGACTCTGGCGAGATGAAAGCCAGTGGCGATCAGGTCGAGGGCACTACCTCGCAGAATTTGAAAAACTGTATGAGCCACTACAACCCAGTGGTGATCATCACGGGAATCGACAACCCACACATGCCATCACAGCCTCCGCACCAGTACTGCGTCTTGGACTACTTCAAACCCACCCACACTTGGGTGGAGAAGAGTGGAAACAGCAAGATCGTGCGATATCGTTTCGAGAAACTGAACGCAAGGAAGGATTCTTGGTGGCGTCCAATAGACGTCGAAGATCCTGTCGAACTTGGCTCCTTCTCACCACCATTCATCAAGTCTTGTGGCACCTGTGCGCGCGAGTCACTGCAGATCTATCTGAATGGCTGGATGTGCCTCCAGCCAACCTGCGGGTTGTTCTGGTTAATCCTCCCGTCCAGCCCCGACTCTCCTCGAGGAAGTGAACCATTCGAGCCCGACGAAGCATCTCTAGTCTACGATCCGCGCTTCCTCAAAGTCCACACACCCTGGCCCAACGACGACCACGAGTATCCATTGACCTCCAATGATGCCATGCTATCTAGTCATGCCGTTCCAGGCGAAGACACTTCAGAAGCGTTCATCAGAGGCGCGGTATGCCCCTTATGCGGGCGCTGCAACTCCCGCATAAGCTGGACGGGGTGGGAATGCCCATGCGGCTGGACAAAAACACCACCCCACACCCTCATCCCCGCGCTCTCCCTCCGCGAGCCCCTCTGGCCACTGACGCACAACTACACACCCTCGCGCGACACACACTCCCCCCTCGTCAAAGTCTTCGTCTCCTTCGCACACAACTACCGCATAAACCGGTACTCTCTCCCCGGCATCAGCGGCTTCATAATACACATGGTCGCCAACCGCACCGTGGTCTCGGAACCTGGCGGTCCGGACGCCATGTTCGAAGAATTGCAACGCGTCGACATTGGACTGCGCCGGCGGATGATAGAGAACAGGCAGCTCAAGGGCGGAACATACACGCGCAACTTCCTCGTCAACTACGGTATGCCGTACAAATTCATCGCCGCGACAGCCTCGCACTCCTTCCCGCCCTCCTCACACCCCATCACCGCGGCACGTTCGCGCTTGAGCTGGGCGGCTAGATATCTGTTATCCCACCCCCCTTCCACTCCACCATCTCCTTCCTCTGATGATGATGCAATGTCAACCTCCACGACCTCCACCTCTTTTCACCCCTCCTTCGCACTGAGAGAGTTCGAGGAGAAGGAGTTCAATGAAGTCCTCGCTCTCGGCTACTTCGAATCGCAGCGCGTCTCGTACCACGACGACGGCGAATTAGGTCTCGGGCCCACTATCGCAACGATCTCGCTTGGCGCACCGGGGACTATGCGGATCCGTCTCAAGGCGAAACACCACCTCGGCGTGTCCAAGGCGGGCGTGTATACTGATGCCGTACCATTACCAGGCTGTTGCAAATTTGAGGAGAGGATGGCGCGGGTTGACGAGCTGCGCGACCTCAGAGCTACGGTTAGTTCGGGGCAGTATAGGAACAGGTTAAAGCAGCTGCCCAAAGAGCTCGACCTCAAGACATCAGGCAACGCCAGCGACGCTCTCACGATGAAACTCGGGCACGGCGATATCATCATCATGCACGGTGTGGAGATGCAGAAGTACTACGAGCACTCTGTCGACCATAGCGGAAAGTTGCGCTTCGCGCTAACATGTCGGTATATCGACCCCGACTCTTTGTGCGAGAGCGAAAAGCCAAGGTATCCAGTCGAGCCGGATAATGAAGGGTACGACGGCGCCGCTTGGACGTTGGAGGACGAGCAAGAGGGGAGCCTATAAACCAGCATGGCCAGATCCAGCATAACATTTTCAGATAACTATTAGGACATTACCGTGATCTGTTGCGGTATCAATCGGTCCGTACGAGACCGATTACCATTACTTAGACTGTTATGGACTAGCACGTTCCAGGGCCAGTATATATCGTCTTCTCCTAGCTAGATAGCAATCCAGCGCAGTATTCCATCAACGCGAGAGTCCTACGTTGTCGTTTACCGTAGCTAACAGTGTACAACAGCGGCCCTTGCGGCCACATGATCTCTTGCGAGATATCCGTCTTTCTTTCGAAGTCCTGTGCCCTGGCTGTTCTGCGATTTCGCACCGCACGCGACTACGTTTCGCTGTAGCGAATGAATGGCGAGCGCCTTCGTGCACTTTGATCAATCGACCCAAGCCGCACTCGTAGCGTGCAGCAAGGATCAGTATAAGCCCAGCCACAAGCGTGTTTAGACTCAACGGTCGGCTCCCAACACGCCAAAAGCAGCAACTTTCCAAGACCTCCATCGAAACCAGACAAACCCTGGTCCTAGTAGCTCAACGGTAGTGGGGGCTGCAGAGGAGGAGGAGGAGGAGGAGGAGGAGGAGGATGAATATGTTGAAACTTGACTTGTCTACTACTATTTACATTTATGCTTCTTTTCCACCACTATCTATATCTCCTGCTTATACTCTTTATTAAACGCGCGCCCGATAACCATCCTCCTAACCTCACTCGTCCCCGCGCCAATCTCGTAAAGCTTTGCATCCCTTAAAATCCTGCCAACGGGGACTTCGTTCATGTACCCCATCCCGCCCATGAGCTGGACTGCGTCGGCTGCGACCTCACTTGCACGCTCCGCCGCATACAGAATCGCGCCCGCACAGTCTTGCGTTTTTATGATGGGGTCGGCGTGCGACTCGTCGACCGCACGGGCAACGCTGTATGTGAAGGAGGCGCTGGCCCGGTACTTGGTGTACATGTCCGCCAGCTTGCCTTGAACGAGCTGGTTGTGCGCGATCGGCTGGCCGAACTGTTTTCGCTGATGGGTATAGGGGAGGACATTGTCGAGGCAGGCTTGCATCAGCCCGAGGGGACCGGCGGAGAGCACGAGGCGCTCGAGGTCGAGACCCTCCATCAGCACGCGGACGCCTTTGTTGAGAGAGCCCAGCATGTTCTCCGCGGGCACGAAGACGTCTTCGAAGACGAGTTCGCCTGTGTTGGAGCCGCGCATGCCGAGTTTGTCGAGCTTGTTGGCGACGGAGAAGCCTTTGGTGTCAGTGTCGACGATGAAGGCCGTGATGCCCTTGGAGGCGGCGTCAGGCGCGGTTTTGGCGTAGACGACGATGGTGTGTGCGTCTGGGCCCTGCTACCGTCAATCCATTGCTCTCAAGTTGTAGAAAGGGGATATAGCAACCTACATTCGTGATCCACATCTTGGTCCCGTTCAAGAGATACCCCCCATCCACCTCCTTCGCCGTCGTCTTCATGGAGACCACATCACTCCCCGCAGAATGCTCACTCATCGCCAAACCGCCGATCCTCTCTCCACTTATTAGTCCAGGGAGGTACTTCTTCTTCTGCGCCTCATTCCCATTCAGCATCAACTGATTCACACACAACTGGCTATGCGCCGCATAGCTCAACCCTATACTCCCACTCGCCCTACTCAACTCCTCCATAACAACACAGTGCGCTTGGTAGCCCATCGCCAGGCCGCCGTGTTCTTCGCTCGCGGTTATGCCGAGGAATCCGGCTTCGCCGAATTTCTGCCACATGTCGTTGGGGAACGCATTCTCGCGGTCGGTTCTTGCAGCAAGCTCTTCAGGGATCTCGCGGCGTGCAAAGTCTTGGACGCTTTCGCGCAGCTCGTCGAGATCGGATTGCGTGGGCGGTGTGAAGTTGACGGGGTGTTTGGTCGAGGCGTGGCGGACAGTGGAGAGTGGTGCGATGCGCGGTGCGTGGCGGAGGGTACGTGTGAGGAGGCGGGGGGCTAGGGCTGCCATTGTGAGTGCTCTGTGTGTAGAGAAGAGGGGGATCGTACAGGGAAGAAGAAATCGTGGTGTCGCATGCTGGGCATGGCCGCTTCACGCTTCACGACGGCTCAAGCAAGAGCAGCCGAGGCGACCCTGGATTGTGGAGAAAGCACGGATGGGGAAGGCGGATATGCGCCGCTGTCCGCGAACATGCCAAAAAGAGATGATAATGTGAGAATCTTTTGCAGCCCCAAGTGGCTCTTAGATGCATACATGTTGTGCCTACGACTCGTGTAAGCATTCCACTGCGACCTAGAGATGCTCTTCGTCTTCTCCGCGTCGTTTCCCCATCCGTTCGGGGCGGGCTCATTCCGCCATCAACAAACACCCAAAAAGAGACACTAAAGTGAGAATCGTCGCGACACCACCCGAAATATATAACTATGTGAACGGTCGTACGAGGATTCATGTATGACCCAAAATGGATAACAATGGGAAAAAACTAATCGCTCAATTGCGTGTCTTAGTGGGGAGCCCCTAGATCCTCCACCTTCTTCATCCCCCTTCCATTGCACTCCCCCACATCCAGCGCCACTAAGAACCTGCTGACACAGTTGTACGCTGCAACGGTCGCTGTCAATTCGACAATCTGCTTGTCTTCCAGGAATGTTTTGAGAGCCTCCGCAACATCGTCCTCCACGTGTACCCCGAGAGTCATCTGATCCGTATACTCCAATACACTTCTCTCCTCCTTAGTCAACTTCTCCAAACCCTCCCCGTCCCCCTTCCTCTCTGCCCCTCTGCCGATGAATGGGTGCTCGAAAACGATTTTCATGGTTGATGTAGACACGCCGGCTTTGATTGCAAGCGCGGCATGCACATCCCATTCGTGCACCGCGCCGTTCAGTGCTGCAATGCGGGATATGGCGAGTTCTTTCAGTGTGTCGGGTACAGAGGTCTTTGTGCGGATCGCCCCGATGAAGGAGCTCCAGCCATCTGCAACGCTTGGATTGTGTAACAGGGCCAGATCGAGGGGGATCAACGGACGGGGATTGCGGCGGGCGGCGATGCGTTCGTAAACCGGTCGGGCCTCCTCGGTAGGTGCTTCTTTCGGAGCATATGGAACGCGCATTGTGAATTGTGGGGTGGTGGTGAATCGGCGGTGGGAGGGGGGTTTGATTCGTTTGGTGGTGTGGCGGGTCAGAGCTAAGAGGAGTTTGACAATATGAGGCATGATGGGAGGGGGATGGAGGTATATATGTTCAGGAATCACGGTAAGCGAAGTCGGCATCTGGGAAATGTTTTTCCCATTCACTTAGAACGATTTGGCGGACGTGATCTGAAGTCATTTTGTCTGCTTATGAAGTAGATGCTTTTCATTGAGCCAACGCTAATATATCCGCTATTTACGAACAGATGATCCCAAACGCCCATGCAATCACACAACACACATGATATCTACAACCTGCTCTGCTCATCGAAAACATTAGGCAGCCTCGGGATGCCCTCAAGACGGCCAGTCTTCTTGCCCGTCGGCGCAAGAGTGACGTTGTACTCGAGGTCGTACTTGGCCTTGTCGTCCTTGCTGGGCTCAAAGTCGAGCAGCAAATCGTCCTTGACAGCGAACACGGTGTCGTTCTGCACCCACTGGTCGTCGCGGGGGTACAGCTGTGTGATCAGTGGCTTGAAGCCCTCGGCTGTGACCATCAGGTGGATGTGAGCGGGGCGGAAGGGGTGGCGGTCGAGCGTCTTGAAGAGCTGGCCTGCAGCGCCGTCCATGGGCAGCGAGTACGCGGTCGGCTTGTAGCAGTAGTACCAGTACTCGCCGTTCTCGTTTGTGGTGAACTTGCCGCGCAGGTTGTTGGGCTTCTGGTTCTCCTGGTCCTGGAAGTCGTACTTGCCATTGGCGCTGGCCTGCCAGATGTCGATGACAGCGTTGGGGATGCCCTTCTTGGTGTCGAGGTCGCGGACGACGCCGTGCATGAGCGTCTTCTGGCCGTCCGGGTGGGGGTCGGTGATGATGGAGTCGCCGAGCTCACGGAAGGGAGAGTGGGGCGACCAGAAGGGGCCGAGGATGGTGCTCGATGTGGGTGCCTCGCCAGACTCGCTGATGTGCTTGTGGGCGATCTCATCGACCAGCCTGGGCGTGTTAGTCCAGTTTTGCTGTTTGTGGAACACTAAGACTTACGACTCTACACCCAGAACATCGGAGATGCGGTGGGCCTCGTTTCTCGACGATGTGGTAGTCTTGCCAATGGAGTTCACGAAACGGACACCCTCGAACCACTCCTCGTTGGTGAGCTCGACCTCGCGGATGAAGTCGTGGAGGTGGCGAATCAGCTTGCCCATGACGAAGCGTGTCCTATCGTCCACCTTGGGACCAATGGCGTTGATGACAGCATCAGTGAAATTGGGGTCGAAGCGGTGCTGAGCGTTGTCCTGGTACTCGGGTGCAGATGCCATTGTGAATGAGGTGTATCGTGAATAAGGGAGAATGAACTGGGTATATGAAATGAAGTATGTACAGAGGAGTGAATACTGACTTCCGGGGAGCAGTCCCCTCTTATATGGCCCATTTTCTCAAACCAACCAGACTAGCACCATTGACAATCGCCGTGTCTCTAGCCGGGCCATCAGGCGACTCGCCCTGGTTCTCGAAGGCTGCGGCAGAACGCCCCGGCTCGTGAAGCTCTGGCACGCGAAAAGATGGCGCACAGCTGCACGAGTGCCGGACGTTGCGAATGGCTGCCCCGCATTGACAGGGATGGACGACCAATGGGAGTGCTGTCATTGCGGAAGAAGGCTCTGCCGGCTTTCTTCCTGACTTTGCAGCGCAGTGCCCCGCCATCGGTCCCACGCCCCGGATGTTTGGCGTTGTGAGTCGAGATGCGCGTGGCCTGCGAGATTTGGGGGATGGACGATGCTGTCTCTGGCACGATCAATTGGAGGCAGACACAGGCGGACGACACGAACTTCGAGATTCCACACCTCAGCAGCCAACATGACGAAACACCACTTGATGTGCGGCACGTGGGTGAAGCCCGGGGTCATCATCACCGTCTCCTTCGACACGGAGACGCTGAAGCTGGAGCTGGTCAAGAAGACGGAGATCCCGCACGATGAGCCCATCAGCTGGATGGCATTTGACGTATGCTCGACTATCTATGCAGTAACAAAGCTCAATGGCTGATGAGGGCTGCAGCATCAACGGAAGAACATCTATGGCTCGTCCATGAAGAGATGGACCTCATTCCGCGTCGATGCTCCTGGCGAGATTGTGCAGACAGGCAGCTACCCCATCGGCGGACATCGTACGTCTACCGTGCTCAAACTTCGAGGCTTAGCTAATATACCACGACAGCCAAAGCGAACGACGCCGACACTAAGACACGTGCCATCTTCAATCTCCCTGCGAAGAAGCCCCCATATGCGGTGTACTGCAATCCCTTCTACGACCATGCCGGGTTCGGCAACATCTTCTCCGTCGACGAGTCTGGCGCCATGAAGCAGAACATCCAAAACTACGAGTACTGCGAGAAGACGGCGATCCACGGCATGGTCTTTGACCCGAGCGAGACATACCTGTACAGCGCAGACATGTGGGCGAACAGGATCTGGTGCCATAAAAAGATCGACGATGAAGGCCGAATGGAGACAGTGGGATACACAGAGGCGACTCAGCCAAAGGACCACCCCAGATGGGTCGAGATACACCCAAGCGGACAGTATCTTTACGCGCTGATGGAAGGAGGCAACCGCCTGTGCGAGTATGTCATCGATCCGCAGACGAAACTGCCAGTCTACACACACAAGACATACCCATTGATTCCCCCTGGTATGTCAAGCCTCTCACTGCATCCAAGCAACACTGACAGCCGCACAGGCATACCCAACCCAGACACCATGTACCGCTCCGATGTCGTCTTCCTCAACAAATCCGCTTCCTACCTGTTCGCGACCTCGCGCTCCAATTCGTTCGACCTGACAGGGTACATCGCGGCGTTCAAAATCGCGCCTTCTGGAGCAATCGAGCGCCAGATCTGTCTAAACCCAACACCAACATCAGGTGGTCACTCGAACGCTGTGTCGCCGTGTCCGTGGAGTGATGAATGGCTCGCGCTTACCGATGATGAGAAGGGTGGCATTGAGATCTACAGATGGCAGGATGAGTTCCTGGCGAGGGTGGCCAGGTTGGAGATTCCAGAGCCTGGGTTTGGTATGAACGCCATTTGGTACGATTAGGTGGACAGGACCAACAGGCGCAATAGACATAGAAAACAAGACACTTTACTAGTGATCGCAAGGCCTCAGTCATAATCAATTCGACCTCAATGTCAATAGCCTCACAAGTCGCGTCCACTGTATTCACATGTCTACATATTCTGCACAATGATGACTTCCCCACATTCGGGCGCTAGACGCATAACATTTCCGATCGGAACACGGAGGGGTAGACTCGGAGCCCTGGAGGGGCTCACATCGTGGAGCTTTCGTACATTAGCGGCTGCCGGCAGATGTCATCGGCGCGGGCAAGCTCTCATCCAGCGTCACGTTGTCTGTAGCCTTAAATCAATGTAATTCTGAATCGCACATTCTTGCACGAACCCCTCGTTGACTGACACTGAACATCCAATTTGTCTATTCACGGACTTTTGTCATCGCAACCACACCGCCATGGCGTCCAAATCCACCCCCGGCATTCTGTACGTGACCATGCAGCCCAAACCCGGGCTGCCTGACGCACAATTCCACGACTGGTAAGTTAACATCCCTACCCAGCCGGATCTTCTCATCTTCAAAACACCATCTCACACCTCTTGCAACCAGGTACCAGAACGAACACGGCCCGAACCGTCTGCGTCTACCCTTCTGCAACAACGGATTTCGCTACCGCGCAACTGATCTCGAGAAACAAAATGGATCAAAAGAGAAGCCGGAGTGGATGGCGATTTATGATTTTGATGAGCTGGAGTGGCTGACACGTGAGCCGTACCAGAAGCTTCGGAGTGCGCCGGTGCAGACGCAACGGGAGAGGGATACAATGAAGCAGATCTTCGTGGACCGGAAGTCGTACGACCTTCTGGGCGAATGGGTCGGCAGCGACTTTAAAGACCTGCAGAAGGTGGAGAGTGAGGGCGAGAAGAACGTCATGGTCGCAGTTAGTTTCATGCTGCAAGAGGGTGAAGGCAAAGAGGAAGAGCTGAAGAAGTGGTATGAAGAGGAACATGTGCCGCTGCTGAAGAAAGTTCCTGGATGGCGAAGAACGAGAAGGTTCGTGACGAGTTATTTGGATATCCAGGCGAATTCGAACTTGCAGAAGGAGTTTCTCGCGCTCCATGAGTACGCGCCGCAGAATGGGCTTGGAGGTGCGGAGTTCACGGCTGCTACGACGACGGAGTGGTGTGACAGGATCTACAAAGACGTTATCAAGGATCGCAAGCGGAGGACTTACGATCTGTACTACACCTTCGGCGCTGCGCAGCGCGACCTCGCTTCTCTCTCGTCCTCAGACACTGTGCCGGCGGAGAGTGAGTACGGACTGTTCAAAACGTACCCGGCGCACAGCTCACCTGAGAAGAGGGCTATCATTGAGAGCAAGATCACGACGCCTGATGGCGTCAATCTGTCCTACCGCCTCGAGGGCAGCACAAATCCCGATGCCCCACTGCTCGTGCTGTCGAACAGCATCCTCGTCGACTATGGGATCTGGGATGACTTTGTGGAGAACTTCATCAAGCTCGCCCCTCAGTATCGTGTTTTACGCTACAACACCCGCGGTCGCTCGAAACTGCCAAAAGACTCAATCAGTCCAGTCACAGTCGACGTGCTCGCCGACGATGTAATCACATTGCTGGATGCCCTGCGCGCGAAGACAGCTAGTATCGTGGGTGTATCGCTCGGCGGCGCGACAGCGCTGAACGTCGCGCTCCAGTATCCTGGTCGCATCACGTCCTTCATCGGGTGCGACACGAATGCGTTTGCACCGCCGACAAACGCAAAAGCGTGGAACGAGCGCGTCGAGATGGCTGAAACCGAAGGCCTGACAAATGCCGAGGGCGAACCTATCGTCGGCGAGGAGTTGGCTGAAATAACGACGCGCCGCTGGTTTGTGAAGGAGAGTTATGAGGATAAGGAGTTGGCGCCGAAGTTGGAAAGAGTGAAGCAGTTCGTCAAGACCAACTCGCTCCCTGGTTTCCGCGACAGCGTTAGGGCGCTGCATGGATACGACATCCGCTCCGCCATGTCTTCCTACGCAGGTAAGGGCGCGTTCCTAGTCGGTTCGGGAGACGGCGTGTTGCCGAAGACCATGAAAGAAAACATGGCGGACAAACTCGGTAGCGGTGTCGAACTCAAGACCATCGATGGCGCGGGCCACTTGCCCATGGTAGAGAAGCCGGAAGAAGTCGCCAAGTTCGTTGCTGGATTCTTGCAATAATCTAGAATATGATAGATGAAGATGGAGGACTTGAATAAAAAGAATGTACTCGACCAAGTCTTACACATGTAGTTCACCAACACTCTCACGTGTTTCCTGAGTCCGATAGCCTGGTCGACAAATACGAGAAGACGACAGCGCGCTTCAAGATAAACGGATACTAGAATGGTGGTCGCACCCGTGAGGAGTTGTCGAGATGTTGGTAATTGTGTTATCGCACGAGCTGTTTGTCGTAGACCTGCTATTGCGCAGTTCAAGCGTGCTGGGGGTCTTTGGAGGTCTTCGATGCCGTATGATGTAGATTGCGATTGTAGGATTTGGAAGTGGTGCTGTCGCGGTTTGGGAGATCGCTGGGGAACGGAGAAGTGCCGACGGTCTATAGGCTCGAGGAAATCGTGGATTGTCTGAAGTTCGAGTTTGGTAGAAGGTTTGAGGGGGGTTGTATTTGATACGATGCTGTGGTCGTTCGTGCTCTGAGTTTCCTGTTGTTGAAGGCCTTCTGCGTATTCGATGCATAGTTGCGCTTGAGTATGCAGTAAAACGCAACTGATGCAGCGAACACGGGATGTGTACCGTTCGAAACGAAAGCGTCTGCTTCGCGAGAGTATACAAATCTCCGCTAATAGTCTCAGGACAAACACCTATATGGTACTCAAAGCTAGCTAAAGCCCATTTGTGGCCTGATGGTGCCTTTGGAGTTACTGCGAGTGCTGAGGAGTGCACAGCATTGATGTTGAGTCACCTTTTCTCGTAAACGCAGAACAGAATAACACTGCCAGAACCGTGTTGGAAAATTGAAGATCGCATCTGCGCGCCTGTTTCCTCTCGTTGCATCGTTCATCCACAGCACACTACCGCCTACAGCCTATTCTACTCACCAAAAAAAACTTTCGTTCCTTCTTTTCTTACCTATATTGCAGTCGCGCAGGGGACGTGCGAAGAGTCGAGGGAGTTAAGAAAAAAAAGTTATGAAGTCAGGGCCGAACCGGAGTCGAACCGGTGACTTCGGGATAAACTGCTTTGGGAGGCTGCAATCCTACACTCTACCACTGAGTTACCGACCCAATTTGGCAATTGGAGTACTCCTGAAGGAGGTAACTGTCCTTGATGAAAGTGCAGTTGGATAAATATAATATATAAGGTTTTGACAACCCGGCGACGATGAAGGTAAGGAAGGAGATCTAAAGTATCTTAATGGAATGCAGAACAGAATGATAATTCGAATTAGTGGGGAAATTTTGGTTGAGTAGGTCTAGTAGTTTGAACCAATAACTGGCGACGATGGTCTCCGGGTGGAACCATGGGCTGAAAATTCTCGAAGGTACCCAACGCCGTTCTGCAGGTCTCCAAAATGTGACAGGAGACTACAGCAGTTTCTACGACCGTTCTCCAATATCTTTTGTATACTGAAACTTGTCCAAAGGTGGTGTACGTAGAGCTAAGGTTGGCTGGTCGTGATGGCATTTGAACAATGGCCAGAGCCGGCGTACTTCAACAGGGCCAAGGTGGTAAGAAATTGACGCACCCACATCCACGATGTTCTGGCTTGTACTGCTGCTGCGTCTTATTACTATGTCTGAATGGCCACGTTCGTGCAGCAGACAGAGGCGCTTGCTACTACTACGCCCGCACCCTTCAATATATCAGTTATAGAAGTATCCTTGGGAGTAACGGGAGACGTTCCGGCGTGTTCTGCAGATCTGAGAATCTCCCACCGTTGCGTAGTTGATTGCAGCTGAACGTTGCTATGTAAGGCGGGATATCAAGTGGCTGCTCGACCGTGGAACTCCGTAGTACAAGTCGCCCGACACTTTGTAATCGTAGTCTCTGGAGTGTGGAGCAAAGACCTGTAGATGTTGGTGAAATCTGAGCTCTGATTGGCTGGTTGAGGCAGTCGCACAGAGGGTATCTGAGAATTGCAGCAACGTGTAAATGCGAGCAAGGATGGGGTCGGCGATGTGACAGAAACTAGCGTTGAATATGGAAAAGGGCGAAGGTCGGGAATCGCAGTTTCGCCGAAAAAGTTGAAGGAGAGTTGACCTTGCGCGCCTTCTTGCTGCAGGCGCGTAGTGAACTGGATCCCGATTCATCGTGAACAGTACGCGACGGCACCCGTGCGCAGATGGGAAGCTACTCTTCATAAAACACTGGCAAGTGTTTGTGGGCACTCTATTGTCTTGAGTGAGAGCAAACTCCAAAGTGGGCAAAAATGGCATTGTCTAATGTCGTGATCTGGCGCACATCATCGAGTTTGGCGGTTGGCGGCTTCCGTACCCGAACAAAGGTTTCTGACAGACTCTAGGGCTCACTCCCATTGACTATACATCAGAAAAGCGGACGGAGTCCACAACATCTCATCGTATCGTGTTTCCAGGCCTCCAAGGGCGTAGACGAACTTCGACTTAACGTACTTGCGGCACGCTGCTGCCGCAACACTAAAACCAGGGTCCAGCACCGAAGGAGGGGGGGGTTCATTTTCGACAGCATGTGCTACAAGCCTCTCGCCAATACACCCAATTATTCCTCACGGTATGCCTTCATATCCATAGTGCTTGACTCTTTACAGCATGTCCCTACTTCCGTCAGTTGATAGCGCGGGTAGCGCGCTACTCACAATAGCCTGGCGGGCCGATGAGTACTTAAGACCACCTTGCCGCTCGTGAACAACTACAATTTTCCGTTTACTCCACGATCCTCATCAAGATGTCGCTCAAAGATAAGGTCGTCGTCATTACCGGCGCAGCGTCGGGCATGGGCCTCGAAACCGCTCGTCTCTTTGCCAGCAAAGGCGCCAAACTCTCTCTTGCCGACATCCAGGCCGAGCGCCTCAATGAGTTGCACAAGGAGCTTACGGAAACAATTCCAGACGTGAAAGTCATGATCATGGCCGTCGACGTCTCGAAGCGTGAGGAAGTTGAAGGCTGGGTTTCCCGGACGGTGGAGGCCTTCGGCAAGCTTGACGGCTGTGCCAACTTGGCGGGCGTCATTGGAAAGCAAAGCAACGCCGTTCCCATCGAAGGTGTAGACGACGACGATTGGGACTTCATCTACGGAGTCAATGTCATTGGGCTGAGGAACTGCCTGAGGGCACAAATCCCGCACATGAATGAGGGCGGTTCGATAGTCAATGCCTCAAGCATTCTGGGACTCATTGGCGCGGCCAACAACCTGGCATATGCGAGTAGCAAGCATGCGATTATTGGGATGACAAGAGTTGCTGCGAAAGAGTTGGGTCCAAAGAAGATTAGGTGCAATTGTTTCTGCCCGTGAGTTTCTAATTCCGCGAAAGAACAGTTTCAATGGGCAGGACTGATGATCGTGTACAGTGGACCGGTAGATACACCGATGCTAAGAAACAGCTATGAGATCCTAGGAAAGGAGGTGGACTATGGGTTCCTGCCGCTGGGTAGGACGGCAGATCAGAAGGAAATCCCGGCGACTGTCGAGTTCCTGATCTCAGATGCCAGCTCGTTCATCACAGGGGTTGCGCTGCCTGTTGATGGTGGGTGGTTCTGCTGAGCAATACGGCAATATCAACAGCGAATTTACCGCAGCCTTTCGTAAGCCATGGTATGATGATAACTCTTGGCAGTGCCAAGCCTAGTCCTGATTGGGCAGCATGAGTGAATGTGGGTTATCCTTGATCCACCTTCCTCCTAGCCTCCTACACCTCTCCTCCCATATAAACAGGGGTCAAGTGCCTTGAGGCGTACTATCGCCGTACTACGGCTGCCTCAATGGCTATCGACCACTTACGGTATCACCAATATTGACACTACGGATCGATCAATCACATGAGCGTAATTGAACCGTAGTATCAACAGTAGTATTTCTTGTTGGATATGCTGAAAGATCGTACAATGTCATGACTAGACGGATGGATGACGCAGAAAACCGCGAACCCCCCGGTGACGTCAATTAGGCGTGCTGCATGGTCTAAGTGGAGTCCAAATCTCTGTTTGTAGATTGTTTGGATTACAATGCTAAAAGGCACAGATCTACTCACACTTATAATCTCGCCTTTCCATCATGTTCTAATCACGTATTATTCGTGACATCCGAAGACATCATGTCTGACGATTGGTTCTCTCACAAGCTCTATCCATACGGAGACGGCAACACCGAAGATAGATGCCACCCTGAAGAAGCACAAGCACTAAAAGACTACTTGCACCACCGAAAAGCCTCAATTGAGGCCGCCCGAGCCACCACTCATCCTATCAGCGTTGCAGTTAACCCCAAAGACGATTTTCACCGCCTTTGGGGCCCTCTCATAGATGCCTTTATGGAGCTTCCAAGAGAGCACACAGAGCCACTCATAGCACTTTTACAAGCCACCAAAGACCTGCCAGATCCCGAGGTCATAGCCAAGAACAGCGGCCGGCACGATGACAGCTTTTGGGAAGAATCACAGGGGTTTGGTAATTTGTGGTCGGATGTTGTTGCGGTATCGGTCGGTCTATACAAGGTCTGACTGTACCCCTGACAGACTACCCTAGTCTAGTATGTGACCGGTCACTGGCCTGAGGTTAGGTATATAGTCGTCATCTCCAGCTAGATAGAAACTCAGCGCAGTATTCCATCGACCCGATAGTCCTACATTATCATTACCGTAGCTATCAGTATTCTACAGCGGCCTACGCCGCGACAGATATGTATCCAACTTACCTCTGGAGGAGTATTGTTGAGCCGACTAAGGGCGAAAGGCGCGATATACTGAGGGTGGATCACGCGAGGAGAGCGGAGGTTGAGGCGAGACTAGTCACCGTAGGTCTCGCTGGTATTAGAATTGACTGGGGGTATGAAGCTGTTGTTGATGCTCTGGAGAGTAGTAATGCGACACTCGACTTTGAGATTCCAGTCATGGCAGAGTGGCTTGTGATCTGTGGCAAGCAGCTCTGGGGTGGCGCGAGGATGAACAAGAAGAGCTGGGGGCTGAAGGCCAGGGATCGCGATCCCTTGAAGGATTTGTGGAGGAAAAATGATGATTAGGTGCTGAGTTTGGATAGACGGGGATTTTGGAAGGAGCGGTTGAGGGGGCTACAGTCGGAGGTGGGAATTATGATGGATGTGAGGAGAGCACTTGAGGCTATGAACGAAGAATCAGCGCTGGCGTGAAACGTAGATGGACCATGAAAAGTGGTGTCCAACAATCACGACCGTTCGGAAAGTTTTGTACCCACATTGTTTGGCCCAAGCGCAACTAATGAGGTTTGTCCAGGCTGAACTACAAAGCAGCGTTCGTCCCATAATATGCAGTCTCGCCGTCGCTGAACGTTACGTTACGCTCAATTCAATTGTAGATATTGCGTATACAACGACGGCCGTTCCACTATATCACGATCAAGTGCATTGAGTGAAAAGCGTTGCAGCTAACATACAACATAGGGCCTCTAAACGCCCTATGTTGCTTTTCGCTGCCATGCCAGCCCCGGCCAGACTGGGCCTTCTGACCATATCTTCTACTACCCCGGCACCTCAATCTATAGCTTCCTGGCTGCATACTACTCAACCGCAAGACAAAGCTTCGCCAAACGTCACAATGTCCGACAGCGACTCAGATGACCACCGACGCGTCGGCGACACAAGAAGAAAGAGAAGGCGGCCAAATCGAACTTTCTGGACGCAATCATGGATTCATCCATCCAGCAAAGCATGGAGAAGCCCTTGCTAAAGCGAACTAGGCCGGCTACAATATGGCATCCCTAGCCTGGGTCATCACCATATCCATCTCAACCATGCCGTACGCTGAGACGGCAATAATATGGTTGCACGATAACTTCACTAACAAGGTCGGGCTTGATGTGAGCGACGCATTCACAACCGGTCTGATGATCTGGATCAGCAAGCAACCTTCCAACCACCTTTTGCGTTGGTTCCCTACATTTGAGCTCCTTTTATGAAAGGATCTTAGCGATGACGCGAAGACGTATACTAACAATGAAGGAGGAAAGAAGTTTCACGCCGTGATCGGCTCCGCTGGCTACACTCCGTTCTTCTTCCAGGGCAAGCTTTTCGTGCTACAGAAGACTGAAGATGACAATAATGGTGGTTGGGATTCAAATCATGGTACTGTGAGGCTACGATGTCACTGGGGAAGCGTGCAACCGGTCGAGGTTCTATTCAACGCAGTGCACAAGGACGCAAAGCCGCAATCTACACAAGTCGACATCACGTATGTCCAAGGAGGAAACAAGAATCAGACCTATACGGATAGGAAGCGATCCCTGCAAACCGTTCACCTTGTTCCTGTAAGTAGTTGAACATGAAGTTGGCACAAGTGTATATTCTATTGTGTATTGTCGTGTGTACTCGACTAAGATGTCCATGATATAAGCTTAAATACATGAAGTAGTGGATTGATTGGTCGGTGGGTAACCATGTGACATATGTAGTGTCCTGGGCCTACAGATCCAAAGGCTAAAGAGGAGCTGATCATGGATCTCCAGGACTTCTTTGATGAAGATACGGAAGACTTCTATCAACAGAACGGAATGCCGTACCGAAGGGGCTATATTTTTCATGGACCATCAGGGACTGGCAAGACCAGTTTGTGCAAGGCCATTGCTAGCGAGTAGAACCTGCGATTTTTCCAATTCAACCTTGCGGGCATCACTGATGCGAGTTGAAGGATAAACACCAGGCTTTGCCAAAGCGCTGCATTGTTGTCTTCGAGGACATTGGCAAAATGAATATCGTTCGAGAGCGTCCAATGGTAACGTTACCAGCAACTCCTCAGTCACACCAGACGACAGCAATACTGTAGTCTCGTCTTTGGCCGCATCCAACGCCAGTGTCAAGGAGGTCAAGCTTACTGGTTTGCTTAATTTATCAGATGGCCTGGGTTCGAAAGACGGGCACTTCGTCATCATCACTACCAACGCGCCCAAGACCTTGGATTCAGCACTATATCGAGCAGGTCGAATTGACATGCAAGTGTACCTGAGGTACAGCGCCAAATTTACCACTGCCGTTACGTTTATGTGGATTTTCAATAACAACAAGTGCAACAAGCTGAGCGAGGCCCAGCTTGCTAAGATGGCAACGCGCGTCTGTAACATTGTACCGAAGAACTTCCTGACACCCGCAGAGGTCCTCCTATTCTGCATGAAACGTCGAGGTCAAGCACCAAAGGCTCTACGGGAAGCGAGACAAGAAAGTTAACTTCGAGTACGAAATCAACGATGGAGCACCTGCACCTGAGTTCGATGAAAATGGCGAGGAGGATGACGAGCAACACCTGAGTGACTACGAAGGCCCCTAACTATCAGACCAAGATCAGCTGGGCGAGAACAAGACTGATCAGGGTAATGTTGAGGCGGAATTTGCAACGCAGCACCCGGCACGAGACCCAGAGAAGCTCCATCTCGCTGGTAATGAGTCCGATGACGAATTCGACGGCCTTGCATATGACCGTGACTACACGCACTTATACGGAGATGGCGTGGGTGACCGAATCGAAGGTCACCTAGGTCGGCTGATGACTTCACTGGTTCAACTTCCACCGCGAAGCACTCCGTCGCAAACCAAATCAGCGTCTGGGGTGTGGTTCTACCGAACATGAACATGCACGCGACTTTGCGCATCCAGCACCGATCTCACCGAAAAGCTGTACCGCAGCCAGGCATTGCATCTGCATCCAAAGCTTGAGGTATTTCCTCTGATCGGTCCGGTCGCACTGCAAAAGCGCAGCTCTTTGCATCAGATGGTGTCGCTGATGTACATTCTACTCCTTTCCCAAGCCCTATCATCGATTTAGCGTTACCTTTGCGCGAGCAACAACCAGTTGACAAAGGCCCAACTGTCGTAGACCGCACGTCTGCATCTTCAACGAACACGTTCTACACCGCGCTGTTTTTGGGAGAGCAGACCGAGGAGGGCTTCCAGCGCTCCGCTGAGTCAGAAGCAGAACAAAATCCTTAGGAAGATGAGACGCGCGAGAACATCCAGGCCGTGGATCCACATCCCGTTCAGGATGAAGCGCCGTTTTGGGAGTGAGACTCGAAGTTCCGAAGCTTGCAGAGACGGGTTATAGGGCGGTCAAGCGAAGGATGTTTGTTACTGCCATTGTATTCGATTGAGTGACACCAACTTCTGCTGTAGGTGTATATCGACGGAAACCTTTGCCTAAGTAAGCAAAAACATCAACTTATTGTTCTCTTCTTTTTCTTCTGTTCGTTGAGATCATGGTTCATCAAATGCTTCCCATCGCATGTATGGGTCAGCTCTAATGAAGGATGAAATCCGCGACACTATCTTAGTCCGTTGCGGCTGTAGTCAGAACAATATAAGATCTCTGTGATGTTGATCATGGTCATGCAGGCGTTGCTAGCCTTGTCGGTACGCGGGAGCCTGCGACCGAACTCTCCGTAACTCGAATGACTTGTTCCACGGGCATCCTCTATGAAGTCACTCTTCGTACTCTTGTGCATGCTAAAGCGAGGTGCAAGGATTCTAAGGCGGTCTCGCAGCCTCTCCGCAGTCTGTTACCCTGAGCTTTGATTCGCCCGGGGAACAGCTCCGAGCGAATCAAATTTTCAATAAACATGCATGCTCATCACAGTGCGATATCAAACAGAAAATTACGTGTATCGTAACAATACGTCGTCGAATTATGGGCTTTTCGCTGTAGAAGCGCCGCACGACGTTCGTAGGCATAACAATTTCAGCGTTCTTATCATGAAGGATCGATAGGCGCTAACACAGGTTAACAGATGCAATTGGTGGGACGTACTCCGAAAAGGCCTAGACTTGATGATGTAATGATAATTTATTCCGGCAAAGATAACCTTCATTTCTAAACACGTGCAGGAAAATTTGATTCGTCGCTCGTTCTTACAACGATCTGCACGGCGTCAGTCTCAGCCAGAACGCGCCCGTGAGCTCCTTGCCAATACGCGACAGACAGCTGGCTAACCACAACACTCCCTCTGTTTTACTGCCCACGTCTGTACGCTTCACCATGGGTCTGCTGGATCTTCCTCCCGAGATAATCGACTACATTCTTGACTTCGCAGGGCCTGCTGGTCTGGAAGGCTTTGTTCTCTCCTGCAAAGCCGTGTATGAACGCGCAAAGACCCAGATCCAAGACCACAACTCCTTGAGGCGACGATGGAGGCACACAAACAATCAAAGTACGTCGCGTCGCGGTGACACGCTGAGTGTGCTGTACGAGATTTCGCGAAACCCTATCATATCCGAGTACATTGAAACGCTGAGCCTATGGGACCGGCGATCAGACGAAGATATCAACAGCCAGGGTGTCACCGACAACTTCCGAGACGATGAGCAGTCAATGCAAGAAATCAAAAGCCTCCTGCGTAATGCAGAATTCTTCCAAAACGCAGATCTGGAGGAGTGGTGGTTTGAGATTATGGAGGAAGACCAGGCCACAGACATCGAGAGGGTTGACAAGCTCTACGCTACTGTCGCTCTGCTCGCGCTACTTCCTAATCTCAAAACCCTACAACTACCAGATAGGTGGCACGAGGTCCGCAGTGACGAGGCTGCTGAAGCGCTCGTGCCTTCGGTCGAATCACTAGTCTCTATGTCCAATGACAACACTCATAAGCGCAGATGGCAAGCTCTGCAATCCCTGGAGACTATCATGCCTTTTACAGAAGAAGGATACGATGTTCGTGTCGGTCTACAATGTCTACAGCCGTTCATGGTCCTGAACAGCATCCGAAATCTGTACGCCGTTAGTTGCGTCGCTATCGACAATGACTGGGGCGGCATCCCGTTCCATTGGCGTTACGCAAGCAAATCGCCTTTGACGAGGATAGAGTTTGCCAGTTGCTGTATGGATGCGCATGGTCTGGACGCTCTTCTGGCCAACACGCCCGCTGTCACGATCTTCAAGTATTCTCACCAGACGAAGTGGGATGGTCTGGAAGTCGACTGGAACCCTGGAGAGTTTCTACAGACACTGGCCGACCGACTCGGCAAACAGCTAATTGATCTTGCCATTACAGTGGATGAGATACACGGAGATATCATCAACGGCCTTTCCTCGTTCCACTCTTTCCCAAAATTGCGCAAATTAGAGGTAGACGTGATCCCCTTCTGTGGACCACCTCTCGAAAGTGGGCAGCGACTTGGTCGCGATGCTTTCGTTCCTGATGGCGCCGAAGCATGGACGCACAGCGACATTCCATGCTTGGGCGATATGCTTCCAGACAGCATTTGCGAAGTTCATCTGAACACCGACTTCCCATTACCGTCTGAGCAATCGCTGAAGTCGCTGGTCAAAAACATCATTGATCGTCGCAAAGACAAACTACGACACCTAGAATGTTGCATTATCAGACAGTACCAGTCGGACACGGCACAAGATATCGCCGATCGTCACGAGATCATTCTGGAGGTGTTCGATATGGACGCGATGGACCCCAGAGCAAGAGCGATGATGCCATTATGGAAAAGGGAGTTTGATCAGAAAGTGGGTGGAATCGTGACAGCAATGTCAACTTGAGGTCAGAGAGCAAGAGATACATCATGACCTATATACCCAACCTGTATACCCAACCTGTATACCCAACCTGTATACCCAGCCTGTATACCCAGCCTGTATACCCAGCTAACTGTTCCCGCGGAGCACATCATCTGTATTGGTACTTCCATAAGCATGTGTCCTTCCGTGGACTCCCGGCGATTTGCTCACAACCGCGGAATCAAGATATTCTCTTGCTACTACAAAGATCGCAACACTCTGGCTTCAGAGTTCGAATATGTAGTTTTATTCACAATGTATGCACGGGCATACCAACCTGCACACCCCTGCGACGATCTCGGGATATTGTTGTGGTAAAGTTGCGCATCATATGCTGGCAATAGTTGCGTCATCATCCAACCACGACTTATCAACCACCGTTTACGGGATTTGTGAATATCGATCCAAACTCCTGGAGACCAACCCAAACAGAAAAAAAACACCAACGATGAGCAGTCACGCAGACAACTACGGGTTGCCCGCAGCTTTCACCACAATCGCGCTATTCGGCGCTAGCGGGCAGATCGGTGAGCGTATCCTCCATGCGTTGATCTCAAATAAGCGGAAAGACTTCAAGGTTATTGCCTTTGTGCCACCTGGATCTGAATCGCAAGTTTCAAAATCGGTCATTATCAAGACTTTCGATCTTAAGAAGGTGACACAAGAGCAGCTTACGCAAGACCTGAAGGGTGTCGATGCAGTGGTCTCCGCGCTGAACGGTCCGGCCCTTGAAGCCCAGGCGATCATCCAAGATGCAGCCGCCGATGCGGGTGTGCAGCGGTTCTACCCAAGCGAGTATGGCTTCCATCAAATCTACCGCAAGCCAAACGATCCCATGGGTTACATTCATCCAGCATGGAACATGAAGGCATTGTAAGCTTTATATTCTCCGCGTGCTGGAGTCTCAAGAGCTAATTCGTTGCAGAGCCAACGAGCGTGCCGTCACTCATCCTGCTGTTCGATTGGGCAAGATGAGCTTCACCATGATTGGCTGTGGCGACTTCTACAACCAAGATCGTGAGAAGGTGTGGTGTCCATGGACACAGTCTCCACGCTCAGTCGATAGGTATACGATCCATGTAATCGGCGATCCAGATGCAGAAGCGGACTACACCCACCTTGATGACTTTGCGAACTTCCTCGTTGCCACTCTCCTCGAACCAGCGAAGAGCCACAACCAATTCCTGAATATTGTCAGCGACACCACCTCGCATACTCAAATTGCCAAGCTGCTTGAAAAGTACACAAGCAAGAAGGTGGAGATGGATGTGCTTGGTGAAGAGAAGATGCACGAGATCTGGGACGATCCAAGCAAGGCACCCAAAAAACACACAGAAAGCGCGTTCCCTGTGGACTTCTGGTACCTAGTCAAAGGCATCCAAGGCAAAGGAGAGTTCGTCAGACCCAAGAGCCAGATCCATAACGAGCTGTTTTCTGACCTGACGTACACCCCGTTCGAGGGATATTTCAAAGCCAGGTTTGGCAGTGCGGAGAAGCTATAATTCAATGAATCAGAGCATGACAGAAGTTGGAGTGCGGTGACGATCTGGGTGGCGACGACGGGTATACTACCTTAGCGCGTTCCATTTGCGTGGTCGGTCGAGATCAGAGTCTCGACGTCACAACACTGGTGGCATTTTTGAGTCACTGGGCCCTTGTGATTGGCCAGTACACGTACATCGAATTGTCGCAAATGCACAGATCTTCCAAATGGGGTACCAGTGGACGCGAACGCGTTGCCCAATGTAGCAACATTCGTGACGTCAAGCAACATATCGGCGAAGCTTCGTTCGCCTTGTTCCTGCATGTAAATGCTTGCTGATCCCGTAAAGCTTGCTGCCCCAGGCCTTACTTGTGTTTTGTTTTCGAACCCTTTTTGACCCATGTGGTCTATCGTTCAATACAAACAGATTGGAAGGGATGTCGAGCGCGAGTGGCAACAACAATCCTCTGATCGACAAACATACAGCGAGGAACATAGGAGACGAAGCACCTTCCGAGGCTCACAACAATCTGAAACAACACTTCAAGACTCTGACCCAGAACAACATGCGTCCAAGCAATCCGACAACAAGTCCGAGGAAAAGGAAACAGAAGATGGCAAGATCGTTGTGAATCTCGACGGCGACGACGACCCCATCAATCCTCAGAACTGGCCGCTCCTCAAACGCGCACGAACCATGGCAATCCTAACTATGCTTGTGTTCACTCAAGCGTGGGCAGGCGCGTGCGACTCCCTCGACAACTCCAAAGCCAGCAAGCGATACCACGTCAGTCCTGTTGCAGAAGACGCCTCCACGGCAATGTACCTGTTCGGTATTGGATCTGGATGTCTCTTCGTCGGTCCGCTTTCGCAGACGCTCGGACGTAATCCAGTGTATCTGGGTTTTACGCTCACGTATCTGTTCTTTATTCTAGGTACTGCACTCAGCAAGGACTACGCAAGTCAGATCGTGTGCAGGTACCTGGCCGGTCTGGCGAGCAGCGCTACGCTAGGTATCAATGGGGCGAGTATAGGCGACATGTTCCGTCCTGTTGAGCGAGCGCTGTGGTTTCCTGTCATAGCCTGGGTCAACGTCGTCCGTAAGCACAGCCCACAAATCCTGCCCGGAAAGTTCAGCATCACTAACACCCCATAGCCCCAGTCCTTGCGCCCATCGTAGGCGGCTGGGTCGCCGTGCATGACGACCTGAACTGGCAATGGGTCGACTGGATCACGCTCTTCATCTCCGCCTTCGCCTTCCTGATCGCCTTCCTCTTCCTCCCCGAGACCTACCTCCCCATGCTGCTTGATTACAAAGCGAAGCATCTCCGTCGCGTCTCCGGCTCTGACAGATACGTCACCGAACATGAGCAAGGCTCCGGTTTCTTCGCACAGATCAAGAAGGTCTTGCCTCTGTCAGTCAAGTTTGCGACTACAGAACCTGCTGTTCTATCCCTAGGTGGCTTTCTAGTCCTCCTGTATATCATTCTGTTCACGTTCCTTTCGGGCTTTGACTACACCTTTAAGAGACGCTACGACCTCAATGATTTTCAGGAGGGCGCATGCTTCGCTCCAATCGCACTCGGCGCAACAGCATTCTCGCTCACAGGTCCAGCTCTATACGTATGGACGCGCCGCAGCGTCGGGTACTCCGACCGCGCCACGGTAACCCCCGAATTTCGCCTCTGGCCCGCGATGCTCACTTCTCCCCTCCTCCCCATCTCGCTCTTCTGGCTAGGCTGGACAAACTACTCTTGGATATCAATCTACTCCGGCCTCAGCGCATGTTTCTGCTTCGGCATAGTGCTGAACGCAATGTATGTCAGCAGCTACGAGTATATTATCGATAGCTATAGGGAGAATGCGTCGATTGCGCTGGCGAGTGTAACGATGATGCGGTATCTGATTGCAGGTGGGATGGTTATGGCGGCACGGCCGATGTATGAAAGTATTGGGGTGCATTGGACGATGACGCTGTTGGGGTGTGCGGCGGTGGTGTTGACGCCGGCGCCGTATGTGTTGTACAGGTTTGGGAAGAAGTTGAGGGAGAAGAGTCCGTTTGTAATTGAGGATGTCAGTTGGGGGTCGGAAGACTCCTGAATACGGATGGCACATCTTCACTGCCATGGTGGCCCTTGTACTTTGCGTCAGTACTGGGTCGAGCTACTGGTAGAGTCCATTGTTCGAGCAAGATATCCAAGATGTCCTTCTCTCCCGTCTTCCTGTCAGCCGGTCTCAAGAACGACCTGTATGCATGCAGCAACCCGCTCTTCATGGTCTCTTCCTCATGCTGCTCTCTCGTTACGCTCGATATTGAGCCGATGTGTTGGCAGGCGACTGGCTCGGAGGAAGCATCCCAGGAATGTTCCGGTACAGGCTTAGCAGGCACGGCGCTTGCACCTGCTGAGGACTGGGAGGGAAAGAACGCTGTATTTAAGCGTTGTACTGATATTGTGTCGAACGTCTCAGAGTCTGCGTACTGGTGCGAGGAGCTACTATCCGAGCTACAGGGATTTGGTGCTGAGGCTTGTGGGCTGATCGCTGGCTGATAGAATGACTGCGAGTAGATTCCCGTTGACGAAGTACCTGGCGATGTTGACGTTGGCACGAACTGGCTCGGCGTGATGTAGTTGTCCGTGAACAGGGACGACAACGCATTGTCATTGACAAGGTTTGCCTGATCTGGTGACTGCAGCTCTCCGTTGAAGCGCAGCTCTACCGGACTATGAAAACAGCTTTGGGACCCACGATGCTGTGAAGTGAAGCCAAACATCGTCTCCTGAGGGGGCACTAGGGGCTCGCTGGAAGATACAAGGTAATCTGGATCAGTAGGGTTTGCCGTCCAAGAGTCGACTTCTGCATCCAAGAGCTCAGTAAGCGACATAGAATTATTGACAGGATCGGAAACACCATGCCCGGATTGAGGAAGTACTGCAAATCTCGAAGGGCCCTGACCGGTCCATGGTTCACACGGATTAGCAACAGGGCCAAAGGTGACATGAACAGGCTCTGGGTCTACAGTTATTTTAGATTGACTCTGGATGCTTATTGGTGTGCGGTTTGGTGTCGTCAGGTCAAGTTGTTGTTGAGTGTGCATATTGAACTGTTGCTGATACCGCGAGTCATTGACAGCCATAGTGGTATTGAAAGCTTCTTGGAGTTCTACCTTTGTCAGCGCATGCCTGCCGGTACTCCTGCGATACGTACCTTTGTCACCAAGGAACATGCCCGAGCTCATGGCTGGGACGATTGCATGCGTGTTTTGTGATGACACAGAGTGTTGAGAACACTGAGGAGACGTGGTATTGGGGTCCTGATGATAGAAGCGAGCGATTTCTGAATCGAGCATTTCCACTTCAAAAGAGTCGTCATCTGGGGACCTCACGGACGTCGGTGCATTTGAAAAACTGCCATTGTCCCAAAATGATTGCTCAGGAAGCTGGTCTTGGATAGGTGCCGCCCCTTGCGAAGGTGGTGGAGTAGTCATCAACGGTCCGGGCGAATAACCACCAGGAGAAAGTCCAGTGTGGTTTATTAGGGTATCTGTCGGCGTCTTTGCACGGCAAAGGCTATCTTGGGACATATCAAAGGCTGACTGCTCGATGAAGGCTTGCGGACAGTACGGATATCCAGGGGGGAACGTGAGACCCCACTGGACTGGTAGCTGGGCTTGTTGCGACTGCGCAAGATCCTGCGCCTCTCTATGCAAGATGAGCTTTGATGTAGTGTTTGAAATCTGCTCGAGTGTAGCATCGGAAGGAGGCTTGTCGGAGTGACTGAAAGTTGTTGAGTCTTCAGGTGCATCGTCATTGCTAGTAAAGTCGGGCTGGTCGGGACCATTATCACGACGGTCTGGTGATGGGCTTTCATCGGAGGAGCATTGCTCTGGTGCGCGCGTTACACGTTCAGAGTCATTGCCTCCGCGATCGACAGAGGCACGACGACTCAAGTTGGTACTTGTTGCCGCATCGTCCATGTCTTTCTTATCCGCATTCGAGGTTGCTGTGTCGGCAGAACCATCGATTACATTCCACGAAGGCCATCGAATGGAAGTCATTACAGCGCCAGACTGCAGTTCACCTACATCCTTGGAGCCTGTGCCTGCAGTTATTGTGTGGGAAGACACTGATCTCTCAGAGGTATCTAGGTCGTCTGCCAGTGGAGTGAAACAAGGGCTGTCCACACCGGCATGTTGCAGACCAGTCTTCTTGACTGAAGCCCACGGCATATTTGACGTCGTTCTTAGAGCCGTTGGGACGTTCTCAAGTCCTGTTGAAGATGAGAGGGTCGATGACGGTATCGTCGAAATGCATTCGGTGGGTTCATCGCCTTGAACAATACTGATATGAGACTTAGCAACATCAGCTGCGGAGACTCGTTCCTGAGGCGAATGTGGACTGCTATGAGGTTCTGGTCTTGCTTGCGCCTCTGTTGGGCCTTCGCAAGTAATCTCGGTAACGTGTAGCTCGAACTTGTGACAGAATCGTCGGTAGATCTTGCGCATGTGTCTTTTCTTACAATTCTTGACCGCTTGACCGTTATCAAACGTCTGTTGGAGTTTCGCGATGCGTCGCAGCATCTTTTGTACGCGGCTTGCGCACTTTCTGAGCTCCTCGACAGTTAATGTTTCGCCTTCTTCGTCGCTTGACACCATATCGGTATCCGAAGAGTCGGGGTCGTGTGATCTGAGTGCCTCCATGGCTGCTTGATTTGCACCCACTTGCTTGTTGCTAGCCAAACCCGCTGTTGCGATACTCAGGACTTGGTTTGTAGCTGTCGGTGGTCGCAAGGTTAGGCTAGAGCCTTCGCCTGATAAGCCGTCGAGTTGGGTGTGGCACGATCGGCTTCGTAGCTCCTCCAGAATCTTGAGCGCATCTTTCTGGTTATTGAGGACTTCGTTGATGTTTTTGTGCTGTTCATCCAAAGACGCCTGGGCAAGCTTGCTGTCGGAATCATGAGCACAATGCACAACCGTTGACAGCAGGAGAACCTTACCCTCCAACTTGGTTCTGCGCATGGCTCAGCACATTCAGAATCATGGAGAGAAGAGTCTTGAGAGTCTCCAGCCTCTTCTGTAAGAAGCGAACCCGAGGCTCCCTGAAAGGCCAGCTCATCTTGCTCTTGAACGTAAGATGCATCTTCCCATCTCGTCCAGTCTTTTGACTAATCTTCACAATGCTTCTGAGTTCGTTGAATACTTCGTCGCATTCGTCAATGATGTGCTCTGCATCCTGTACGGCTTGCGAGTTTACGACTCGTGTATCCTGGCTCGACTCCGTAAGGATCACTCTGCGAACATGCTTGAGGACTTCAGATGTCGATCTGACATCGTTAGCTATTGTTTCAACATCCTTATCTGCGCGTGCAGCTGTGGAGGCAAAGTCGAATAGTTCTGTCGATAGTTTTGCTCCTGCTCCTCCAACTTGGAGGATGCTGGCAGCCAGGGCAAACAGTTCTGCCATCGATGAGAGGCTGCGTATTCTGTTGAGTTTGCGGTCATCTGAAGATGCAGGCAATACTGGTGCAAGGAATGCCACCGGCATGCGGCGACTGATGATCCCGTGGTCAGCCCCACACTGCGGCGCAGCATGCAGGCCGTACAAGGCTGACAGGGTACATGTTTGCTTCCAATAGGCCCAAGAGCTTCGCGCCTTGTGCCACAAGTCCTTCTTGGGGGGGGGGGGTCGCAAGATCGTACAAGAAAGTGGTCTATGTTGTAGTACGGGTGCCTTGCGGGCTATGTCGACTCAGCAAGGTACTGCACGCTGAAGAGCTTGCCTTGACATTGGGACACAGCCTCGTACGCCGGCGCGCCTCGAACTGCGACTCGCCAAACACAAGTAGATGCTCAAGATGACCAATGCATGTGAACTCAACGAGGCAGGGTTGTTATGCATGAGGGTGCTATTCTGTCCCTGAGGTCCGCTGGCAAATGACGCTAGTGCGGTCTAGCGCACAATTGAGGCGCGTTCATAGCAAGCACACAGTCTGCACTTTACAGGCCTCAAATAACAGATGTAGCTGCTATCGCAATATATGAGTCCGTTTTCTATCGTACGTCTGGGTAACATTTTTGAGGCAGCTCGTACAGCCAGCATATCAAGCACGTCAATTAGCGGCAGCCAAAGCCTCAAGCAATGTGAGACGCAGACTCAGCCTGGTGACATGATATTCGGAGCAGCAACGACTACCAAAGGTCAAGGAGGACAACTATTTGCTCATCGGCATGGTCCACTGCTCAAGCAATACATCCACGATGTCTCTTTGCTCCTTGCGCACACTCCCATCGCTGATCGCAACTTCAGTTCGTCTTCTCTTGCTGGCCGAATTTGTGTTTGCGGGTTCGGATCCGATCGATGTTACAGCGGGAGAAACTGATATCCTTTCAGGCCAATCTGCCACATTATTACAGCCCGAACGACTTGATGTGACCCTTGACTTCAGTTTGTACTTCTCTTTGTCTGAGCGTTGTTGCTTCCGATGTGCGGCAGACTCCAGCTCAGTACGACTCTCTGATCGCTCGCTATTCTCACACTTGCGACGCCTTCGGTGACATCGGTCTTCATATGAACTTGACTGAGTCGGCTCGCTCGGTGCCCTTATCAGCTTTCCAAACGTTTCTTTATCCGTAGCGACCCCTTCCGGAGTACCAAATTTGTCTTCTCGAAGACCAAGTTGGTACCTCTCCCAGTACGTTGGGCGTGGAACAAGTGCGGCTACAGAAGAGCCTCTATTGTCCATGCTATTTGCCGGTTGCAAACCCCGAATACTGCCGTAATCTGCGTGTGAGCCCACCAAAGCCTTATTGTCAGAATCTGAGCGTTTGGTCCCGACATTGGCCATTGGTGACATGGGTGACACGGAACGAACTTCGAAGCTATCGTCAGAAAAGTAATCTTCAGCAGTGGCCTGTGTAGGACGGCACGCAGCTATCGATAAAATATACCGTGTCTTCTGCGGCAGCTCTAGTGCTTCTGTCGAACGTTTCTTGCTCTGCCGTTCCAATGCCATCATCTCTTCCTGATATCTGGAGACATCTCTGTCATCAGATGGAGGAGCTTCCATGAGGTCATCGGAGGCATCGACGTGCAGAAATCTGTCAAAATCGAAGTTCACGAGGGCACCATCACCAACAGTAGGAGGTGTGTCGAGCGGAAGACCTTCCTTTTCGCCGAGTGAGCCGCCTCGATCTGCGGACTTGGGTTTTTCCTGTGGAGCTCCTTTGGCATCTGCCACCTTGTCCCTTTTCTTATCAACGTGAGCTTCCTGCTGTGAGATAAGCAAGTTCTCGAGCCGGTCGAACCTCGCCATCTCCGCATATTTCCTAGCCTCTGCTTCTTCTTCTTCTGGGCTTCTCTCTTCACCCTTGCCAAGTAGTAATTCGTCCAAGCTGTCGAGCTTCTGGTTCTCAGCTGCGCTAGAATCTTGTTTCGTCTCAAGGTTTCGCTGGGAACGGTTGCGGTTTTCGGCTTGTTTGTCACGCCGGCGTAGTGGAAGACGTGCAGTCGGCCCCTCTTCATTCGAATTATCATCTGGATGTTCTCGCTCGAATTCTAGCTCCACACTGTCGCTGTGCAGTCTCGTGCTTTGGCCTCGGCGGCTAAATGCGTCATAATGGGCCTCTCTATTAGATCGGCGGCGAGAATTTCTGGGGCCCACAACGGGAACACGACCTTGCGGTGTATCGCAGGTCAATTGAGATTTTGTTGACGGCGAAAGACGAGTTGATCTTGCTTCGCGCTCACGTTGTCTGTCCCGCTGCATCACGATCGTCTGTGGACGACGACGACTTACCTCATGAGAGGCAGGCGTTGTCTTAGCGTGACGTAGGCTCAGACGCCGTTCGGGTGCCACCTTTGAAAGAAACTCGGCTTGAAGTGGTTCCTTGACATTGCAAGTACCTTGGTCTCGATGTTCTAGCTCATAGTCTTCTTCAGACTCGGTTTCAGATTCGGACTTAGACCAAGAATCATCGTGCCCCTCGTAGCGGTACTCAACGCGCGGTTGTCGGCGTTGGACTGTAGCCTGAGGCGGAGCCTTAGAACGGTAGCTTGCAGAGGGCATGTTTCGATCGCTGCGCTCTACCTGCACGACGGGCGGTGGCAAAGGATATCCATAAGCAGACGTCTGAGAGGCGCGCGCCTGTAGGGAGGGCCTCTGTTGATCATGCATTGGCCTCATCTGCTGCGCTTCGTAGAACGCAACCGGTAGTGCACCAGATGGCGGTTCATAAGGCATTGTCTGAAACCGGCGTGTTGACGCTATGCTGCCATAGGCCAACCGAGATGGTGATGGTCCATGTTCGTTCGGAGCGCCTACACGAGACTCGCGCGAACTTAGCTGGCTTCCACTATAGTCTGGCGTCCCAATATAGCTTGAAGATCTGGATTTTGAGACGTTTGACGATGGTCTTGACAGCTCGTGATATCTGCTGAGTCGTTCTGGACGATTATTCACTGACCGTCGGCGTGAAACACTAGGCTGAACGACCGGCTCAGCCTGCGTACGGTATAATTGTGGTTGTCGATTGCTCATTGACGAGAGGGCTTGGTATTGCGCAGTATCTGAGACCTGAGAATAAGTGTCATATGGATCAGGATCATAGACAGCAGGGGCAGACTCGGCTGTCTTGGTTGGCAGCATCGATTGACGGCGTGACTGACGTGTTGAAGCGGCGTCAGGACCACACTTATTACAGCCAGGTACGGTACATTCACCGACAAGCCGGTCATCCTCTTGCTTTGGGGGCGTGTACGAGATACTCGATCGTCGTTGCCTAGTCGGCCGGTGAGGACCATGCGAAACCCTCCGGGAGCGTGGCTGACGACCTGGCCGCGTTGAAGTCACCAGAGCCGGCGGCACAACATGACTGATCGTGACAGGCTGAATGCAATCCTTGTTGGAAGCCGACGTCTTTTCAGGTGGCGCCAACGTAACATCAACAATGTTGGCCTCGAACTTGCGACAAAAGCGCTGATAGACCTTATGCATCCGTCTTTTGCGATGATGGTCCACAGCTATGCCGCTCTTAAGGATTTCTTGTAGCGTCATGATACGTCTGAGTAGCTTCTGAACTTGGGTCGCACATTCAGCAAGTTCGTCGAGCGTCAAGTGCTCGCCTTCGTCATCTGTAGTAATTGCTTCGCTGTCAGATGTATCAGGGCCAAGGTTTTTGAAGAGACACATTGCATAGTCGTTTCCTTTGACTTGCTCGTGAGCTGTCGAAACTGGTGGTGCCGCTGTCGAGATAGTCAGGCTGCCCGGACTTGATGGCACAGGTGCATTAGGGTCTTGTGATGGGCCACCATCAACAGCCTTGTCCACGCATATTTTTCGTTCGAGCGCTTTGAGAATTCTGAGCGAGTCTTGTTGCTGCTGATATAGTTCCCGAATCTGCTTTCGCTGTTCTTCCAGTGCGGCAGCTTCAACGTCGCTGTTGTGATGTTAGCAAAATCGACCTTGTCTATCTGGAAGTGGATGTACCCTCTGGCCTTGTCGTGTGCCAACTGCAACACATAGAAGAGCACCAGTAGACTACTCTTCAGTGTCTCCAGCCTTCTGCGCAGAAGCTCGACTCGCTGCTCTTTCATAGGCCAGCCCATCTTCGCCCTGAAGCTAACGCGCGACTTTCCATCTGTTCCTGGCTTTCTGCCCTTCTCGACGACATCAGAAAGCTCGTTGAAGACCTCTTCGCATTGCCTGATTAGTTCTTTCGCATGCTGAATTGCGTCTTGGTTTACCAGCTTCTTGGCATCATCGCTAACGAGCACTTTTCCAACGTCGCCCAACACCTTGGATGTTAGCTTTACGTCTCCAGCAATGTTTGTGATCTCGCTATCCGCACGCGCAGCTGTGCTGATGAAGTTGTAAAGCTCGATTGACAGCTTTGTGCCTGCGCCGCCAATCTGGATGATGCTGGCTGCAAGCCCCACGACTTCGGCCATCGTAAGCTAGAACCGAGGCTGCTAGGTTGGCGCGGCTGGAGATAAAAGGTAAAAGCGTGAGAAGGCCGGAAGGCAGGATAGCGACGAAATGAATGTAAGCTTGCAGCGGTCCTGAGGCTGTGTCGATGTTCAGCCCCCACGGTGTAGCGATGCCTGACCCTTGCAGGAGGCGTGAGCTCTACTGCAGGTCGCCATTCGCAGCGTAGTGCTGTAGAAAACGAGTCCATCAATGGGCACAGCCTAGCTCTTAGTCGAGTTGTGATGTGGCTGATCGGAAAAGTGTTATTGATGTAGAGAGAGTGGAAAGAAGTCTGGGGACGGAGAGGGCATGACGTTCAGGTAGATTTGGCGCCAAGCGTTAGCTCATGCACACGATAAGTGGTTGCAAGTTCTCGAGTGCTGCAGGGCAAGATAAGTTAAAATTGACGGATTGGATTGCAAGGCAGACTACGCTGTGGGTATATAACCATATAGACAAGACAACCGTACCATGCAATAGAAACAAGAGCAACAACTGGGTCAGTGACTCCACTTACGAGCCTCGCGCTGGGCTGTTGGCAGCACCCTTGTTGATGAGGCCGGAGAAGAATGACATGAGCTTATCGTTGCTCATCGTGTTCGGGTCTGATGCGTCTGGAGTGGATGCTTTTGGCTCGCTGGAACGGCTTGCTTCGCGGTCCTGCAGCCTCTTCACCATCTCGTCGGCATTGACGTGGATGCCACCCATGTTGAACTGAACGGGCCCGATGTGCTCTTCGACAACGCCAGATGTGTCATCCCCACTAGTCCCAGCCGCGATCCAGTTCCGTGCTGAGAGGTCGGCCTCTTTCCGCGCTGCCTTGAGCGCAGCGTCCTTTTCGTCTTCCTGTCGCAGCTGGTCGAGGACGTGCACTTGCTCTGTGAGGAAGGCTTGTGGATCCATGCTCGTAACTTCGATGCCGTTTCCTTGTTTCGAAAGTGTAGAAAGTGTGAAGTCGCGCTCCGGATTCCTGATCTCCTTCTCGTAGATTGCGGTTGCTGAGTTGTTGTCGTGCTGTTGACTAGTTGTTGATGTTGAGTCTTCCACATCTTCTGCTCCGCCATCTGCTTGTTGCCCGTTGGGCTGAGCTGGACCCTGAGGTACATCGATATCAATACTCCACTTTTCGCTTATCTCTTCCACCTCGAAGTTCCCCCGCAAGATACGGATCTTCGCCCATGAATCCCAGTTTGGCGGTACCAGCACTCGATCTCGGTCTGTGACGTTGTGTCTCAGCTGGTCCTGCTTGAGGAGCGACTTGATGCCTAATGTCGAGTGCACCAGTGTCTGCAACGAGCCAGGTGCCGAGGGCATTGTGTAGATCAAGCTGCCGCCGTGCTTGAGTAAGATGGTGCGCAGGTACTGTAGGATAAAATCGAACTCCTCCTCTTTCCAGCCACGCTCCTTCTCCAGGGACTCGATCTTGTCAGCGTTCTGGCACACAACGCAGAGTGGCAGTCCTAGCGGCTCGTCCCACTCTCCAGGCCCTAGCGGTATCTTCACATTCTCCATCGATGTGCTGCCTTCTCCACCAAGATTGCGCCCCTTGTCCTGCAGTATCGCGATGTTGTCGTGGAGCACCTCCTTCGAGGCGTCATCGAGTGACACGACAAGAGACCGCAGTACTCGTATCCAGTCTCGTAGCTGCCGTATCCACAGCCAAGGGTGGTTCCAGTCTAGCAATATGACGATGAGCATGTTTGGGACGGTACGTGGGTTCAGGTACGGCTTGATGAGCGGCGTGAATGACGGCGAGGGGTTGGCGAGGAGGTAAAGCGAGAGGCGGGCGAGAGTGTCTAAGAGCGTCAGCATGACGAGGATTGGTGCAAGGGCACAGGCCAGTTACCTTCATGATCGGTGTCGAGTACGTCCTGATATGTGTAACCCAGGGCAAATTGATTCGCGATAGGCGGCTTCTTCCCTCGGTCCTGCTGTCTCCTGCCATTCGGGCCATCTGTTGATACTGACTCGAGAAATTCTCGTTGTGTCTCTGGTGTGCCACCTGGTCCCCTTGTTAGCCTTCACCGCTGCATGTCCTTGAGGCCAGCGCACCTAGTACAACCAAGCTCTTTTCCGGCAGCCTCTTCCCGCTCGAGATATTGTCCAGCATGGGCTTCCATATCTCCTCTTTGTCTGTGTCTCTGCTGCCTGGCCGGTCGTTGCTGCCCGGTGTACGTGTGGGGAACGCTGAGGTTCGACGCGCGCTGGCCATTGCGGAGGCCGGAGGTGCTGCGGAGTTTGGTCGTGTGCAAATATTACGTCAGGTGTGCCTGGGGCAGCGTTCGCCTCTCTAATGAAGAGTAAACAAAGCAGTCGCAAGAGGAAGCAGCGTTGCGGCGCGCAGTCAATGTGCAATGTGGGGGTGTTGTGGAGGTGTTTGGCAGCTCTTTGTTGGTCGGCACCTTTTCTGCAGGGGTCCCGCGACTTGCATTCTGCCAAGCACCGAGCTTCCTCAAAAGTTCACCACCACACGCCGCAGTCTTCTCACTCTACAGCTCATCTGCCTATCCCCCGCCATGAACTCGGTGCGCGCGATCCAGCAGCTGAACAAGCGCGAGCTCGAAGCCGGCATCAACCCAGAAGGCTCTTGGCACACCGACTACCGTGACACGGCATTCATTTACGTCGGCGGTCTAGCATTCGAGCTCTCGGAGGGTGACATCATCACCATTTTCTCGCAGTATGGCGAGCCTGTATGGGTCAAGCTTGCGCGCGACAAAGAGACGGGGAAGTCACGTGGATTTGCCTGGATCAAGTACGAAGACCAGAGAAGCTGCGATTTGGCTGTGGACAACCTGGGCGGCGCGACCATCATGGACCGAGTCGTCAGAGTCGACCACGCACGATACAAGCCAAGAGACGACGAGGACATGAGAGACAACACTATCGGCGATGCGCGCCTGGACGCTGGCAACGACTCGGACGGCGGCAGGCGCAAGCGGAGACGGAGTGAAGAGACTAACTCCGAGGACGACAGGCCCTTGCTACCGGAAGAGATCGAGCTTGAGCAACTGACGGAGAAGCTGGACCTGGACGATCCTATGCGCGACTCCATGATCAAGCAGCAGCAGGACAAGGTGGACGAGGCAGTTGCTAGGCTACAACGCAAGATGCGGAAAGAGAAGGAGAGGAAGAGCAGACACGAGAGGCGACATCGAAGAGATGGCTCCAGAGACCGTCATAGAGAGCGCGATAGGAAGAGGATCAAAGACGTAGAAGAGGATGACCGCCATGATCGCCGTTCACGACGCAGAGACGACCGTAGCAGGAGCCGCGACGGAGCGTCTGACGACGATCGCCGTCAGAGGAAGCCCAGATATCGAGACGAGTCAGAGGACAGAGACAGGCGCCATCGTCGTGACCGAAGCCGAGCCCGACGCGACCGCAGCAGTGAAGGTCGTGACAAAGACCGCGAGCACCGACGACGCCGCCACAGCTCTGCCAGTGAGGACGGCAGGAAGCCGAAGTCCAAACGATCGCCCTCACCGCATCGAGAGCGCTCTCCTCGATGAAGATTGGATCTCGATGCTTGACACATGGTAGCTAAAACCCGGTCTTTTCTCCCGCCAGTACAATACGGAAGCCCACAGAGTTCTTTACAAGATGGATTTCTTGGTGTGAGCTCTTCAAGAGTTGCTAGGTTTCCTGCGGTAAGAGGGCGGCCGTACGACCTACCTGCCTGAACCTCCTCGTAGATAGCCGGACCCCAGGGCGTAGATTCCCCAAAACGTTCGCGCCCTGCGTAAGTTGCCACTCCGGCCCTGTGGTCGAAGCCCGTAGTCTCCGGATCACCGGTGTACGGGTCGACCCGGTAGCCACGATGGCCGGATACGTAGTTCCAGTGATCTTGTGGCATGATTGCTAAGTTATTAGATGGTGTTCTCGTCAGTTTCAGAGTCTCAAAGATGCTGTGGGAAGGTCCAGCTGCAAAGAAGGCAGGCTTTATGAGGCAAGGCAGTACGTGACATGGATTCCTTCACGACCAAGCTGGCGATCTGGCAGTCGCACTTGAAGCCATTACACTCGACTGCGGGGACAACACATTGCCAGCGTACGAAACACGGTTCACGACTGCGACTCGGTACGGGTCCAATACCTACAGACTAGACAATCATTCAACGTATACTTCTATTGCCGCTCGTCCCTTACCTGCCTTAGGGAAGCCCTTCACATGTATACGCCTGCCAGCGCAGCACTTCACACGCCTCTAGAGTTTCGAATATCACAAACTATGAGAATACCTACACGACTCTGTGTACCACGCGTGAACGCATATGTGCCTATATTTGCACCCCAAGTATCTTCCCTAGACCCCAACAATAACCCATAACACTTCCTCACACAACAAAGACGACAGCAAAAACCCAAGGAACAGCGCGATGCCAGGAACAGGCTACATCAATATGGCGTAAGGATGGGGTTTCGACCCTTCTCGTCTCTGGAGCATGCACGACTACCCCTACTATGGGTACTCGTACCGCTATGACCCGTGTTGGGATGGCAGCGTGAGGGTGCGCGAAGCGTTCGAAGAAGGTAGGTCGAGTACGCAGCCGTTGATGGTTGATACGCTGGGGCGGGCTAGGGAATGCGCCATACTATGACATGATGCACGAGCGATGGGTCATAAGAGCGCTGAGGCAAGGGTATTGGACGATGCCGGGGTACTGGCGGGGTGATTGAGTGATGGAAAAGGTCGTGATATGATCATCGTAATGTAGAGGCGTAGCAGTCTGCCTCACGATTCTATCCATCATATTTACTCTGGTCTCATCGCTCTCGCGCAGCAAGGGCTCACCGCTGCGAGGCAGCGGCAGGTTCGAACTCGGGATCTTTCGCGTTCACGAGATGTGAGGTGAACGTGATAACCAAGTACACCACAAACCCGGTTTGATGATTTGGTGGAAGGTTTGTTTGGACTGAGATATGGAGCTGATGCATGCTTGCGTGAGTGAAGTTTCAAGTGACGCAGTATAAATGACCATGCATTGACACGTAGTGTCTATCATCGTAGCTATGAGAGGATCTGTTCAGAACTTTGCAGCTAGAGACAACCTCTTCCTTGCCTCGTTGCGAACCGTTTCCACGATCTCACTTGCACTATCAACTTCCTTGGCTAGACCGACCCCAGTACCAGCCCAGATCGCTGCCCTCCCCTCGAGTCCAGTCTTCCACCCCAAGTCCTCCTCTTTCAGAGCCTCCTTATGCTTCTTTTGGATCTCTTCCAGACTGACACCTTCCACATACTCCTTGTGACTCTTGACGACAAGACTCCTTCCATCATACACCTCCGGCCAAATATTCGGCCCGCTTAACTGATCAAACAGCTTACTCCTCGTGGTAATCTGCCCGCCATCTTTCGCCTCTAGGATCGAAGCCTGCACCATGGGATGCACAAGCGCCTCTTTACTCGCCAAGAACCGCGTGCCCATCACCACACCCGCAGCACCCAAGCTCATCGCCGCAGCAACACCGCGTCCGTCCATGATGCCACCACTTGCTAGCAGCGCCACGTCTCTAAACCCCGCTGCCTCAAATGCATCTGCCGTTTCAGGCAACAGCGAGATGATACCAGAGCCCTTCTCAAATCCATGACCACCCGCATCTGCACCTTGCAGACAGAGAGCGTCAGGTTTTGTCTGCTCGGCGATTTGTAGCGCGGACGCGACACTACCGGCTTGCACCCAGATTTGACTCTTCGGCGACACCTCTCTCACGGCCTTTGCCCACACGGCGTAGTCGTCGAACTGTTTCGCTGCGAATAGCCATACCACAGCTGGCTTGAATTCTTTTACCACCGCCAAAGCGTCGTCAAGCTTGAGGACAAACGGCAGGAAGCCGACGCCGATGTTTAGGGTTGAGGATTGAGAATGAGGAGTGGAGGGATGTGCGGCGAATGTGTCTTTGGCGATGTTTAGTTCACGCCGGGTGATACTCATGTCCACTTTCGTTCCAATGAGGCCGAAGCCACCAGCAAGAGTCACGGTGGCGGCGAGGAGACCGCCGGCGTTGTCGGCCATGGGCGCATTAATGATGAGGGGATTTGAAATCCATGGGAAGGAGGTCTTGATGGAAGTCATCTTGGTTTGAGCCGTGAAAGGGCGTGATGAGATTGGAAGACGTGCCAGGCCTGAAGTTTTCTTTGTAGGTGCAGCGCGGAAAGATGCCAGCTGGCGCTGCGTCGATCCCCATATATGTTAACGAGACAGGGGGATGAGTCGTAGACGGAGGTGAGCGGAGATGCACATCTTACGGTACACCAAAACTTGTCCAAATGTTCGCTAGAGCTAAGTTAGCAGCTTATTATCTGTCCGTCTCCCTTACCCTCGGCAAACCCTTGCTGTGCTTAGAAGAGCATGATATCAACTGATCAGCCAACGGATTGCACTTGGTCTCAATTTTGATTGCATGTTCGAAGCTCAGATTTCCGAATCTTGCCGAGGTTCGAACTCAGACGCCAGACAGACGTCTACGGTTGAAAGGTACTTGCCCAAGGGGGCAATGCACACCTCTGGGCACTGCATACTCGAAAGACGCAGATTGTCACCGCCTCAGCATATCTACACACAGTTTCCCTCGTCTTCTTGTGGTTCTGATGTGGTATTGGTGGAGTGGCCTCCCCAAGGTCCATATCTGTCAGGCCCCAGAAACCCTCAAGCCTCAAAAAATCACTACTTAAGATATATTATACATATATTTAGTCCCTTTCATCAAATCATTCAAAACGGTTTTGTGGTGTAGTTGGTTATCACGTTCGCCTCACATCTCGTGAACGCGAAAGGTCCCGAGTTCGAACCTCGGCGAAATCAAAACGTTCTTTTTCTTTTTTTGCCAATTCTCCGTACCGTACGGTGGAGCTGCTTGCGGCTCCATTGTCCTTTCAAGGCAGAGGTCACCCACTCGAGCATCTCGGTCTCATGTCGTTCCTGCAACCCGAAATCGAAGAGTTCGAAGGCGCAGAAAGAAGCAGAGGATGAGTAACGATGTTGGGACATGTTGAATTTGGTGATGTGTGTGCGACGCGCCGAGACGACCTGAGCTTCACGCGCAATATGTTCTACACCCTGCTGACCAGGTAAGGTCAATCTCGCAGTTCGAATCACCACTTTTCTTACTTTGTGTAAATTGTTGGCTGTCAGCTTTGATGATCGGATGGAGAGAGAATTAGTGCAATTTCCCCATGCGGCAGGTTTGTAAGTCCGTCGATTTGCCCACTAATCGGGACTCTTCCCTTTTCGCTTCGAGTCTTACCCCGCCAACTCCCTTGTCTCCTAAATCCACTTCATTTGGTCCCTTTGATACTAACATCTTCAACCTCTGATTCTTTGTTCTGGTAAACTCCATCGCTGTCTCCATCGAGGTTGTGTTTGTTGCTGCGCCCCTCGACCCAAGCAGGCTCGGTCAGGCAGCCAGCAGCACTCGAAAAGGCTGCCATCTTATTGCGATAGCGAGCACAAAGATGCGACACATGATGCCTCGATGCCTTTATCACGCCATCGAACGATATTGAGCAGCATTGCGGCATTGCCCGGCGTTATCGATGATGCTTGATCTCGGGCCTGAGACTGATCGCTCGTCAGCACGTTTGGATGGATCTGTGATCTCGATGATTTGAAACTCAGACTCTATTCTATTGCTGGTAAGGTTACAAGACAGTGCTACTGGAAGGAAACGACTTCTATGATTGTGAAGCACCTGCAGGGTTGCAGTCACACAACACGAGACTGCGTTGACTCAACACCTTTACATTGCACAGGGATGTTGACAATACATAAGAAAGACAATGCGGGAAGGGGGTATAATGATGATAGGGTATCGTGATACGAAGGAGCAAACCGCTGTCTATCAAACGCCATACTCCGCAATAGCAAAAAACACTGGGATCATCAGTAAGAGTTGGCAAGAACAGGTCTGTGGAAACTTACCTGGAAAGTAACCGCCGACAACTATACCGCCCACTATGCAGTATTCTGCTAATTCTTGATTGCGTACACCGAACAGTACGTAGAACACCTCCAATGCGAGCAGTTGTAGCAGCCTTTGTTGTACTCGCAGCTGTTGTCGGAATGGCAGTTGCAACATTGCCATCGATACGTCTCATTGCCGTCGACGAGCTCACCATGAGCGTGCATCGAATTGGCGTGGGGGTGTATCAGAGAGGCGAAGCCGTGAGTATGGGTGTCGGTGAGGTCGAAGTCGTAATCGGCATGAGCAATTTCGGTCTCACAATAGCCACACTGATGATGTTGGGAAGTGCAATTGGCGCCGGTACACTGAGGGTTGTTTGCGATACTCATTGGACCGTTCTTGCACTGGCAGCAATACCAGACTGTGGCCATAGAGACTTGTTACGGAAAGAGTATGGAAACTTGGAACCAGAGGGGTGTGAAATTTAGATGCTTGAACAGAGGAATGTGCTTCGACGATGAGAGAGATTGGAGAAGAAGATATACCGTGTGAGGAAGGACGTGTGAAGGACCTCACAGTCCTTTGCTATGCCTTACTTACGCTCATGGCCGAGGTCACACAATATCGCACCGCCACTTCGCCGTTTTTGCCCTCTGCCCTCTTAGTCGCAACGGACCCACTTTGTGCGCAATTACAAATTCTGTATGGACTCCTTAATTACATGGGCTATACTCTCAGCAGCTGTCTTCGTCGCCATGGCGCCCCTTTACCACAGATTCGGAACGGAAGCCTACGCCTTAGTGCTCAAAATCAGCAATGATTTGACCGGTGCAAGGGCACGAGGGACGAACAAAGTGAGCAGCTTGGGCGACACTGAAGCTCTCAGATCCGACAAGAGATGAACACCGGAGATTCGACGCTTATCGATTGTGGCCATGTAGAGTGGGATGGGACCAGGCTTAAAGGCCCATCAGAAGACCATTGTTTGATTATCAGGCTTGGGAGACGTACGCTTCACGCTAGATACTGAAAATCCATAGCCCCGGTTCGGAGCATACAACTCGCAGACAGTCCTGTCTGAAGTGCCAAATGTACCGTATGATCGAACCGGAAGCATACCAAGGCCTTGCGCAAATGCGATTACCCAAAGAGAAGCTAGAAGCAGTCCAGCATCTGGTCACTGTTTAAGCGCGCAATTGAATATGCCTGGCCGCAGTGATTGAAGTGGAGCCAGAAGGACGAAAGGCAATCAACATAGCCATACGCGTACAATCGCGCGCGACTTGTGCAAACATGAGGAGTCAGATATCCAAGCGGATGAAATTGACTGGCAAGAAGCCAATGGAGGCATCGATGGTCAGGACTCGGCTGGTGGGCTGGTGGGAGACTTCTCGCTTTTGCCGAAACTGAGCAGGCAAACGGGGCGCAATTTTGCGAACCCCACGACTTCCGCCTTTTTGCACCGCCACTTCTGTCCTGGCCTGTCTTTGGCTAATTTTTGAGGAACACATTAGAAACGTTAAAAGAGGTTCGATAGACGAAACTTCAGCGATGAGGGTGCTCTGGCATGCCGATAAGCGAGACTCGAGACAAGTTTTCGCCCGAGTCGATGTACGTACATCATCGAACCTTGCAGCAATCATGACATGATGGCATGGCTAATGTTGCTGCCGATGCTGCTTGTTCCAACCTCATGTCAACAAACAAGTTCACTTGCACACTTACACAATGCAGCTCTTCGAGCGCAATCTTGCTGCGCAAAACGCCTGGACGACGAGCAGGAAGACTCATCTGCCCGTAAAACATTGGAAGCGTTGGTTGGCTTCTGGAAAGTGGTGAGAAGGGATAGGAAGGACCTCTTGGGCGCCTGGCTGATGTTACTTGACTCCGTGTCAGTGAGGCGTCGCCAAAGGGCAATGGAGAGGGCACGGTGTCTTCACCGCTTTTCTTCTCACCGTAACCCGGACTTTCGGCGTACTCGGTCGTATTTTTCTCTGACGAAGAGTGGATTCATCTCTTTTGATGATTTGTTTGAGTGGTTGAGGTCATCCTCAAAGCCTTAAGGCAGGCAGCAGCCTTAGCGAGTCTGCCCTGCACACGCTAACCCACTTGGGCACACCACTTGCACAGCCACAAGTCCAACTTCAGGACCTGTTTCATGGCCGCCAGATGATGTGCTTCAGGTTTTCATGTGCCCTCAAACTCCGGGCGGAAGAGAAGCGCTGCGTAGCTGCATCTTGCATATGATCGCTTACATTGAATGCACTTCTTCTCAGTACTGGTGTTTTGGTGTCAGAGTGCGTGGAGACCGTGATGCATAAAGTGAGTGAATATCTACGTATCTTCCAACTTGCTGCTGTGCTTTATCGGCATGCCAGCTTCTCGGCAAAGTTGGTCATGTTCAGCACATCGCGAGAGGTCCCGGATTGTGATATACAGAAATTATGATACAAGACTGACTGCCAGGTGTAGCTGATGAGGGTAGTGATGTGAACTGTCGATTGTAATACTATGAGAGGACGAATATCTACATCGTGTGGAAAGCAGGCGCTAGTAACGAGCTGGCCAATGAGAGCGCAGTTTGAGCGGACAGTAGCCCTTCAAGATGGTCTACCGGCTGAATACCAGAAGAGCAGCACATCAGGAGTTTCTTGCTTGGAAACATGACACTTCTTTGACATGATCCAGTACATTGATGTAGGACAGAGATGAGCCAGGTAGAAAAGACAAGTCTAAAGGGGGTATAGTAATGCAGCGGGCAATATAGTCTAACGAACGCCATGCAGCCCAAAAAAGCAAGAGCAAAACGCGAAGCGGTCCGAGACAAGAACGGTCTTAAAACTAGGAGTGGTGAGTACAAGATTAAGAAGAAGAATAGCAGTCACTTACATCCCAAACTCCAACGCAACGCCAAACCCTCATTACTGTCTCATCAATATTTGATGGCATACACGGTGCAGCTACCGCACCTCCAATGATTGTTGCAGTCCGTACAGCCGGGACTATGTTCGTAGCTGTTGTCGCCGTGGCATTGACAGCATGTCCATCGATACACCATGTCGCCGCCATCCGTGGACTCGCTCTGGGATCCGCAGCCATATGTGGAGACTATGGGCCTGCGAATGCCATGGTGGATGCTAATTGGGATGGCATGGGTGGCGGTTTTAGTGTTACTAATAGCGGCATTGTTCGTTGGAGCGAAGCTATTGTTCAGAGCTAAGATGGTGCTGGTAATCGCGCCGATGAGATCGTTGCCGGTATTGTACTTGGGGTAGATGGTTGTCTCCTCACAACACCCGCATTTTGTATGGTAACAGTTTGGACAGCCGGTGCTGTGAGCAATGACTAGCGGGCCGTCCCCGCATTCACCGCAATACCAGTGGGTAGCCATATTGGAGCCTTAATTGATTGAAGTCGTTTTGGAAGCAAGATAACGAATTGTAAGTTGTGAATACCTTGTTCGAAGCTGATATGGAGAAGATGTCTGTCTGAGGAAGAGGCAGGAATGATATACTACCAGAAGGTGTTGCAGACGGGGTCCTTCGAAGGACTCTGAGGCCATGTTGCTATGTCTCACGATCAGCGTCGTCATCTCGCAATACCTGCACGGCCACAGTTCGTCCTCTTCGTCCTCTGCCTTTGGCCCTTGGGCAGGCCCATGCCCCTTTTCGTAGCTTCATTCTCGTCCAATACACGCGTTGACGGGCTGTATCACTTGTTCTCGTACCGACTTGACGGGATTGTCACCTAGAACTAGCGTTTCCTGGCATGATCGAGTCCAGTGAGTGGGCGAACAGGGGATGACAATGACGGTAGCGAGAGAACTTCACGAGAGAGTCATAACGGAGGCGTCGTGGCTCTGCTCTTTCTCAGGGAAATCGCGCATGTCACGACGGCCTCTGAGGCATACTTTTGACTTCAGAAATGGCGCTAGAAGATCCTAATCGCGCCAGACATTTAGTAACATTTGTGGCGAAGCCGACTAGAAGAAACCGCCGGTAGGAGGATAGATCAAGTCTCGGTTGTGGCGCGCTTTGTGTGTCGTTGAAAGTGTTATGCCTCCAGCCTTAGGCCAGAACTCGGGACAGCTGCAGTGATCTACGCTGCGGGTCATGAGCACTTGCTTCGAACAAGACGAGGCTGCTTGATTCTCAAGGTTAACCTTGTTCTACTCCTTCAAATCCGGCACAGAAACTATTGCGAGTAGGAGGCCGCTCACCACTTGCTTTCTTGCGTGCGCTTTTGCGCTGCTGCGCATTACGCTCGAAAGGCAAAATGAAACCAAGGAAAGAGGCAACCGCACAAGTGTTGAAGTGATCGGGGGAGAGAGCGGGGCAGAGGGCAAATAAGAGGAACGTTGAATTAAGCACAGCTGATGTTACATGGCCGGCGTCGCCAGGCGTCAACAGGCGGCACCGGAAGGACACGGTGTCATCACCGCCTCCACCTCATCTTGAATCGGACTCTCGCACTTTTCTGATTCGTTTGGCTTTGCGACTTTTTTTTTCAGAAGCCAGGCTGACCCTAAGGCTCTGCCTTCCACATTGGGCAGGTAGCGAGTCTTAGCGAATAGTCCTCCATCATTACTTACCGAAACGCTCAGCCACAGTTTTGAAATCGCCTGATGAGCAATTTTCTAGAAGATTGCCGCCTTGAGCCTGCCCTAAGCCACTTGGTTGCCACATTGCAGTGCAACGCGGGTTCACGGGTCGTCCTGGACCCCAACGCCAGCTCTCCGACTCACTTCTCAGGATCTTGCCCCTCACACCCTCAAACTCTTTCACGGTGATGTACCGTGTGGCCGCAGCTCGCGTATCCATCGCTAACCTTGTATGGACTTCACTTCTTCCTGGTTCTGTTTGACATTGGAAGAATATACCTGTGAATCTGGGAGGTGCAGCTTCCAGAGCAGACGTGTATAGATTGAAAGCAAGCTATCTAAATCAGAACGAGAGATATCTAAAATGAATGCCAGTAGCGCCGATCCATGCCCTTTCGCTCAGATGCAGACGTAACGCCCAAGTCACAAGCAACAAGACACAGATATCCTAACGAAAAGCCCATCAAATCGACCCCAACACTGAACGCAAGTGTCTATCCCAATGCACCAGAGATAACAACAACCAGCCGAAAAAGAGGGTATCAGAAGCCTGACGAAGTTGACACAGTGCCGATAGTAGACAGGCCCCATGAGTACCGATGAAGCATCAGGACCTAGCTTGGGTGTCTCCACCTCTCGAGGCGTCGATGGTGTTTCGTAACCGAGCAGCTTAGAGGTCGTACTAATTCTGTTCCACGGTGCAAGCACTACAGTACGGGTGGTTACAGCAGGGACAGGCGGTGTACCAGGTGCCCATCGGACCGTTACCACAGTTGCTGCAGTACCAAACTGTCTCGCCATCACTCGGAGCACTGCCATGCTGATGGTCCATGTGATTGTCGGCAATGATGAAAGACGAGGTGTTCGCGGTAATTTCGTGTAAAGAAGGTGTTGACGGGAGGGTATCAAGGGAGAGGTCTATGACCGGAGTCATAAACGTGATAAGCGCAGAGGAACGTGGGGCGATATGTTGTTTGCCGAAGTCCTGATCGATGGGTTGCGCCATATGAATTGTTGCAGAGTCAATCTCAGTGGGAATAGGTTGCATTGTCGAAAGGACCGCCATTGTTGTTGAAGATTGCTTTTAGAGAATACGTAGAGAGGAATGTGTAGAATGTATCTGCTTGAAGTAGAAGGGTTGATTTGTAGATACTGATCATTGATGTCGCGGCACCATAGTTATACTCGCCTTTTAGCAGAGGGACCTGTAATTACAGCCACACACTCAAGTCTGTGGCTTCTCAGGGCGACCAAAGATAGGCCAGTGCAGTAACAACCGTGACGGGGTCCCGAAAAGGCAGCAACAGTGAAAGCCAACGAATGTTGAGATGATGCGTTGTGGGGCATCCACGGGGCAACGAGGACGTGAGGGACCCCGAGTAATCCTTCAGCGGCGATGACAGCGTGCATATTCGACATACTGTTTCTTCGCATGTTGATGGTAGTTGACATGAAGCGGAGAACAAGTCGGTCAGAGGTACAGCCATGCTTGACTTGCCAAAGGCCTGCAAGGCGGCGGAAGTGGGCTTGAAGGCTGTGAGGTTGTTAGCAATGTGCAACAAGCGCCATGGCGAACACGGGTAATAGAGCTCTCCCCTGTAGGGTAGGCTCAATCTCAAACTCGTAATGCCTGGTCTCCCCAAGCCAGAATGAGGCTGGCCGAGTGGTCGTATTGCCTTTTCGCCTGCTCTAAACCATTTTCGGAATAAACACATCTTCTCGCCATAAAGGCATCTGCTTTGTGCTGGCAGAAGGATTTTGTCAACGTGACTGAGCCGCAGAGGTGAGCATGCTGTGCGCACCATAACGACAGCCATGTACCTGCACTTTGAGTGGGATATCTGACCTGGTTCCTGGATCCTCAAACAATCGCTTGCGTTGCAGGAATACGTTCCGTACGCATGTAGGCGCGATAAACGATGCAGGAACACGGCTGTCCTGCTTCCAGCCCTGACGCCAGCTGTAAGAGAGGGCTGTAGCATCAAACGACGGTATTGAGCAGCTCAACGTGCTCTCCCAATCTCAACAGATACTGAAGTTTTGGTCGAACAATGTCTGGCGCTGGAATTGCACGGTCTTGCCGGTGAACAGAAGCAGTAGGGGCAGTGTACGCTATGTGACCGGAATTGAAGTGTATGTCGTCGTCTGCGCACGGTTTCAACCTGACATCAACGATCAGACCGGTTTTGAGCTGAGTGGACTTTCGCTCCAACCCAGGCTCCTCGTTAAGACTGGATTCAGACGCTCTGCTCAGGGCTCTGATCGACATGTTGACCGTGTTACGCTGACTTGGTCCTCTCTGCAGCAACAGCGCTCGCAGAGTGTAGCATTATGACGCACGATTCACCAGCTAGGCTGCAGAGCAGGTTGTGGATCGGCCTAGAGAGTAGGTGTTGTGAGTCGTGCCGGTCATGCGCAGGTGCATCTGGCAGCGGTGAGCACAGTGTTCAATAAGGCTGAGTGTGGTCTTACAATTTACTACAAAGAGCAGCTCGCCCTTCATTTGCAACTGCATGTCGGTATGCATAAGGCGTCCTTTTCATCGTCGGCCTTCTGCGTTATCATTGTGATGCGTGAGTCGCGGTGAGGGAGCATTTTCCTCGCCTCCATATCCGTATCGGGGCGTTTACCCCTTATATCGAACCTTCACCAGCCTTCATATTTACTTTTGAGCAGAAACTTTGCCCTTGTCCGCTTCACTTCGACGCTGGGTTCCCGGACTCGAACGCTGGTGCCTCCTATCGTGTACCTCAACAGAGTGAATTAAGCTCTCGATTCGCGGCACCAGACAACCCGCCACCGAGACCAGCACAGCCTGATGGCCTGGTGAAATGATGAAGCATGGAAGGACGCAAGGCTGAGGAACCGGTCAGGCAAGCAGCTAGCTTCAATGGGCGGCACCATGACTGCTGCCACTGCTTCACCGAACCTTCAACGAGAAGAATAAGGGAATAAGTAGCGGTAAGAGCATGCTTGCAATTACACGTCACTGTGGAAACAGAACAATAGCAAAGCTACTGAGAAGAGAACGAAGGGCATCAGGCTGTAGGAAGTGAGGTGGAGTCGGGTTGGTGTTGCGGAGTGCATGCAGCTGAGTGACAGCTCACAGCTAGCCCTGACTCGTGTCACACGTCAGCCACGATCAGCGATGGCACAAATGCGTATACAACGGGCTCGTCGATGTAGATTTTCCAGAGGGCACGACGTCACCCGATCTTTGAAATGTGCAGAAGTTTGTTCGCAGGAAGGCGGTGATGTTTACGTGGTGTCGAGTGTGGAAAGTAAACAGATCGGCAGTTTGTTGCGATGACGTCCATTCAGAGCCTAGACGCCAACAGGGCTGGGCCGCCAAGCTCATCTCGCACTTCAAACTCCAACCTCATCAGCCACCATGGCACGCAGCCTTCTACTGTACGATCGCCCCTCCCTGTGAGGTAGCCCACCAAATCTCGATATGGCGCCCCCAGTAGCTCCAGCAGCGGGCGCAACGAAGGCGGATGTACGCGACCAGTCGGCGCTCGAACAGCGATTGGGACAATCGACAAGCGTCATCATGCCGTTACTAGAACTTGGCGCAATAGGATATGTGACCTGGGTCCTTGCATACCAGATATGTATACAGTATCTAATTGACCCCTCCGCCGAGTTCCGCCAGGGCTTCAACGTCCAGCCACGACGCGCCACCGGTATCGCCCTCATAGTTGTCTACGCTGTTCTCCTCCTCCTACTCCTTGTACCCTGGTCGCGCCTTATCCAAGTCATTTGGTCGAAACCGGACCTTGTACCTTTGGGAGATACTTCGCTGGAGAAGAAGGAGGTGACAACGAGCTGGCTGGGAGAGTACGATGCGTACATCTGCGACTACGAAGGCATGCCGTTATGGTGTGACAAGTGCCACAACTGGAAGCCGGACAGAACGCATCATTGCAAAGAGCTGGGTCGTTGTGTTCGAAAGATGGATCATTACTGTCCATGGGCTGGCGGCATCATCGCAGAAACAACGCATAAGTTTTTCCTGCAATTTGTGTTCTTCGGATCATTGTATACGGCCTATGTATGGATCGTGACTGCTGTCTTTCTGGACGAGCGAATATCAAAGGTGAGCAGTGAAACTTATCTGCAAAGGTGCAAGCCTTCCTATAAGATACAAGCTTACATGCTGGCAGACTGGCTCATGCCCGGGCACCTGGATAGGCGTGCTTGTTGTCGGAGTACTATTCTGCATTTTCACTTTCACCATGAGCTGCATGACCGGCTGGAACCTCTGCATCAACTACACCTCCGTGGAAGGCATCCAGAGAGGCGGCGTACAGAACATCGCCTTCCTGATTGCCAGCACTCCAGAAAGGTCAAGCCTCCCATCAACACCATCTGCACAAGACAAGCCACAAAGCCATGATGACTGGCCGGTCCTTAATACCATCCAACGCGGCCAAGGGCGTACCTATGTTGTTATGCAGACGAAGCCTCACGAACATCCCTGGTACACAAGCCTAGTGGTGGGATGGAAGGATGTCATGGGCAACAACATCGTCGACTGGCTTACGCCTATCAAACACAGCCCGTACAAGCAGAGAAGCCACCGAGGCGAGTTCGAATGGGGTGAGCTGGTCTACGACATGGCGAAGCAGTACGAGGTACACAATCCTGGGGTGAAGCTGGCGCTACTTAACTAGCCGCGCTGCGATTCGGAGTCTTTCTGGGGGTCAAGTTTGTATCTTTAGCATCGTCCTGGAGTTTGGAAGATACCCTACATACATCTGCGTTGCAGCTAATACATATCTGATAGTATAGTACACTCACGGCATCATCGTTTAGTTTTAGACGTTAACAATGCGTCCCTACATCAGGGTGCACTCTTTTTACCTAAGCATTCATCTTTAGAGCAGGTCATGACATCTATCAAGTGCACGCACTGTCAGTCACCTTAACCACAGCACGAACAAGCGCACAATGACATGCACGTACGGCACATACCGTGCCCAGCTTGATCAACAAGATTACAAGCACGACGACCCAACGATGGAGCTCCGCGGCGGTCAAGTAGGGAACACTACGGCGCCTGCCTTGACGATACCATGGTTTGGATACTGCGGGTCAACGACTGTCATGAACCAGATTTTAGCTGCCAAACACGCCATATCGAACATCTGATGACAGGTGTCTGCATCAGAGCGCGGAGTTGCGCGGATGACAGCCGAGTTCTTGTGGATGTTGGACCAATAAAAAGGTATTGAGGCTGTTGATCCGACATCTTTGTATCCTTGGATCAGTGTGCGTGCATGAGTGTCGTAGCGGTCTGGCAGGGTGTGCACCAGATGTCGTTGAGTTCCACGTCCACTCTCTTCTGCAGACTGGGCTCCCATGATGGGTGCACGACGAGAGCGCTCTTTGCAGTAAGATCCTGCAGTAGCCAATACACTTCTGTAGATGATCAGCAAGCTTGCTTTAAATGCATTGAATCCAGCGCAAAAATCTCGCACATACCTCACGCATAGATATTAGTTGTCGTAAGCAAAAGCAAGATGACTACGCCGACCCTCTCCAAACCCTCGAACTCGAATCTTTTGGGACTGAAACTTGTCATCTCGTCACTCCTTCCTCACTCAGCACTCCACCAGCCCTCGCAATCCAGACTTTGCAACCCCCACAGTCTGGATCTCACCCCACCCCACCCCAACCCCGTCGCAACACCATCACCACCGGTCATCCAACCCTCGCACTGCTGTCGCAAGGCCCCCAACTGCCCTCCTGCGCGTCATTCCCGTGATACTTACTGACTTTCAAGGATATCCGCAATGATACTTGCACAGCCTCACTTCGTCGTCGCATTACCATGATCTCCGTTGTCATCACCAGGATGCTCACTGGGATGTTTGCTAGGATGCACCGGTGAGAAGCGTACCGTTGACTCGTGGATGTGCAACGTTGGTACACGGTACCTGGTTGTGGTTTGCTTAGCGCAGTTCGGGCCGGTCCCCGCACCGAGTCCAGAGCCACACAAACTACACTACTGGTAGGAATCTGACCCCAACGACCATCCACTCCAACAAAATTGATTCGGGGAGGCTTGTACTGGAGGGTGCTTGGGTGTGCGGTGTTACGATCGGATTTGCGTGGAGGCTCGACCGGGGTGGGAGATGGAGGGCGATGGATGTGAGATGAAATGGAAGGGGTGGAATCCGGTTCCGATCAGACATGGGTTTATTGTGACATCCACTTCTAACGTGTGTCCTTTCCAGCTTCCCTGGGTCGAAGGTGTGAAGCGCAGGACAGTCATGACGGCCATGACAGTCTCCATTCATGCCTAACCACCCTACATCTGGGAGGTGGATCGATACCTCTGTCTCCGGTGTAAAGATCGCAAATCCTGCAACACCACCAATACGCGCCCACCACCAAGTCCGCTTCCCCAACACTCTTCCCGTTTCGTTTCCTGCAAGGCTGTCAAACTCCAAACCTTGCGGCCTCACAAAAACTCCTTGCAAGCATCTTCATGTCAGTCCTGCGCCGTTAAGCGTCAAGTTTCTTTTACATTAAAGCATTCGACCCTGAACCCAGACCCTACATGAAACGACCAGCCCTGGCACACGCCGTTTCGAAAATAGCAATCTTCACCACAAGACTGCAACAAGGTTCGATAGTCTCGTACATCAGCGACTGCCAAATATTCCTTCCGCACCCAAACCTTCGCAACCGAAACTTTCACTTACGGCGCTAGTCAAAGTTACCGACGCATATCATCGTTTGACAGTAGGGCATTGTAGTCGTGATGTAGTGTCAACTTTCGCTTTAGCTCTGCTGGTGGCTGGGCGTTCAACTTGCATTGCTGTTTCGATAGTGTGTTGCTGGTAGCAGATGCTGTCATGGATGGTGCGGATGCAGGGCATAGCGCCACAGTGTGCGGATGTTTCACCAATGAAAGTCTCCTTGTCGTGGCGGATTGGTCGATAGTTTCGTGCTTGATGGTTTTGGCTTTCGCTTCAGCTTGATTGTTTGCGTGAATTGAAAGCGCACAACACCGAAATCTGCTCAGTCAGTATTGCATCGATTGCCTCCAGGGTAAGGTTATGGCCAGTGCTGTGGTCGATGTTGAACATCACAATCTCAGAGCGCTCAAAGATGGAAGGTTCCAGTTGATTAACACTAAGTACTGAACCATAAAACAAATCATCCGCGTCGTGTAGTGTCCGCGGGAACGCCGGTAACTCCTTGCCTCGGTGTGTGTACCCGTGCCCATGCCCAGTTTCTGATGCTCCGTTTTGGTATCCAGGGTATTACGTACAGTGGGTAAGGAGGGGACAGCCTATCCTAAAACCTGATGATGCATGTACCGGTTAAAAATCCATGTGACGGTAAGAAAGGGACTTTAGGATTCGATGATGAAATAACTGTGCGTCAAATGTCCGACGGCTTCAAAGCATGTCCAGTGCGAAATGGCGAAAATAATGGCGTCTTGTTGCCAGAGGTGATGGCGCTACGGAGTCTGGTTCGACCAGGGACTGACTACTGCTCAGAGCTGGCATTGGACTCGCGCTCTCGTTGCTCCTTCTGTGGGGCGCGACGGCGTGCGTTGATGAACCAGTTGCTGACCTGTGATTTCATCAGCATTGTTTTTGAAAAGTTGAAGGACTGGGACAGAGAGCCACAGTACTCCATCTGCAAGCTAGCAGCACGTTGAAGACATCTGAAGATGGCAGACGTAGTGCAAGTGTCGAGCCGCGTGCCCAAAAGGGACGAAGGAGGGAACATACCTGGTTCAAGGACAAGCTTGTCATTCGGCAAAGCTCAAGTTTCTGGTCTTCACTAGGGTACGGCGATTGGCGGTTTGCGTTGAACCACTCTTTTAGGACGTTGGTGGCCTCCTTAGGGAGGTTGCCGCGTCGCTTACGGTTGAAAGCGTTGTGATCGACACCAACGTGTTGCTGGAACCGAACATCGTAGTAGCCTTGTTCATATCCTGCGGGTGGTGGGGCAGTGTACTGCTGGTTGGCGTAGTATACTGATTCGCGGCGATCATCGTACGGGTAGGCGTGCTGCTGCATATGAGGGTCCTGGTAGTAGCTTTGTCTACGCTCGTACATCATTCCATGCTGAGGGGGTGGTTGCGCGTATGAACCCTGGACGACCATTCGTTGTGCGTGCACTTGAGGCTGTTGGTAGGGTGGGTGACCCTGGGCGACTGGTTGAGACTGATGACGCGCGTGTTGCGGCGCTGACGCAGGAGGAGGATATGGCAAGTTCGGACGGTGATGACTGGGGCCTGCTGATTGCTGTCTAGTCCGAGCGGGGTCTGCATGATAGAGTGCAGGGTCAATAGCAGAGCTCATGCGGCGAGGATCAGCGGGTGGGTATTCTGCAGCATTGGAGGGACGAGCGTAGATGTCGCCCAGAGTGTCGACGCGCCTGCGCTTGCTGTCTGACCAGGCTACATCATCGAATTGCGGGCGCACATGCGGAGAGTTCTCCGTGGAATCATTCCTCCGGGATGGTGTGTGTGGTGGTGTTCTCTCAATGGTTGTTTGGACGAACTGCAAGGGTTAGCTCAATGGACTCTTCACTTTCGGACAGTACTGACCTCATCAAACGAGGGAAGCTTCCCTGGGAAGTTCTGCTCGCCAGGTTGGAGGGGTGGTGAACTGCGTTGAAGATGGTTCTGTAATGTGGTCTTAGTATTGCACCAGGAAATATATCGTTCTTTGGTCGGTGGGCTGCACGCTCGGGTGGCATAAAGAGGGTATTCGCGTTTGAAGGGGTCCATATCGCTCTCGAGCGAGTCACGAAACGGAATGTCCTCAGACGGTTGGGGTGCGTTTGCGGAGGGTGGAGGCGAGGATTTGGGAAGTGCGGGTAGGGTGATTGCCTCAAGTTTCCCAAGAGAAATGTCGACCTGAGCCACTGCCCGCTCGAGCGAATCGATGCGGGAGGCGTAACCGTAGCAGACAAGGGGCCGATGAGGAGGAAGTAACAAACGAGGTGGATAAGGGGTGGGTGAAGAAGAAGAAGAGTAGATATCACATACCGCTGCCATGTGCCCCACCGGCCTTTCACTTGACTGGGAAGCCATTCTGTGTGAGTGTACGAGGTTGCAGTGACGGTGCGGAATATCTTGAAGTGTGAGATATTCCATGACTTGCACGAATGCGAATCTTTTATACTGTTAGCAGAATGTCAGAATATCGTTGGCTGGGTGAGTGAGGTTGTTCCATGGTTCACATTGATGACCCCAATGACTGACAGGCAACACTGGCAGTTGATTGATCACATCATCATGAACCAACAAAGCAGGGACTGAAGACTGGTTATTGATTTACTTACCCACTAACGAACAAGAAGAATCGTGATGACTAAAAGGGTATTGGACAACGTGGGGTGCCAAAAGCCAGGGCAGCTAGGACCACGAAATATATCGCAGATATACTGGTCTCGAAAACTTTTGGTGAAATACGGGCCCAAAGTATAGTACAGGAAATTATGATCGGTTTGGGCAATGTACAGGTCGTGGTATCGCAATCGAGTGGGAAGAGATGAGTCGGCACAAGCACGCAGCAGTTCGCAGGAATAGTCAGGGTCGTGATGACGGGCGCAAGGTGTTTAAGAACAGGTCCATGGAGAAGGAGGCGTTTCTGGGCAAAGCAAGACTGCAACGGGCCGTACTTCAACCATGCAGCGCGATCTTGCATCCAGGTAATGCGCCAGGGGAATGCTAGCAAGCGCCAGCGGAGGACAGACAGGCGCGTCTAGCACGACGTCTGCACTTCTGACAGGTGCGAGTTAAGGTTTGGCCTATATTCTCCGAGCGTACACAACGCAGGCTTTGGCTGGGAGAGGAAACAGAGGGCCTCCCACTACGCCGCAGAACTTGAGGCACGAGCCGGTGGTGAAGCCGCGCTATCTGCTGCAGGCCTTACGCCGGGCGCGCTATTAGAGCGTCGCCGCTTGTCTCCACCACTTGCCAGACTCGAATCGATGCAGATCTTGCTGCATCTGACTCGACGTGGAAACGAGCAGGGGTCGCTTCTGTTCGAAGCCCATTTCGTCGCGTGCCTTTCACTGGCTCCTTGTCGATTACCTCATCTGCACTCCCACACACTGGCCGCCGCAGCGAGCTGTCAACGTTCCATCAAAGCGACAGCGGGTGAGAGCCAAGATCTGGCTGGCTTGCAAACGATCGTCTCAAGCCTTGCCTGCTGCCATCTTTGTGAAGAACAGAGTTCGCAGCCTCGCCTTAGGTCGTGTGCACCTGCCCTGACAATATCCTCCGCATTTCTCGCTCAACGTAGGCGCAGACCAGGCCGGATGCACTCTCATCCAAACAGAAGCAGTTCGTGCATCTCCCCAATAACAATCCTAGTCTAGCACTGCTGAACAGAGTCCCCATTGACCTCCAGCTGTACCAGGGACCGGTTGCACGGTACCATGATGACGGCTGAAAAGGCATGAGAGTGGGACTATTGGAGCAGAGCGCCATGAAGGGCTCTCCGCAAGTTCACAGGGTCAGACGCAACGTGAACGACACTGCCTGCGACTGTACCCTCGACCAGGGTGGAGGTCAATCCGAGGTAGTGACATGTTGTGCACGCTGGAGCCATGCTGGTGGCTCCTTTGTGGCCCCAGCAGATGGCACCATGCCCGGTAGACAGCTGCCGCAGGCCCAAACCAGGTTGGTGGCTGACGAGCGTGTACAATTGTGCAACGGAGCCTTTCCAGCAGCCAGGAGCGGAAGGCTCGCTGTTGTGTCGTGATGTGAGATGGGTCTAGTGCTGCAGCAGAGAGTTTTCAGAAGTAAAAGAGGCGTTCACAGTGGTACAGGAATAGCAGCTGGGACGACGACATGCTCATCTGTCTGCGGTCAAACTGAGATTGATTACGGGTGATTGTCGACAGCGGTGCTTGTTCCTTCTCGCCCACGAGCAGCAGCAGAGGGGAGCCGTAGACAGCATGCCCCTGGCAGCCCACCGCTGGGTTGACTCGCGTTTGAGTGTCTCAAACCGCCAATGCACGTGAATTAGGAAGGTAAGCCTGCCATTGAACTCTCTCCACCAGAGCAGCGTTAGCCTCGACAAAGAAGAAAGCACGCACACGTGTGAAGGACAATTGTCTAACGGCAGGCTACAACGACTGCGATGACAGAAATGATGTCAAGCCATCACCGACGTTCAGCGCTCGACCTGGTAGCGGGTGGATTAAGCCCCTTTCTTCGGTGCGGGCGGTTGACAGCTGTCTAACGACGCTGGTTGCAGTTTGGGGGAGGTGCAACGACGCCTAGGCGGCCGTGATTGGCAGCAGGGATGCACGCACCTTCCTCCATTGAGAGTCGCGCCTTCCCGACGCGCTGATCTTTCCCGCTAGCCGGCCGATCAAACATTGCACCAAACACTTGCCCTCGTCGCTCACCACGCAGCGCCGAGGACAACATCCAGGGCCGGAGCGCTTTCGTGGCCTCAGGCCTCTTTAAACTCCCGCGGAGCAAACTCTCTGCCTCTGACGACGTTGCAGCTACCAGTCCTACGAAACCTTGACGAGCGCCCAGCCCAAGAGTGCATTTTGCGTCTTCAAACCTCGAGTCTCGAGTCTCGAGTCTCCGCCCGCTCCCGCTCTCTGTCAGATCCGGCAGGCGAGCCGGACCTGCATCTGGCTCTTCGGCGCTCCGTGGGATTCGATACCGACTTGCCCGCCAAGCCGAGCACCCGGCCTTCCTTTACGTCGTCTGTCTTGACCGCTCCAGGTTTGTGTGCCAACGCAAGCCCCGCCCGCCGCAGGCGGGATCATGGCCACTGTCTAACATCTTCGGCTGCATGATCCTGGCTCCAGGACGAACCTCTTCCTTGGAACCACGCTGCTATTGATCCCCTGGACGGGCAGCTGCGTGCTCACCAGCCCCAACGAGACCTTGCACAAGGTACGATGCGACCATGCGGAAGCGCTGGGGACCGCCACATGGTCGCACTGCAGCAGTTGACCGCTTGACAGTCCGTCACTTTGTTTTGCTGGGCGCCCGCTGTTTGTTGCTGTGTGTTGCCAAGCCCCAGTTCTTTTGCGCCATCATCCAGGGGCTGTCAGTACATGTAGCGTCGCCATCGCGTCACGGCTAGGCCCCAATAAGGTTCAGGGCACGCTTCCATCCAATCCGGCTACTCGCCGCCATCAACATCGGAGCCGGAAGGTCGACAACGCAGCCTTCATCAGTGAGCACGGCGTTGCGGGCTCCAGAACGAGAGACACGCTGGCGACTTCTCCACGATGAATGATCCAGGGTCGTGAGCAAGCCCTTGCATGAACAGGGCACAGCCTCCCGTCTTACGATCCATCCCACATCAGACCGCAGGTCACAGAGCTGGGCTGTCGTTCACAATGAAAGCCACGAACGCCATCGTGCTGAGAGCAGCCCTCCATCCGGCCTCGAAGCTGCAACGCACCCGGCTTCTCAAACATGAACGATTGGGTTCAAACTATTATTTTCAGAAACTCTCGCGCCAGACCTGGCGTCTGACGGCCTCGTCACTAGTCTGGTTGTAAAGATCTGGCGGCGTCGTGACTATAGCACACTAAAATCAGATGCAGTTCCCAAACACTGCCGTGGTGTTCACTCTGCCAACTTACATATTGGCTGTATGTTGTTGGGAGTGCCGGATGAAGGACTGCGCATCAATGATGTCGGTCAACGTTCTGATCCCAGTGGTACAATCGATCAAGCCAGGTGGAGAGGTTTGTGTCTTTTGGGAGACAAGTTGTTGGACAGCGCCAAATAGACGAAAACCAGAAAAACGAACGTGGTGACATTTGTGACACCCGTCCAAGACTGTCGCTCTGCCATCAGAGCGGAACATGGACCGCACCTACCAGGGTGCACGTCTGTCGCAGCTCTACGAACCAGTCACGGGAAACACATGTTCGCGCACGTAAGCCGCGAGTGCAATTCTTCGAAGCCATCGAGCAGTTACACAAGACATGGGTTATCTTCGCTTTTATGGATAGGCGGCGTCAATTTCCCTACAGTCGAAAGCCTTCAGGTCCGTCCTCAAATGTTCACGACATCGACATTTACTCGGTTCCTGGGACAGAGACCCTTGAAGCAGATGCTGAGAGCTGAATTACCCCTGCCTCTAGACGCAGTCTGTTGCATTTCTGGTTAAATGTGGTCGTGAACTCGCACATTGAGCCACGGTTCAGTCACGATAACGGACTACCTCGGGCTCTGTCACCTCTGCACATTGCTCTCATGCACGCTTTGCCGCGGCTCCTACAGCAAACCCTGCCCTGTCTTCTACCCTTGTTGCGTTCAAAGCACGCATCCGATTTCCGGATGTTGCATTATCTCGATGAGCTTATCAATTGCTCAATCATATTGTTTCGACGCGACAAATTGCGTTGCCTTATGTGGGAGGGCACGATCCACAAACTCATTCGATTCTTCTTGTACGCAATGGCTTGCACGATGCAATTCACAGTGCCTCCCTCGCTCTCTGCGATGTCAGGTGTCAACCACCTGCCACGTGGAACGGACGCCATGGCTGATTACCCAAAGCACCCCTCGTGTACGAAGAGGCTCATTTGTGAAGACGCACCAACACCCAGCGCAATCTTTGCGTAGACCAGCATAGGGCAACGACATGTAGTATTTCGACTTTAAAAGCTCTCTCGAGTATTTATCATGAAGCGAGGAGGTAGTCAATACTTCTTGGGCAAGGTCTGCTCATATGTTGTGGTGTTGTGGCTTTACTGAAGTTGGGTCTCTTTTCAATTGGTGCGTCTTCAAAATCGAGCCTCGCACAACGCTGCTACGTTACTGACCATCAACGTCGCGATCACCAACAACGCGTATACTCGAACGGTCGATAGATATGGTATCAGAACGACGATCCTATCGAAGGAAACTCCCATGCAACCTGGAACATACTCTGCTCACTAGTTGCAAGTTGTTCGCGTTTCTACAAGAAAAGATCCCCGAATAGCACACTCTATTGACATCTGCTCCTTTCAATCTTACCAACGTTGATCCAAAGAGCGCGCCGACCCCGGTTACGAAACTTTGTTCCTACGCAAAACTCATTTGCCGCTGTACTGGGGCATGCGATGCGCAGAATTGTCTGGGTTAGATGTTAGCACAAATGCGAACTGCCCATACGAGCATTCAGCCTCGACAACACCTCAACTATCAGCGGAGAACCGCTTGTATCGCCGCCTTTGCAATGTTATCGCTGTATGCTCAACTCATATTTGCATTAGTTGCAAAAACGCACCGGATCCACCTTACATGTGTCAAGATCTGAAGCTAAGCAAACCTTTCCTGTTGAATTCAAGAACGACTATTGAGTGGCTTGACCCTACGAATCGGCGCTTTCTCCTGGTGTCCATACCGTCTAGCGACCCAAAGTGTCACTTGCTTCATCCGGGTACACCCTTCCGGCTTTTCCAGAGATGGTTTAACCAGCTCGCGCGGGTGATTAGCGGGAGCCGCTATGGACCCATTGCGCCAGCGAGCCTTATCCGTCCGAGGTCGGTTCTTGCCTCTTGGCTACGATTTGTGCAGATCGGTTTGACGATCTTATGGTCCCATGAATCGTAACAATTTCATCTCTCGACCTCAGTATTTGTCAATCACAGTGTCGAAGTTGCGGATGCTACACCTTCTAGTCGGCGCTCAGCGGTGGGTCAGACGCGGACAAACTCATCCTTTTTTACAAAGTCTTTCGGATAGGAACCACCCGAGTCGAGCCCAGCCCCCGCGGAGCCTTTCAGTCACTTTTGCTCGAGGAGAGCGGAGTAACGATCAATGCAACTTGGACTGTTGTTCGTGTTTGATAGTGATGGTCACGAGCGCGTCTCCGAACGCTCATCTCCAGATCATCGTTATGGCGCCACTTTGCGGCCGGAGATAAAAATCATTTCTGTTGGTACCGAGGACACACGTCATTGGCAAGCCAACGGATGCAGTCTTCCGCACACCATAATGTTGAATACAACCATTATTTTGCGACTTCAAAAATTGTTCAATCACAAAAGATGGAGCTGGGTAACTTGGCGATGTTGATCCAGCTGTAGAATCGTTCGTTCGGATCTGAAGTGACCTTCTAGCTACCGTCAATTGGGAGCTTTCGTAGCGACGATCTGGTTGTTGGTGGCTTGATCATCCAGATGAACAACAAACGAACACAAGCTTGAAGTCTGTCGTGCACCTGCAGCAGCCAGCAATATTCGCCGGGGCCAAACTCAGGTCTAGCTTGTTCTCCAGCAGAGACTCGCACTCGCATCTGTCGACACCCACTTCTTGTCATGCAGGTGCCAAACCTCACAACAGACGCCGATGCGAGGCAGCACACTATCAAGTGTCATAACTGTCTCAACACGTGCATTTTTATGAAACCGCCGGCTTATCTCCAGCAAACCTTCCACATTATCGATCCCGTTGCTCTGGGCCCTATACACTCGATGGTGTGTTCACCACACCTTAGAACAGGTACGGCTGATTTAGAAGCGTAGCCTACCCACCCATCTCCTGCGATCAACGCCCCATGTTGCGTTTGACTACACAGACTAAGGGTAGATGATTGCACCTAGGACTGGAGGCCTGACCAACCAACGATGACTGGCGCAACTAGAATTCCGTGTGGCTTCATCGGAGCTTTCACGCATTGCAGGCATGCGCCCGAAACTTTGCTGCATCAGTATTCTCCTCACGCCTACCGGCTGGCTTACCTCTTCTCGTTACGGATTTGGGAAGTCTGCATTCTGCTTACGACCAGCGAGCTCGTCCAAGCAGGTGAGCTGTACAGATCCAGCGGGCTTTGTGCCACATCATGGGTGATCTTACGACGAATTGATTGATGCTTTAGAGACCCTGTCGTCCTGATCACCTACTATCATCGAATCCAGCTTCCATGTTGCTAACGTTGAACTAACGTACCGCGCAGCAGCTTTGAACCCTCCACCAACCAACGCGTCAAGCTTAAGCGAAGAGCGACCAGTTTGACGACGCGCGATCACCATCGATATGCCTGTGAACGGGTTATCATCCTTTCCACAACAAATCTTACAACAGCTGATAAACAGAACCCTCACCACTGCCCCGGCAAGAACGGCATCCCTCCTCGCCACTGGCCTCGCAGGCGCAGCGCCAGCGCTGCCAGGCACGACCGGAGAACAACATCACCGGATTCCCACCATTTCCCATGAACATCTCTTCCTCCAATCACAATCTCAGGAGCTCTCGTGTTGATCGCCTGTGTTCAGGGCTCCCGGCGATACGCGCTGTCATCGCGCGCAAACCCGCTGTTTAGCCGTCCTGACAGGTGATCTAACGAAGAGCTTAGATTGCGCTGACCGGACACGCTGACCGGATAGTTCGCTTGAATAGAGCAACTAGCAAAATGCATAAGCTTGCAGCAGGTACGATGCAGTGACGTGTGTATGGTGGAGTCAGGTGCTATTCATATACTTCTTTTCATGTGATGCCTTGGGATGGATCGATGGATAGCTTTGATCAGGCACATTAGTGTTCTTTTTTGCGGAGTGTCACCAATAAGCATTTGGGTGTAGTGTTGTAATGTTGGTGACAGCAATAGGCTGCGGACAGGCGCATATTGGCATTGCTGTGTGCTTATCGCACCTCCTCTACGTTCAATATCGTTGTTGTACTTTCTCCGTGATTCTGTATCCCGTGAATAAGAGAGAAAATTTCGGCACTCAATATTCTGGAATGTCTCTCTGTTTCATGTCTTCACCCTTTCGTTGAATTGCAATGCTCAGATGTCAAATACGATCAAGCTTGCGACTTGACAAGAAATATGCCACTTCCGTGGAGAAGCACGATTGCGGGTTCAGAAGGGAGTATAGAACACATCGTATAAAGCTAGTTACCTCTCTTCGTACGCCTTTGCTTTGCAATGTATCGTGCCGTTCATCCACTCTCTGTGAAATCGCGTGCACTTCTTCCATCTCCAAGCTGGCGGTGAACACTAATTAAATAAGGTATCAAGTAGGAGCAGTACTTCGGTATTGCTAAAGAGGCGACAGTGCGGTGTAGCTAAACGAGCGTACTGGGTAACGGCATTTTGATACAGTGCAGCGGCGTATGCGAGGACATAACCATGATGTATGGGGAGAATTTGAAGTGGGAGCATTGCAGTACTTTGTCTTCTCGTATACACTCGAATGGGGCTCATGGATCAGCTGAAGTAAGTATACAAATGTTTAGATGGAAAACTTCGTGAACGAGTTGCAGTTGATGTATACCAACTCTTGCCGCTGCTTGGGGACTCGGTGCTCGGTGCTGTCCCTCCATCGTACCTCAGTGGGTATTAGCAGTCTGACTACCTCCAGGTTCCCCTTTGTTCCCGAACACTTCAGAATCTTTATAGGGTGAGCGCTGTCTCTCGCAGATCACATCGTCCCGAACAATGGTGAGCGCGCAGGATCAAGATCACATCACGGTATATTGGTAGCGAGTGCACTGACCTGCGCGCGCTTTCAGATCAACATCTACCAAAGTTCTATGCGTGACGCTTATGAATTAAATGGTTCCAACATTGAAACTATAATTTTGTTGTGCTTGTTTGTCGTGTGTAATAGGTCTGGTTGGCAGATGTGGTGGTGAACTAGGGTTCACAACGAAATTCTCATAAAAAATCTTCACGAACCAAACTTCAGAAGAGCAAGAATTATACCGCTCTTTTTTAAACCGTTCTTTCATCCCAGTTTCTCTGGTTTCCTTCAAATCCCATCACATCCACATGTCACATTTCTCCAATCAGACATTTCCTCCGGAATCAAAGCAATACCTTCACATTAATCAAAATGCTTTTCTCCCTCACATCCCGCGTCAAGGGCATATGCCAATGCTTTCATCATCAACTTGACTTCATCTGCGAGATCAAACATATGAGGAAGACGATCAAGCAGTGCGAGAAGACTGGATATCTGGATACTATCGTTAATTACTTCTAGGAAGACCCTGTTTTCCTGAAATTGGGAACAAAAGCAGTGGAGCAACAGGTTGCTCTTCCTATATTTGTTGACAATGAGGACAAGATGCCAGTCAAAAGTCGTGTTGATAGCATGTTTGATGATGATATTTTCAGCATCACGGATACTGCATCGACTAGTGATGAGTATGATGATGTGAACTGTCGATTGAGTACTATGAGAGAGGACGAATATCTACAGTGCGCGGGAGCGGGAGAGCTAACTCAAATGAGCTGGCCATTGAGAGCGCTGCCTGCGCGGACAACTACCTCCAGCTCCATGAATATCACATCACAAGTTGAAGCCATCAATATCATATTCGTTCATTTATAAAGTGAATCCTTCACTGTCTCCCCTGAAGGCATCGAGTGCCTCCAAGCACTACACTTATGCCTCAAAGAGGTCTCAGAAAAGCAGTAGTTGAGCCCTTCATCATCTCCCGACATCGACATTGACATTCTTCGAAAGACCCTGGAGACCCTCAGTACGGCGGCGAGGTGGAAGAAGGGGGACGAGTAGGAGGGTAGTGGACTACAGGAGTGTTACGAATGCCTGCAGGATGCGGCAGAATGAGGTTTTGAAGGCACTCAAAGAGGAGGTGGATGATTGGGTAGAAAGGTGCAAAGCGACGTCCGAAGTTTATTTGGGTGTGCTGGAGTTTGTTCAGAAGGTCGTTGATACTTAGTCATAGTTACCTCTTTATAGATTTTGTTTTATGATACTATCAGTATTTACTACAATGCATGATCTCCCTCTCAATCCCATCTTCCTGCTTCCCACCCCCAATCATAACCACGCCGATGGTAGGTTTCTTCACAAGCGTCTGCAGCACAACACAGTACCTCTCCGTCAACTTGCCCAACTTCTCAAGATCATTCTCATTCACCTCACTCCCGTCCTCCTTCTCCCCAAACTTGATGTCAAACTGCAACCGTATACCCGTCAACCCCACTGGCGCATTCCTATCCACACCCATCGTCCCCTTGAAGTCGAGATCGCCCTCCGCCGTGACCGTGCCCGACTGCACAGGGAGGCCAAGCGCAGTCGCAACAGCTTTGAGCGTGACGCCTGAGCAGGCTACGAGCGCGTCGAGCAGCATATTGCCGGGTCACAGCTCGCCTGAGATAGAGAAGTCCTCACCGCCGGCTTTGGGGTGCAGGCCTGCGACTCAAGAAGCTTCTTTGACGGCGGCGCCGGTGGAGAGTTTGCATGTTATCGAGGAGGAGTCGAGGGAGCCGGTAGATTTAAGGGCTACGATTGCGGAGGAGGGGTCTTTGCGGTAGCTGTCTTTGATGGGAGCTTGCTTTTCGCGGAGGGCTTGGGTGGCGGACATTGTGGGATGATAAGACAATTGGTGATTCGAGAAGGGGTGGTGGAGTACTGAACAAGCCTTTGGAAGGAGATAAATATGCTACTGCGATTGAAAGAAGTACTTTGAGTTACACACGAAATATCAATCAAGACATGGCAAGGGTCTAGAAGTACCCTGCGGGGGAACGGGAACTATGCAGCTGCCCCGCCTCGCCTTTCGAGCGAACCATCAAAAAGGAAGGTGCGCAAAGTGCAGACTTATTTCAATTCTTCGTCCGCGATGTTGCATGGGTCCGAGGAACATCATTGTAGCGACGCCAGCATCGTTGCGAGGTGGAGGTAAAGGTCGTGGACCCTTTGGGTTGATCGAAGACGATGCCTCGGTAGGGTCGTATCTTATCGTACCTGCTTGATACGGTAAGTCCTGAGCCATCGATCTTCTATGTCAAACATTTCGATGTTACACAAACTAACATGAACTGATGCGTCTGAAGTACTCCGGTATCGCTTAATCACCGACATCGTCAGCACGTCATCACCCGCAGCTTTGCATTAACAAAGAAGATACGCCACACCTCGCTGCTCCGCGCGAACAACAATGCGTCTTTGTGAGTACGATGTGTATGAAGTATATACAAAAAAATACCTCCCCGAAACCTTCGAATATCATATGACAGGTCAGAGCCTGCATTGGATCCTGCCATATCCATTACATCTCGTGAAGCTCATGTGCTGAAGGTTCCCTCAACAAAGTCAACCAGACGACCAAACGCGGCATAACCTCATCCCGCATCTGCTGGTCTTCCGGAGCTGTGACGCCTTGGCCCTTGTCTTGTGAGATCTTGTCTTCAAAATCCTCAGAGGACGAGCCACTGCCTTCCACTTCCTCCATTCCATCCAATTCCATCAATACCAAAGTGACAGCCCAATCTCCGTTGTCCTTCTCGGTGAATTCGTTAAGTCGATGGGCAGGAATTGGCAGCTTAGCGTTGTTGCAAGGAGATAGACGGCTGAACGTGAGCATAAACAGCGTCTGAAGGACATTGTTATGCAGATCCTTGCCGTCTTTGCGAAAGATGACCAAAGTACCGAGATCATGATCGTCCCTGAATGGATTCAACCATGAAGGTTTCTCGAAGGATACAATGCGAACTCCATTATCGTACGGTATGACAGACGGATGTGGTAATTCACTCAAAGCTCAGGAACAGTGCTTGAGGTGTACCACGGTAAATGGAGACTTGGTTGCACTGACCTAGTATCTCCGGACGGTTCTGCTTCGAATGTTGATTTATCAACCGCGAAAGTCATATCTGTATATCCAGATATGATTTTCCTGTTGCAGATCGCCTGTCATTTCTCGTTGCTAAGGTGAGAATACGACTAGTTGAGACGATTATAGTCTACAGAGTTGCTAGCTATGGCTCGTATGGTGTATTCATCATTGACCACAACTTTGAACATGGCAGCATTGCAGCTAAGATCAGTCAGCTTGAGACCTGCGAAGTATCAAATCGCTTACAAGAGATACAGTGGAATAGAAGACAATGCTGGCAAGGCACAGTATGGCGCAGCTCCGAGTGATCATCTTCAGATTCTGTAAGCTGAACGTTTCGACTTCGGCTCAGCTTCCGTGAGTGTGCGCTCGGTCGATTTCCTGAGGAATAGGTGAGCTCAGAACTTGCATGGCATAATTACTACCAGCTAACAAGACAGAGCTAAGCATGTTGATGAATATGTGGAGCACAGTGTTCCATCAGGAAATCGTAGTCTCATGCCCATATATGAGGTTGGCGATGCCGCCTTTTTATAACCTTCGAGGCGAGTGGCGCTTAGAACAACGAGAGCGATGTTGCAATAGAGGACGAATGCTGACATGCAACTCCCGAAGAGAACGCCCATACGCCACCCGTAGAATCGACTGCGTTTCGAGCGTTCATCGGTCTTCCTCGAAGAGCTCCTTGCGGCTTGAACCAGGTTGTTGGCAAGCCGTCCCCATAAAGGCGTCGTAGCTACCGGAGACTCTTCAGTGGTTTCGTCTAGGTTGCTGTACGGTATCAGCAGATGACCAACCTGTTGGATGCATGGGATGGACTTGAGATTGGCTTTATTGGTGTGAGTCTCGAGCAGGTGCTCATTCGAGCTCGTTTGCATTCTAGGGTGGTTGTACTGGTGCCCTTATTCAGTTCCGTGTCGTGGATCCTCGAGCGCATCTCTGAGAAGATCTGTGTTGTCAGGATTGAGCTGAAGCTGGAATGGAGCTTCGATCACTTGCGAACCCATCTGCTACAAAGGTATTTCCTCCATGGCGAGGTCAACTTGCTGCCCTCTCGATTGGTGAAGTCATGCCAACAATGTAAGAATGGAGGCGAGAGAAAAGAGGACCAGATCCCCACAGTGGCGACGCAAGGCTGTACTCTTAAGCACACCGATTGTTCGCGCACTAGCAAGGCTGACACTGCGATCCTATCTGAGCACCCTGGCGCTAGACTATACCAGGATCTCATGCATGCTGGCTGCATGGTGTAATTGGCCTCGCTTACGCTTACCTACCTATGATAGGTTGTTTTATGGAGGCTTAGGAAAGATGTAGGTCCGCAGGGCATACCGTTTTAGTAACGAAGTTTTAGAACAAGAATTGCAGTCGTGATTGGTCTCACTTGTGCCAAGACTGCCGTGGGATCTTTAACAGTTGGTGATCTTATGTAAGGAGACCATTGTAAATCCGAGATACCAACAAACGGAATCCTGGATATCACAAGTACGTCTGCCCTATGCTCGGTTTCTGGACTTCCTTCCCAGTGACCGAGCAATGCGTGTACCCGCTTCCTAGATTCCTCTCGACAACACCCCATTTCACCTTTCTTAGATGCACATCTTGGTCATCACTCGGTGGTTGGCATGCCGCGCTGATAACCAGGCTGCACGATGCTGCCATTGGAGGCTTTTGCTGCATAGGTCGACCTCCCGCGTAGCCCATAATGAAAACCAGCAGAAGCGCGACGACCGTGAAGACCCAAAGACTCGAACAAGAGAATCAACAGCCACTGCGACTACTGTCTAGCCGGAACACTCCTTTGCCTGTATACATATCGGCGCGAAAGACATAAAGACTTTGCGATAGAAGCCAGTGAAGTATACCGCTCGTTGCAATTAGAGGCACAGCCAACTTATAAGGCAGCGACAAGAAGCAAGTGCTTCGTTGATCTTCCTGCGGTTTTGTGGCTCTGAGGCCTTTCCGGAGCTTGGCCATGTTGTTCATCTCGTGAGCGCTAGCGATGGAGGTATAAATGCTGTTGAGTGCGATGTAGCAGATCGATAGGATGAATTGAGGGATGTTGACAAGAAAAGCGGCGAGTAACGATCTAACTCGGATGGGGAACACGATTCAATATGATGTGCCCTATTGTCGTAGGTGATCGAAAGGGCCTTGGCCTCTCATGACAAAGGGATGAGTGTGGTGCCGGACAGCAAGACGCATAGGCCTAGGACGGTTAGTTTAGAACCAATTAGCAGAGTCGGCTTACTCACATGGAGACGTAGAAGACCTGTCTATCGCGACTTACAGAGTCGAAGTATCGTTGTTGCTGTGGCAGCCACATACCTCGCACACGAAGCAGAAAGCGTTCAAGATCTTCATTCGTGTGAGCGCGGTAAGGACAGGAGCAGAGCTTGTGGAGTATTTCGTCTTTGTCCAGAACGTATTGATCTATACTGACCAGATCAGAGCATTGGAGTAGGGAAGCCGTAGCAGGGCCGACAGTAACTAAATAGGCTGATTCGTTGAAAAGTAGCGTGCATATCGTTATGGAGAGTTTCAAAAGATTGAACACGATGACCACGATCATGTAGACCAAGCTCAACCGTAGGCTGCTCTCTGGTGAAGTCTTCAAGGAAAAGGCATGAGTCACGTGTGCTGATACTGGCAATGCCGTGATGCCCCATGTGATATTAGTGCCAGGCACGGTCTCGTTGGCCCCCCAGGAAGGTATTGCATGACGAACGAATTCGTCATAGCGAATCCAATTCCAAGACTCTGACGTGAGCTCTGGGAGCCCGTCTCGATAATAGTCATTATTGGAAAAACACGGAAGGAAGTCGTGACAGTGTGAAGACCGAACTTTGCGAAATGTTGTGTGCCAGGCGATCGATGACAAGGACGAGGTCTCCGTGCTCAGTCAAGTACATGGTGTTGTAGATTTCGCGCCCTTGGTCATTACTGAGTCGTTTGTAGGCGTTGTTCTTCGCGTACCATCCTTCAGACTGTATATCGATGGCACGCAGACGGTACTCGTTCACGGCGGAGACCTGGGATACTGCTGCATTGTAACTTGGTTGGTCAGCATTCTTCTCTAATCGCTTGTGCAAGGCATTACAAGAGGTGTAGGTGAATTGACAACAATGCCAACACGAATCAAAGAGCAGCACGTTATTGTGGGATCCTCCGAACCACCCTAAAACCCAGCAAGCTAATGTGTACCACTGGCCCTCTCCATGCGCTATGTCGATGTCGTGTCTTGTAGGAGCGCTGATGACCTGTATGGTGTAGTTGCTGGCAGCCAAAAGATTGTACTGCAAACGTTGATGAGCAAATGAGAGACAGCACTCCACATAGTCATGTCTCTGGCTGTCCCGATCTTGATTTTGGCTATGCGACCCTGATAACCACCGTGTTTCTTGCTTCCCACGATGACGACTGCGATATTACAGCAGAGAACCAGAGCTGATAGACAGCTGCCCATAAGCACACCCATGCGCCACCCGGGGAAGCCGCTGCTTGCGAGCCTGGCCGTGAGTCTCGTGTAATCGATTCAGGAACGTATTTGGTTTCTTTGAGCCTTGATCATGAGTAGGGGCCGAGCCAATTTAGAATCGAGCGGCTTTGGCATTTGTTATTGAATTTGAGAGTCGTGCTAACGATGGGCCTCGCTGGAGTGAAGTACTCGGACTGCTGTCGTCGACCGCGATACCACTGAAGAACTCCAACTTGACATGATCGAATCCGTTCGCCTGAAATGCATCGAAGTCCTCAACATCAGGTTGCGAGGTCGTTGTAGCAGCAGCAAGAGGTGCACAATACTATCGTGTTCGCGAAGAAGGCATCTATACATCTACTATATGGAAGCGCGACAGATTCAGGGAGCCCCAAAGGGCAGTAATACACTACCATTCATCATGTACTTTTCATCTGTGTTATTTGGACGGCAACTAAGCGTAAGCCTTTCGTGTTACACATGCCGTGGTTTGGGAAGGCGTCCAGCATGGAGTCTTCCCGCTGCTCATCGACTGGTGATCCCGAGCAGAGGGCCTCTGCAGCCGGGTCGCCTTGCAGATGTAGGGTTAAATAGTGTGGGGGCCATTGCGGCTGGCTGATCGCAAGGTCGAGAGGAACCACACCCGCGCTTTCAGGTGTTTTGACAGTATATGGAGGCCAAAGCGTCACGAAATCGCTCATCAATAGAAAGCGACTGTATGACGCATTGTTGGAACAATCACGTTGTTGATTACGCTTGCTGTGAGAGGAGAACGCTCGAGAAGGATTTGAAGAGTTCACGTGAACGACGTTCAAGCCGCGGAAACACGCTAGCACGTCATTATTGAGCTGACCCTTCAACCACCAACGCCGCATCACTCACCAACGCACCTTTCCTCTAAATGCGCATCGCATAGCAACACCAACACAACATCGTGATGGCCGGTCCCAAATACCAGAACGTCCCCCAGCGTGACTCTTTCGAGGAGTCGTCGCACTCCCAGGCGCCACCGACCTACCAGGCAGCAGACCCCCAGCAAGCACTGCTTCGAGGTGTCCCGCGCGGCGAAGATGACAATCTGCCGGATGACTTCAAGTTTGGCGGCGTGGTAGCTGAGGCGACCCTGGACATTCGTATGGCCTTCATCAGGAAGGTGTACGCTATTCTGTAAGCTATCAACGCGTTTCCATTCCCACAGTACGTAGTGCTAACAGCATGCAGGACTGTCCAGCTTCTTGCCACGGCCGGCGTTAGCGCCCTCTCCATGACCTCCAAATCATACCGAAACTGGATTCAGACAAACCAGTGGATGATGTGGGTGTCGCTCCTCGGTACCTTTGTCTTCCTCGGCCTCACCTTCTGGAAGCGCAAGTCGTACCCCATGAACCTCGCCTTCCTCGCCGGCTTCACCGCTATGGAAGCGTACTCCATCTCTGTCATCGTCTCCTTCTACCAATCTAGGATCGTCCTCAGCGCGCTGGTCTTCACATTAGGCATCTTCATAGCTCTGAGCCTGTTCGCCTGCCAGAGCAAGTACGACTTCACACACTGGGCTCCCTACCTCTTCGGTGCTATCTGGATTGTGATCTTGTTCGGCTTCATGGCTGCTTTCTTCCCGTACAACAGCAAGGTAGAGCTTGGTTACGGCATTGTTACGGCTTTGATCTTCTCCGGATATATCTTGGTCGATACACAGCTGATCATGCGCCACTACCACGTTGAGGAGGAGATTGCTGCGGCCATCTCGCTCTACCTTGACATCATCAACTTGTTTCTTGCTATCCTGAGGATCCTGAACTCGCAACAGCAGAACTAAACGTTCGACTGTATTCTTCCCTACTAGCAGCAAGTTGTATGGTGTTCTAGGTGTGTATGACTCTTCTCACCCTGTATCTCTACGGAGATTTCGCTTAGATTGGACATAGTGTAATATCCTTTGTTCGAGTATTCCACTGAGATTATGTTTGGATAGTTACCCATCAATGCATTATCACTGAATCAACAACACCATCTGCACATCTTCTCCCCTCGATTTCCAGTCCCACTGCTTCTTCTTGATCAAGAAACTGACTGCCAGCAAATGTCACTATCGAGGCAATGTAGAATGTGCAGTTGTTCGATACATCGCACATGCATTCACAGACAGCCTCGCGACCTGGATGGTTCATCCGTGCGCCGGCGGGGTAGGACTGGAGCCGGCATTGACAATGCATGGGTGCATTATTGGCTGGCAGGCGAGGCTGGCGGACCCTGGGAGATTTCCGTCGGAAGCCTTGGCACGACAAGTGAAAGGGGACGATCAGACCAGAAGGGCATGCTGCAGCGAGACTTGCAAGGGCTGAGACGGACAGGTGATAAGTTCTGCTATGTATGTGCAGATCAAAACAATCGCCACCTCCTTTTCCCAACAGCCCACTCGTGAGGCTTGCAATTGCTGTTCCTCAGCTCTCCCATGATCCCCTTGAGCTAGCAAATTCAAGCGAGCGCCGATTTGTACCCGCAAAGATTTTAGCGTTCTCCACGAGTGCAACAGGTAGCTAGCTTCCGCGACACTTGTCCAGAATTTCGGCGGCTTCTAGGTGTTCTGAAGATATGCACTCCTTCGCACCTTGGGAATTGTAGTATCTGATACACAATCGTTGTGCAATCTGCCAGAATCAGGAGAGTGGGATCCGCCGCGCTTGCCTATCACGTCTTGAACCTTGAACATCTTCCTGGGCCCACACCGCTCAACCGCCGAAACACCTCGACCACAACCCCCGCCGGCTGTGGACTGCACTCCCACAGCGCCTGCGATATCCCTTGCTACTGCCAAACGACCCAATGCTTGCCCATTGCTAAGAACCACGGAGAAACCCAGCCGCTCGCTACAACACACAATTGCAGGTACCACGCCAACTTCTTGGACCACGTACGCAGTGCTGGCGCGAGACGAGCACCCAATTGCACTTTACAGCGCCGACGTCGCCCTATTTCAGTAGCCTCGAGAAGTTTCGCCCTTCCTTTGAGCATATCAATCGCAATTGAAGCGCACACTTACCGCTCTTGCATCCTTGGCTTTCGGACCTGTAGCCCGGCATGGCAACCAAGACAACGCTGCAGAACGGCAGCGTCACCGCCAATGATGCGCACAAAGCACAGCTGCACGACCAGAAAGTAGCGGTTGCCCCGAAACGACGGAAGGCCTCCCCCAAGAAAGTCGAAGATGAGGGGCTGATGGCAACGCTGTGCATGTTGATCTGCGATCACCAGATTGGTACGCCCACAAACCGAAGCCAGGATCTCTCTATGCAACATGCTAATAATGAGATTGCAGGCATCTCAGTGAACCTCCTTTCGCTCCTCTTCCTGACGCACATCTTCTTCCCTCGCGCGCGAGATCGAACCACCAAGTTCTTCCACATGTCCTACTACAACCCCGAGACCAACATGTACGGGTGTGGCACTGATGATCTGCCCTACGTGATATTTTGGACTGTGGCTTTCACAGGTCTCCGAGTCGCGGTCATGGACTACATGCTGGACCCACTGGCCAGGTTAGGAGGTATCAGGACGAAGAAAGGCCTTGACAGGTTCAAGGAGCAAGCGTGGCTGATTGTCTACTACACCATATCGTGGTCGCTGGGCATGGTATGTTCAAAACGCAAGCAGCGCAAATGGCGACAAAGTGGCTAACATTCAGTAGTACATCATGTACCACTCCGACTTCTGGCTGAACCTCCACGGCATCTGGGAAGGCTGGCCCTTCCGCGAGGTCGACGGTCTCTTCAAGTGGTACTACCTTGTGCAGTGGGGCTTCTGGATCCAGCAGATCCTTGTTGTCAACATTGAGGAGAAACGCAAGGACTACACGCAGATGCTCACGCACCACGTCTTCACGACCGCGCTCATGTTTCTCTCCTATGGCTACTACCACATGCGCGTCGGCACTGTCATCCTGTGCATCATGGACTTCGTCGACATCATCCTCCCTGTAAGCGCAAAGCAGCAGTGACATTATAACGTTAGCTAACCACCTCAGACCGCCAAACTCCTCAAGTACATGGGCTACACCACCGCCTGCGACATTGCTTTCGGCGCCTTCGTCATCTCCTGGGTCATCACCCGCCATGTCTTCTACATGATGGTCTGCTGGTCCATTTATGCCTTCGCCCCCGTCGACATGGCTCCCGGTTGCTACTACTCCAAGGATGCCAACAACGCCTTTGTTCCCATGTCCAACACCACCGAGTTCGACCGCCTCGGCGGCAACGCGCCCTGGAGCAATCTTCTAAAAGCATACACCGACCAGAACGGCCCCATTTGCTGGAACCCAAACCTACGCTATTATTTCCTCGCGCTCCTCCTCGCACTGCAAGTCTTCTGCCTCATCTGGTTCGGCACAATCGCGAAGGTCGTGTATAAGGTACTCAAGGGTAACACTGCGGAAGATCTCCGCTCTGACGACGAGGGCGACGACGAGGAGATCGAGGACGAGAAGACAAACACGATCTTGAACATGGCAACGACATGCACAGAGAGTGGAATGAGCCACCTGCTGGAGGAAGAGGTCGGTGTCGACGCGCTCACATTCGCACGGATGAACGGTGCGAGCCAGCGTCGTCAGGCGAGACGTGAGAACTCAAGGGCAAGCGGAATCAGCATACCCGGTCATGGCGACCACAAGGAGTTGCTCGGGCGCATTGGGTGCGATAAGCCCTCATAGGGCTAGGGCTGCTGCTGCTATAGTGTTTTGTGATATCGGGTATCATTCTTCAACGACCCAAAAGTTTGTGGGCATCGCGGCGTTCTTGGAGGTCCTCGCAAGAGGAGGAATACTTCTCTGTCTATTTGTACAACTGGATTGGGACGAAGGATATGCATACCCTAGAAGCATAGATTGCTCTTCATCTCATCTCCTTAAACGGCACATGCTGCATCCTCTGTGATGGTGACTTCGACTATGTATACAAATGTACCAAACGCCATGTTTGGGTATCTCAACGCCAGCAGATCTCTTCCGACGCCTACAGACCTACAGAAATGCAAATACGCACTAACACAGCAACCAACCGTCATACTCTATCATAACAAACGGAGACTCTGGCTTCTAGTCAAGATACCGTCTCCACCCCTCCCTCCACACCGCCCTCTTCCCCGCCTCATCAAACCCCACAACAAACTTCTCCCACCGCGCATCCTGCCCCGCCCCCAGCACCAGCACCGTCGAGTCATCCAACCACCCGAGCAACCCCTTCGTCGGTCTTCCCCCTGGTACTCCTGGTATCCCAGCCTGCAGCGTGGCTGAGCGGGCCGCGGGCCCGAAACTTGCGGGCTCGTTGCCCATTTCGAATTTCGCGCTGCAGTTCGAGTATGTGTCGCTGAACTGGCGTGGGAGCAGGGGCAGTTTGGAGAGGAGTTTCCATTTGTGGTCGTCTGCGGCCGCCCGTGTGGTGTGCGATTGTTGAGACGGGGAGGGTAGGTCGAAGATGTGCAGTGTGGATTTGTCGCTTGTCACGGACAGCGTGGTGCCTGAGGGGCTGAAGGCGAGTGACAGGATGATGGCGGAATCGACGCCCCGACGCAGTTCGGAGAGTTTGGTGCACGATGGGAAGCTCCAGAGCCGGATTAGGGTGCCGGCTTCGCTGGCGGTGGCGACGGCTGTGTCATCGGCGGAGAGTGCGAGGGCGCGCAGGGGAGACTCGTGAGCGGGGATTATACTCACGTTGTGTGTGGTTAGATCGAAGAGTTTGACCTGCCCGACTGCGCGGCCGGGGAAGGCTATGATGTTCTTCCCTAGCTCGCATAGGCCGAAGGGATTGTTGACGGTCTCGTAGTCTGCGACTTTCTCCGGTGGCATTTTCATGCGGTAGATGCCGACTTTGTTAAGCAGGACGACAATCAAATGCGTTTGTGATATGCGGACGCGCTGGACGGGGGTTTTGAACTCGAGCGAGGTGGAGATTTGCTGCGTTGCGTCGTTCCAGATTTGCACCTGGTAGATCATGTCAGTATGCGAGATGATTTGCCAGCTGAAAGAGTCCTCGGGACAGACCTTGTTCTGCGGGAACTTGGGCTGCTTCCCTCCTCCGACGAAGGCGATGTAGCGCGTGGTGCCGAGCATTTCTGCGCAGCCGATGCCGCCGCCGACCTCTGCTTGGTGTTAGGAATGGGGAGATGAGATGAGCAGAAGGAATGTACCCCGCGCAGTTTTCTGGTCGCCAGTTCTGGACGAGAATACTGTGCGACTTAGTTAGTGCTCAGGTGAGTATGTCCTGTAGGCGCATACCGCGAAAGCCTGATTCCAGTCCTACCGAGAAGCAGGAATTGTCTGCGTTGAAGGAGGCAGAGAGGGCGAAAGGGCCCTTGTCCGAGCCTAAGACCGGTCGAGTGTTCATGTCGCCGTCCTGAAGAAAACGGGTTGTGGTGTAGAGTAGTGTGAGGTATCAGATGTTGGACGCAGAACGGTCAAGGCAGCGATCGAACATGGAGCGGCCTGTCAAACGGCACTGTGAGTTCTGCTGTGGGGTATCGCGGCATGCTAGACGAGGCCTCAGCTTCGACTGAGAGGGATATCAGTGAAGCACGATGTGGTCGGGTGAAGGTGGAGTTTGCCATTCAGGGTTCAGAGCTTCGACGTCAGCCGTCCACGCCGTCCAAGCTCCCTGATCTGCGGGGCTAGTCGCAGAAGGCTGGACGGTGCACGTGAAACAATTCAACATCTGATGCACATTGCATTTCTCTCTGGCTGGTAAGAGCAGATTGCTGCCTCGAGACTGAACCGCCAACTTTGCAAGCCGTCCTAAATCAGTCGTGAAGCAGGGCTAACGCCTCTGGTGACCACGGGCACATCCACCTTGGAAGGGTGCGGAGGTCCGGCCAAACACCGCAGTCCTGAAGTGGAGATGTGTGATACCATGACTGCACCCTTTACTACACCTTCAGATGTGATGATCTCGGTGCTGTGTGAAATGGCTGTGGTCAGAAACTTGGGATGGACGATGAGGTCGAATAATGGTCGATCAGAACTCCATTCCCCCCGCTGTTTCTGAGTCAAGCAGCAGACAGGGAACAGCGAGGCTTTGCACAGCCCTGCAGGCTCTCAAGAGCATAACTGTAAAGCTGTGAACCGGTGCACGATGATTCTGATTGTCGAGTGTTTGCTGTCGTGGTGCATCCTTCCCAAATTGGCCAGCGCGCCGCCAAGCCAGGAGACGACGACCGGGGTCGCGGCCGCTAGCGAGCCCCTTTGCATTGCGCAGGGAGCTGCTGCCAACGTCTCCAAAATATCTCGACGACACCTCCGCAACACCATTGACAGCCGCGCGCCCGTCTCACCACCCCTCCCGTCTCATCCTCTCGCCTGCAGCTGCCTTGCTCCAGGCCACGACCCGCAACTATATACCACACGCACCGCTCAGAGCCAGAGATGTCTTCAGTACGACCGCCCCCGAGACCATCTCCCTCTCCCTGCGGCCCACTATGCCCCAGCAACGCCCGCCACAACCACATTGGGCCTTGAACGCCTCCACTGACGCTGACGCTGCAACAGATGCTCAAGACCAGGAGGAAGAAGAATGTCAAGAAGGGTATCCAGTTCTGCCTGATGGTGTGCGGCGCCTCGGGTACCGGTACGCTACCACGACTTCGACTGGGACACCAATGCACATACTAATTGATGCCATCCACAGGCCGCACAACATTCGTCAACACTCTCTGCGGCAAGCCGGTTCTCGAGCACAAGGAGTCGGACGACCCCAGCACCGCCCACGTCGAGGAGGGCGTCAAGATCCAGCCCGTCACAGTCGGTGCGTCTCCCCAGCCAACAATTGCAGTGCCTGTGAAGTCGAGCATAGCTGACACGCAACATCAGAACTCGACGAGGAGGGCACGCGTATCTCGCTGACCGTCGTCGACACCCCCGGTTTCGGCGACCAGATCGACAACGAGGCCAGGTAGGCATTGTCACGTTCGTACCGATGGTCACACCAGCTCATGTCCACGCAGCTTCGGAGAGATCGTCGGCTACCTCGAGCGTCAATACGATGACATTCTCGCAGAGGAATCGCGTATTAAGCGTAACCCCCGATTCCGCGACAACCGTGTGCACGTTCTGCTGTACTTCATCACACCTACCGGCCATGGGTATGTCACCATTCACCATTCACGTGTGCCTTGAGTGATACTGACGGACACAGTCTCCGTGAACTCGACATTGAGCTCATGAAGCGCCTCTCGCCCCGTGTCAACGTCATCCCAGTCATTGGCAAGGCCGATTCGCTCACACCCGCCGAACTCGCCGAGTCGAAGAAGCTTGTCATGGAGGACATTGAGCACTACCGCATCCCCGTCTACAACTTCCCTTACGACATCGAGGAGGACGACGAAGACACAGTCGAGGAAAACGCCGAGCTCCGTGGACTCATGCCCTTTGCTATAGTAGGATCCGAGGATGTTGTTGAGGTCAACGGCCGACGTGTGCGAGCCCGCCAGTACCCATGGGGTATCGTTGAAGTCGACAACCCCCGCCACTCAGACTTCTTGGCTGTTCGCAGCGCACTGCTCCACAGCCATTTGGCTGATCTTAAGGAAATCACACACGACTTCCTGTACGAGAACTACCGTACCGAGAAGCTCAGCAAGAGTGTCGAGGGTGGTGCTGAAGCGTACGTACTTACTCAACCCTTGCTTGTCGCCACTAACAATGTTACAGCGGCTCGTCGATGAACCCAGAAGACCTTGCCAGCCAGTCCGTGCGCCTCAAGGAGGAGCAGCTGCGACGCGAGGAGGAGAAGCTCCGCGAGATCGAGGTCAAGGTACAGCGCGAGATTAACGAGAAGCGACAAGAACTCTTGGCTCGCGAAAGCCAGCTCAAGGAGATCGAAGCGCGCATGCACAGGGAGCAGAGCGGGCACCTGCAAGACAACGAGCCAGAGGAGGCATAAGCCGAATCACCCAACATATACTTGTAATATTCGGGCTGACATTCGGGCTGACATTCGGGCTCAGGCTTTGCCTTGAGAGGCCAGGCTGTGTGAGTAGCGTGTTTCCATTCGATACAACACTGGGCGGACCTAAACCTATTTATTGCAGTACTAGGCGTTTGTATTGAAGGGCGTGCGCACTGCAGATGCTCAAGGTCGAGGCCAGGGACGTTGGGATTCTGTTCTTCTCACCCCAGGCGGTGTTGCATACCGTCTCGATATGACGCTACTTCTCTTATGTTTCTTCAAAACTTCGATACTTATTCCCCCGCCTTTTGGTTTTCATGTAGGAGATAGTAATCCACCTTTATAATTACTCAGATGGTTGGACGTCTACTTGTATCAATGAGGAATGAACTGTGGCAGCCTCAACGCGTGCGCCGTCAAAGTCACGAACGTGCCTTCCCGTGGTCAAGCTGTTCGTCAAGCTCTTTGACCACGAACACTGTTCTGTTCACTCTACGGCTGGACTGCATGATCATGACGCTCACGTTCTGCAGCTCTCTCATGCTACACCTGTATCACACTGCCCATCAGAACACCATCACAATGTTCTGCAGCATCAACCTGTCATGGTTCATCATGACGCAGCCGTCACTATCCTACCGACGGACACAGCTCCCTCCCATATCAACCAACCAGATCAGGCATATGTTGTCGACGTTTGATTACACTCAAGCCGCTTGACCAACAGGTATACAATATTCCCAGCTTCTCTCATCCGACATCAACTTTGACTTCTCACCGCGGCTGCCGCTGATCGGGAAGGCTTAAAGGATGAGCTGCAGTCAGCACAATCTGCCACTCCAGATGTGCAGTCGCGAGACGATCGGCTACGCTTTTAGTGGTTGCATGCATCGCACGAACCAGTTTTCACCTCTTGCGGCCTGAATACGGAGAGATTGATGGCTCTTCCTCAGAATGTCTCCATCCACACCGCATTCCTGCCCAACGACCCATCGAATCTGTCCTCGTTAGCCTATGACCCCTGCACGATCAGACAGAACGACAACTCCTACAACCACCGAACAAAGCGGCATGTCAACTTCCGGTCCGTGGTGTAGGCTCTCAAAGGTCGGCTTGCCGAAGCAAATCAACGCATGACTGTCATCATCCGGGCCGTTCCTCCAAAGTTCGATATTCTTCGGAATCTGAAGATGCGCTCGACTACCGCAAGCATGTATTGCCTGCGTTAAGAATGCGGTGCGATGCACACAGTGGGCCCGTCGAAGTGAACGGTTGTTGTTCAGAGTGGTACAAATGGAATACACCAGAAGCCCAATCTGGACGAGCGAAACGCCAGGATGTCAACCTTTTCAGAAATCCACTCGTTCCCATCCGAGAAATCCCACCCGAAGAAACGCTCAATACGAGGGCTGCGTCGATTAATAACACGCGGCCTTGGGCCTGCAGCAATACCACAGCCCTGGAAGCACGTTCTTGGAACGAAGTTTCCCTTGTCGTGACACGCTCCAGGGACGCACCTCGGTAAAGCGTGACGCCGATACAAACATCTCGTAGCGGCAACAGCGGCTAGAAGACAGACGAATCGAAGAGACATCGTTCTGTCTGCACATACTCGTGAGCCTGCGGACATCAGCGCAATGTATCCCCCTACACGAGAGTAAGCAACGCATGGAGAACTCAAGGTGTTGCAAATCGTGAACCCTGATTCGTCAATCGGTCTTTCGGCTGCATCATGCATATCCAGGTCCCACCTCTTTCAACGGCACGACGCCTCATCACTTCGATCCGTGTTTTCGGAACTTTACAATTTTTCGCGCTTTGCGCGGTTACAAAAGAAATCAAAGATCGGGCAGCTAGGACCCTGAAGATCTCGTAGCACCAGCTGAAGCGTAAGCTAGGACTTAGCCACTCAGCACGACCAGGCCGCCAGTCCGCTAGAGGGAAAACTTTATCTCGACCCAAGCAGATCCCTAAACATTGCGAAGCCTAGACCTCGTTGCCTGCTTTGCTCCACTCTAGCTGTACGTCGTCTGCATCATCACAACGACTTTCAACCGATCGCGGTTGACAAACAACCCCAATGTGGTGCCATGGTTCGAAGGTTGCTGCAAACCGCTGCAAGCCCGTAGGATCCAGGAACCGCCAGACTAATTAGAGCGGCGCGCTCAGATGGGGAAGATCGCAGAGCCTCCTGCTAACCATACCCGAGGGGACATCATCTGACATTCGTTCGAATGCCAGACCCGGCTCAATCGCGGGAATACCGTCACAACTCGGGAGGCCTATCGCTTTGGTTTGGAGCTGCCAAGTGATGCGTGTCTGTAATGTACACTTGGACGCAACCTGTACTTGAGCGGCCATTGCTCCGTCTGAAGCAGTTTGCAACGCCACACGGCATCTCACAATTCCCACCCTGGAGGTACTCAATGCGCGAAGATGTCCTCAAGCCATGTTGCAGGGGTGTTCATTGACTGCAAGCAGACCTTGCCACATCCAAATGCGCATTGTCTCTGCAGTTGACGAACGCACACGGCCGGTAGCCGCGGTCGCTTCGACCAATGCAGGGACTCCCCACCCACAACAGGGCCCTTGGCCTTCATCGTTACCAGCAGCAACACCACCAAGATCAAAGACAGATATCCTTAGCCCTGTCAAACCGGATGAGGAAGTGCGAGAGGCGATCTGGACTCGCCAATCGGAGTGCGGATCGACTGGGGAATAAACAGACCCCTGCACGCTACCTCAAGCCACTTACCACTTACCGAAGTTCAACGCTTCCTGCGATCACTTTGACTCCAGCGCGGATGCAGGGGCAGATGTTCCCCGGTCACTGAACTACTCTAGCGTGTACCTAAAAGCTCACCTAGGTTCCATCTTCGAACCGCCTCCACTGTTCCTGCACGCGACTGCGGCGGCAGAGCTAGTAAAAGGTCCTCTGACAGCTCGTCATCAAGAAGCATTTGCCCTTTCACAGCCAGCCCGGTGCCACAATTGCCGTTACCAGTGATGTTTGCGTATATAGTCCTTTATTTGCAGGGACAGGCTGGCTCCTGCCTGCTGCTGCCTGCCCCTGTCGTTGGTACCTTCCTTAGTTTTGCTTTCGCTTGATTCTACAACTCGCGGCCGCGACAGAGAACTGCATCATCATCGTGGCGCACCTTCCTACAGCCTAACAGTCATCACTTCTCTTTCACCTCATCGTCCCAGTATTCCCCACACTATTGCTTTACAGCCTCCCCTCTTGGCCTGTGGGTGCAGCTCTCTGTGCTCGTCTCGTCAGCCGTAGTATAAGTATGGACAGGCCACAGGTATCGATACCGCCCGTGAGTGCCCCTCTGACATTTCAGGACGTTTCATTGAACTAACATGTCACTGTAGGCTGCGGACGTGCTTGGAGTAAGTTGCATCATTGTAAAAGACAGAAAACACCCTACTAATGTACGGTTACAATTGATAGACGATCGGAACTGGTACGTGATTTGGCACTTCCTATCTCATTGTTTGCTGATGACCACACAGTGTATGCATCACCCCTCAATTCTCTGTAGTGAAACCACTAACAATGCTTCTTTTTCAGTTGCTGGTGTGTTCAGGTAAGCTATGCCATCTTACGCGTACAGTGCCACCATCGCTGACCATGACAGATCATCCCACAGTACGTCACCCCATACATTCGACGAATCATTTTCTTACAAACCCAGGATATGGCACAACTACCGGCGAAAGAGCACCGAAGGCTTGCCTGGATCGATGCTTATCCTTTGGTCAATATGCAAGTCAACAAACCCTTGAATATGATTCAAGCTGACTTGATTAGGTGGTGTGCCCTTTGGAGTTTACGCGATCGTCCAGGTATGGCTTTTCGTCAATGTAATCAGATCACGACTAATCACAAGCAGAACTTCAGCTTCGCCCTCAAGTTTCAGCCTCAAGCGTTCGCCGGCCTCACACTGATCTCATGGGGACAGACACTCTACTATCACAAGTAAGTTCAAGAGTCTGCCTCACGTTCAATCGTTGACTATCTGCAGCAAGTGGAAAGCATGGACTGCTACCGTAGCTACCATACTTCTTGCGACGAGTTTTGCAGTCATGGAGGTGATCCTTATCTTTACCCTTCAAGTGAGTGACCGTCCTGACTGTCCGCTACTTGCATTGCTAAACTGCCATATCCAGGGACCTTATGATCGCGGTGTCGAGTGGCCGATGATGCTTATGGCAATCTCAGCCACACTCATCCAGATCGCTGGGTTAATACCACCATACTTCGAACTCGCAAAGCGCAATGGACGGGTCATTGGCATTGGTACGCACGACGATGGTGCAGATAAGAAACCTCTGCTAACAATTACAGACTTCTGGTTCCTGCTCATCGACTACGCTGGAGCATTCTTTTCGCTCATGGCTCTTGGTTGGTCCACTTTGCTCATATGCAAACCCTATCGCTAACCGCGTCCAGTTGCGCAGCAATGGTTCGATGCCCTTGGTGGTAGCCTGTACATCGCATGGTAGGGCACCTTTCGATAAAAATGCAGCTCTAGCTGACCATCTGCAGCATGTTACTCGAGACCGGCATCTTTGCGTCTCAGGCGGTCTGGCTGTGGCGTGTTCGACACATCCGCAAAGAAGCAAAGAAAGCGGGCAAGACCTACGATGAGTACGTTGCTGAAAACCCCTCGAAAAAGATTCCTCGATCTGAGTCGTCCGAAACGGTTGTCGATGTCGAAGCATGCCACGAACCTAAAAGCCAGGACACGGTGACGGAAAAGACCAACACAGAGTCGAAGAAGAAGCAAGACATGGCTTCTGAAGCGAAGGTCGCAACGAAAGCTCCAGCATATAAGCATGGCTTTCTGCAGAAGTGGAGGAACCTGGTGCTCAGACCAGTCCCCGATCCTCAGTCGTGATCGTCTGCTTCTTTTCCCCTGATTTTGAGCGTTGCCCAACGGGCTCTACGAGTTAGGCTTCTCGTTCCGGCAGCACGTGTGAATCATGATTTCCACTTCAAAAGTGTCATTAGCGTGGGCGGATACTTATTTTTGAAGCCTATTGGCTTTCACCAAAAGTCGGATCAACCAGAACTATCGGAAGGTCGTACGAGGTCCTCAGGCTCTCGGTGGTGGTATATATCTCACCTCTCCGGACTGCAGTACAAGAATACTGCACCCTGCCAAAAGCTCATTTATCCATAGATGGTCCATTCATATCACAGTCTACCTGGTGGCTCGCAATGAAAATGCACTTTGACTCAGGTGTGATTGTGTCGAACATTGAAACCATTGATAGGCTTCAGCGTTTCCGCACTCACTTCGTGGTAATCAAATCCAAGTATTGTCGTTGTCGGTATTCACAGCTTCTCACTCTCAACAGGTACCTCAACCACCTGATCCAATCCCTCATACTTCGGAACATCCAGCCCATACTTCTCCGCCATCGCCGGACTCAAGAACCTTCCTCCCAAGAAATGTCGCCCCTTGAACCACTTGACCAGCGGCTTGGCCGCCGTCAAGCTGATGAGAGCTGGCGGCATGAACCCTTTTCCGGGTCCATCTTCCCTCGGCCCGTCCTCAATGTCCCATGACGACGGGGCGTCGACGGCGAGAACAGGGATCTTGGTTGATGCTAAGGCCTCTATTACCTTGGGGAAGGGCTCACGGACTTCGCCAGAGAAGGAAAATCCGAAGATGGCGTCGATGATGTGGTCGGTTTGTTGCAATGCGCCAGTGAAGTCTTCTGTGAAGGGGACCTTTAAGTCTTCCAGTTGCTTCTTCAGGCGCTGCGAAAGGTCAGCACCCAAACACCATATTAAGTGACAATGTCGGAGCTTACCTGGTACAGTTCGTTCTTGCTCTGCTTCGGGTAGTAGATGGTTGGTTGGTAGCCGTAGTGGAACAGGTGACGCGCTGCTACGAGGCCGTCGCCGCCGTTGTTGCCGGGGCCGCAGGCGACGAGGATTCGAGGCCCTTTGGCGACAGGGTGCAGTTTGAAGAGCGCTTGTGAGACGCTCAGGCCGGCGAGTTCCATTAGTTGATCGATGGAAAATGCGCCGGTGGACATCAGCTCTTGGTCGAGCGCTGCGGCGCTTTTGGCGGATAGTGTCTGAGTTGGGTACCGGTGTGAGCAATGCAGTCCGACTGAATGTATAGAAACGTACCCGTAATGCCATTGTGAGGAGTCAGACGGTTTGGTGGATTAAGTGCGCGAAGATTGGAAGCTGCGAGAGTTGTAGAGCGAGAAGTACGATTACATCACTCCTCAAGTGAGGAGATGGATGGTCAACATGGCGAGATGGCAGTCGCGACACAACGCAGGCCACAGCACACCAGCTATAGGCAGCGCGTACAAAGAATGACTCGTGATTGCAATACGATTCTACTGCAACGTCGATACATGCCCTAGTGGCCGGTCGATGAATTGTAGCATCACGTGCCTGGCAGAACGTCGGTACAAATAATCTCGAACTCTCATCGTCACAACGTCCGCACCACGGCATCACCGCATCGCACCCCACACCCTCGCAATGGTCCTACGCATCCGCCTCTCCCGCTTCGGCAAGAAGCACGCGCCCTTCTACAACATTGTCCTCACGCACGCCCGCACAGCGCGCAACTCGCGGCCCCTCGAAGTCCTCGGCACATACAACCCCATCCCGCAGCCGCCGCGGCCAGGCGACACACATGGACGACCGTGGAAGGACATCAAGCTGGACATGAGCAGGGCGAGGTACTGGGTTGGTGTTGGTGCGCAGCCGAGTGACACTGCGTGGAGGTTGTTGAGCATGGTATGTTGGACTTTTCTTTGAGCGTGGAGGGATGAGAGAGCTTTGTCAGCATAAGAAGGGAAGCGTGAAAGGACGGTGATTGAAACGGTGTTTGTGCAAGGGCATAACAAGGCGCAGTTGCATGAAGGTAATAAACTGACAACTTTCGCAGGTTGGCATTCTCGAACCGCAGTATCGCATCTCGAAGATCCAGGGACAGGTCACCAAGGCAGATTCGGCGGCCAAGTCGCTAATACCGGAGACACCTATTACTCCTCCTGCAGAGGCCGAAGTCACACAAGAGCAGAAGGTCGAGGCATAAGCGCATGCATCGAACAGCAGGTTCCTGGAAACGAATATTGGAGGGCTACGCCTGCCATAAGGGAGGGCACTTGTTCCAGCGGTAGTGTTGGAGTATCGTGGAACACCATGTTTGCAGTGGAGTGCGTCAGGAATTGAACAGGGGGACGCCTGCAGCAAAAGAGCACTTTTACGGGGGAATTCAAGAGAGGTGCATCAATGGGCGTTATTTGGCATACCGGCAAAGATGTAGACGTTGTACCATATACCTTTGCATTGGAAGAGGATCTTGTACATTCTGTAAGAATAAGAAGCTAAGGGACACATCCACACCAACTCGCAGGCCACTGGACATGTTCCGTTCTGCCTGTGAAGCGCATGCCAGATCAAGAGAACCTTTCTTCCTAGAGTACAGTATGCGACGACAAGCACCAAGAAAAGTCCGAACTCCAACGCCCACGTCCAAATGGGGTTGTTAAATGGAGGTTGATGTACCTTTGTACCTCCCGCGTTCAGCTAGCGCACCCTTCCCCGCAACCGCGGCTGACGCTTTGCTTCGGGTTTATTCCGCGATGCCAACCCCAGCTTTCACGACGTGACATTCTTGTGCGTTATTGAGCCGCTGCATAACCGAAATGCAAGGTCCGTGAAATTTGGTTCTCGTCGCTGCAGCTTCGCGAGATCCTCAAAATCCTCAAAATCTTCAACTGTTGTCCTGTTCTGTTACCTGCCTGTCGTTTCGTTGTGGTACGCGTTGCGCGCTCAGTTAGCTAGGGACCAACAATCGTAAGCTAACAGAGCGCAGGGCGGATCTGAAAGCATGGCCTCCAAAGTACCGTCGCGGGAAGCTCTGACGCTGCTCAAGCACTCCATTCGCCCTGCGGTAGCTCTCCGTTCGCAGGCACAATCGCGTCTGAATTCTTCCGCGGGTGCTTCGCTGCGTCCACAAGCTCAAGCTCAAGCTCAAGCTCACCCATCGCGGCAAACAGCACGGGGCACTGCAACTTTCACGCACTCCCACCATGCCGAAGCCGTGTCCGTCATTCCCACATTGGTGGACCCCAATTCGGCAGATTTCAAAGAGAACAGGCGCGAGATGGAGGAAGTCACCGAGAAGTTGAACAACCTGCACTCCAAGATCGCGCAGGGCGGGCCGCAGAAAGCAAGAGACAAGCACCTCCAGCGCGGCAAAATGCTCGTCAGACATCGCATCACGGCATTGATCGACCCAGGAACACCCTTCTTGGAGCTGAGCCAGATGGCAGGTCATGAAGTCTACCCTGACGAAGACACACCTGCGGCTGGCATCGTTACCGGCATTGGAACAGTCAATGGCGTTCAGTGCATGGTTGTCGCTAACGACAGCACCGTCAAGGGAGGAACATATTACCCGCTTACCGTCAAGAAGCACCTCCGAGCTCAGGCGATTGCGCAGGAGAACCGACTACCCTGCATCTACCTCGTCGACTCTGGCGGCGCCAATCTGCCCCACCAAGCTGATGTCTTCCCGGACGTTAACCACTTTGGCCGCATCTTCTACAACCAGGCACGCATGTCTGGCATGGGCATCCCCCAGATCAGTGTCGTGATGGGACCCTGCACGGCTGGTGGTGCATACATCCCCAGCATGAGCGACGAGAGCATCATCGTCGAAAACCAAGGTCACATCTTCCTAGCCGGCCCCCCACTCGTCAAGGCAGCAACTGGCGAGGTCGTCTCAGCGGAAGATCTTGGTGGCGGTAAGCTGCACAGCGAAATCTCTGGTGTGACAGACTACCTAGCAGTCGACGATGCCCACGCCCTCGTCCTGGCTCGAAGAAGCATCGGCAACCTCAACTGGCACCGCAACCAGACCGTCTCCGTGAAGCCGACCTTCAAGGAGCCACTGTACGACCCCAAGGAGCTGAACGGCATTGTAGGCACCAACCTGCGAAAGCAGATCCCTATCCACGAAGTTATCGCGCGCATCGTAGACGGCTCATCGTTCTCCGAGTTCAAGCCTCTGTATGGGTCCACCCTCGTCACCGGCTTCGCTACTATCTACGGACACCCCGTCGGTATTGTAGCCAACAATGGCATCCTTTTCAGCGAGAGCTCACTCAAAGGCGCGCATTTCGTACAGCTATGCGGCAAGCGCCAGATCCCGTTAATCTTTCTACAACACATCTCTGGTTTCATGGTCGGCCAGGACGCCGAGAAGGGCGGCATTGCAAAGAACGGCGCCAAGCTTGTCACAGCTGTCAGCTGCGTTGACGTGCCCAAGTTCACAGTGGTCGTTGGATCGAGTGCTGGCGCCGGTAACTATGGAATGTGGTAAGTTCACCTCTCACACCCTACTTTTACCTTTCAGAGAGGAACCCAGACTGACATCATCCACAGCGGCCGTGCCTACTCGCCCCGTCTCCTCTTCACTTGGCCTAACGCAAAGACATCCATCATGGGCGCCGAACAGCTCTCCTCCGTCATGGCCGCAGTCGGCAAGTCAGACCCAAAGCTCCGGAGCCGCATTGAGCATGAGAGTGAGGCTACATTTGGATCGGCGAGGCTGTGGGATGATGGGATCATCCCTCCCGAGCACACAAGGAGAGTGCTCGGTATGGGATTGCAGATGGCATGTGGCGGACAGAACACCGGTGTTGAGAAGGATAGCAAGTGGGGAGTGTTCAGAATGTAAACCACGCGGTATAGATACTTTCCATTTTTGAGCTCGCGTGTGGATGCTTTCACCACTGAGCGAAAACGAGATGTTGCTGTTTGGAGCTGCATGGATTTTGGTAGAGCGCGCAGTGTAGAAATCATACACGGTGCTAAAAATAGCATCAGGGCCTGAGCTGCCCTCCAATCTCCACCCCAGTTTTGCGCAACACACCATCCTTGCAGGTGCCTTGGCACAAAGAAGATCAAGCTTTCCGCTGATGGGGCCCCTGAGCTCACAAGCTCCACTCAAGCCTCTCGCGTGCTCAACATCTCTGCCGTTCACGCACCTTGTTCTTCTTGCCCTTGCGACAGTGGAAGCTGCAACGCTGAACAACATGACGCGCACTCCAATCTGTGCGGTAGGCGAGGGTTGTCATGATGTATGCACCGGTCAGCAATGGCGGAAGCATGAGCCGTTCAGGATCCCCGCTTTTCCGCAACGGTGCGATATTAGGATCGTAGGGCTGTGTGAGTGGACAGGCGTTCATTGGTGACTACCCTGCAACCAATGACGAGCAGATGAACGTTCAGGTGAGTACCGAACACGAGCTGTTAGCTGCTCAACCCTGCGTGGAACACTTCGGGACACCTTTGTGTGGTACGAGGTAGGGTCGTAAATTACCGAATACGCCTTCGCTGATGGGCTTGAATGCGGAGCTTGCAGCCCATTCCTTACTTGCGCATCCGGCAGCAGGGTGATCTACACAGCCTTTGCAGTCTTCTCGTGCGGCTGGTTTTCTTGTCTCTCCTCACACACTCTCTCACGCTGTTTCGTCTCCCGCTTTCTAGCCTACGTCATTCCGCTTGAGTGGTTTCGTTGGTTTTGTTCAAGTTGTCCACAAGCGCATTCACATGTTCGCTTCGAGATGAGGTGGTTCAGCGCTGCGCGAGCGCTAGCGGCGCTCAGTCTGCTCTCTCCAACCGTTGTGCGACCACATGTCAATGCGATTGACTTGGATCCCACACAACCGGGTATGTTCTCTCTGCGACCTCATCACGGTACAGGAAGGGCTTATGCGCAAACACAGACTCGATCAAAGATGCATCATCAAAGATTGCGAAAGAGCTGGTCGCGCAGTATGCGAGTAAAGACAACAACGGCGTGCATGTCCTCGGTGGCTATCCAGGAGTCCTGTACCCGCCATACTACTGGTGGTTAGCCGGTGCTATGTTCGGGACATTGTTGGATTATTGGCGGTATACCGGTGACGACCAGTATAACGACATGATGCGCGAAGGCATGATACATCAGTTCGGAGAGAAGCTGGATCTGGTAGGCTTCCACACGAGAATATTTCAAGCTTACAGTTTTAACACCCACAGATGCCAAACAATCAGTCGAAGAACGAAGGAAACGATGATCAAGTCTTCTGGGCCTTCACCATGATGTCGGCTGCAGAGTACAACTTCCCTGCACCTCCCGACGACAAGCCAGGTTGGCTCGCAATGGTACAATCCGTATTCAACCAATTTGTCAAGCGCTATACCAAAGAAGTCGAAGACGGCAACTGCAAAGGTGGAATGCGCTGGCAGATCTACCCCTGGCTAAACGGATGGACATACAAAAACACAGCCTCGAACGGCGGACTCTTCCACCTCGGCGCTCGACTAGCCATGTTCACGCAAAACGACACTTACGCCGAGTGGGCTGAGAAAGCATACGACTGGATGAACGACAGCGCATTACTGGACGACGATGGCACGGTCAACGACGGCATGAGTATGACTACCACTCCGCCGTGCAAAGAAGCAGACAGAACACCCTGGACATACAACTACGGCATTATGATTGCCGGGGCCGCATATGTAAGACACATCCCATACTTCACTTCTCACCATCACTAACAAACCCCAGATGTACAACTACACCAACGGCGCAGAAAAGTGGCGTTCCGCAATCGAACGCCACCTGAACAAAACCGACCAATTTTTCCCGGAGTACTACAAAGGCGTTATGACGGAGATTTGCGAAGCAAAAGAACTCTGCGACACGGACCAAGAATCCTTCAAAGCGTACCTGGCGCGCTGGCTAGGCGTGTGCATACAAATGGCGCCCTGGACACACGACATCATTATGCCGCGACTACACACTTCTGCAAAGGCGGCGGCACAGACGTGCGTTGGCGCGAGCCAGCACGGCGCGGGCAATTATGCATGCGGGATGCGCTGGTGGTGGAATGGATTCGACGGCATCCAAGGTGTCGGGCAGCAGATGACTGCTCTAAACGTTATCTCGGTGTTGAACGTTGACAGAGTGGCGCCGCCGTATACGAGCAAGACGGGTGGTGAGAGCAAGGGCGATCCCGGGTTGGGGACGGGCAGTGTGGACGACAGTATTCCGCAGCTGCACACAGAGCCTATGACCACGGCGGACAAAGCGGGCGCGTCGATATTGACGATTCTGGTTGTGGCGTTTGTGTTTGGGGGTGCTTGGTGGATTTGCATTGAATGAGGAAGGATGAGCGGATGGTATGTATACCAACGGTGAACTAGCATCCAGCGAGGCTAGTGGAGTTCAGGCGTTTTAACATGGTTCCAGGCCACGAAGGCTTGTATATACGCTGTCCATACATGAATCCTATAACGTCCACACATCTGCTCGAATCAGATAGATTTCCCTCTTTCGAAAAAGCCTCGGCTCCATGGAGCCGCGGGGCAATATTGACCGACCTCGGACGCGTTCCATACGAATTCCGACAAGAACAACATACACAATCACATCTTTAGATTGTGAAACCAGAATCAGGTTCGATATAGCGATCTCGGCCAGCATTTGAAATACACCCACAAAGACGATCCAACAAAGATCACTTACCCTCGAAGTACTATTTAGGCTCGAGTTACAGCATCCGCTTCACCAACTACCTCTTGCACTACCACACACCGAGACTATCAGCAACCAAGCACCTTATCTCCCCAAACCTCACATTTTCCGCTCCTTCTCTCAAACCACATCAATAATGTCAACGCAAGAGACCCTTCCCCTACCATCGCCTCCGTTCTTCTCAGTCCCCAACATCAACAATCTCCGCGATGCCGCCGTTCCTCTGTCCACTCCTCATGGCCCCCTCCGCCCAGGCATTCTCTTCCGCTCCGCAGAAGTGTCAAAACTAGACCGCTCAGGCTGGGACGCTGTGCACTCCATCGGTGTGGCGCACGTCTTCGATCTGCGCAGCAAGCCCGAGGTAGAGAAAGGCTTGGCGAGTATCGTAGCCAAGGTCGATGGGGGCGAAGATGTGCGGCTGGGCTGGATGCAGGCCATGGAAGCTGCAGGTGTGCAGAGGACGTGGGTCCCCGTCTTCGCAGAAAAAGATTACAGTCCGGAAAAGTTGGCGGAGCGGTATGTTAAGTATATGGATCGCAGCGTTGCGGGCTTCATGGCTGCGTACCGCGACATTTTGAGGAGTGGAGGGGATGCGTACCGGACCATATTCCTCCATCTTGCGAGTCTGCCACCGGCTGAATCGAGCAAGACGGAGGAGGGGAATGGAGCGGATAAGTTGGGCGCATTGATTCACTGCACAGCCGGCAAAGACCGGACAGGCGTCTTTTTCGGCATTCTATTCGACTTTCTTGGCGTTCCGCGCGAGGAGATTGCAGACGAGTACAATCTCACCGAACTCGGTCTTGCTAGCGTCCGCGAAGACGTCGTAGCGCGCCTCCTGCAATCGCCCGGGTTCCAGAAGTACATGCTCAGTCTGACGTCTGGAAAACAGCTGAGCAAGGGAGAGATGGCCAAGCTGGTGGAGAACAGAGATGTACAGGACGGACCGGCGGTCGAGTTTCCACCTGAGGTCAGAGAGGAGGGGAGACAGGCGGCGCTGAGGATGGTGGGGGCGCGGAAAGAGAGTATGCTCGCTACGCTGGAGATGGTGGATCGGGAGTTTGGGGGATCGGAGAATTATATGAGAGAGGTATGTGGGCTGAATGATGAGGATCTGGAGAAGTTGAGGAGGGCTCTGGTTGTGAAGAAGTGACTACCTGTGAGGAGCTCGGTATTGTAGCGGTGGCGGACCTTAGACAACCTGAGTATGTGGAGGTAGTTGGTCAATCTGAGGTCGTAGATGCTGCGAAGCTGCAAACAAGGCACAAGGAGAGGAGGAACTACAAAGTTGCGAGGTCAGATTGAGCTTCGCTCACACGCAAAAGACTTAAATACGACATTTGTTAGTGTAATTATCCTTTCCATTTTTTCCTACCCAGACCTCTTCTCATCTCCGATCTGCAGTAAGTGGTTAAGCACCCAGTCTTGGTCGTTCGCACAAGGATCAGCATGATGTGTTCCTGAGACTTGAAAATTTGAAGCTTCTTTTGTTCGAAACTCCGTACGTAGACTACGCATCACATTATCATTAGAACAGCTTCCGCATATGAATGCACCAGTATAGACTTAATAACCCATCTCAGCAGCAGATCATGCAATGAGTCGCAGTTCGAGCAATAGTTTGGACAATCGATAGACTCGTGGTAGAGTTCACTGCAGGCCCAGTATTCATTTAGGCACTTGGAGGAGTCGTGACCCATGGTACCCTAGTACCGTAAGCCTGCTGACCTAAACGGTCTTCGAAATACCGTAGGTTTTTCCTTCTCTCAGAACAGCGACTGGAAGAAAACCCTACTTTTGGTTATAGCAGCCTTCGTTGTGGCGCATTCGATTTCTGGTTCCTCAGTTTCAGGGCCGCTGGCCAGGTCTGCGTTGAGCGAGAGTGCGGTAATGGTGTCAGCGAACTCTTCCGGGGTCCAGGCATAATTGTCAGTGGAAGAACAAGGGACTGCAGCCTGATCAGCCGTGTCCCTCGACGTTTAAACTGTGGGTGTCGCTCGTGGAGGGTTTGATGGAAACGAAGGCAGGGCGGTAAAAATCTGGTATTGAACTAGGTCACCTAGTCATTGATGTTTAAAACCTCGGCGTGTTTGCTGTGCGTGAGGCTCGACGACACACCGGAAAGGCAGGTGAGCGTTACATGAGCAATGCCCGAAGTTGATGGCTGCCTAATCTGCCGGATTAAATGCTGGGATGTTGATGGTGCGTTTTTTTCTAGTCGCAGCTCACTGTAAGCATAGCTGGACAAACTGGATGCACGAATGAGTTATTCTAAAGAGATTGTAACGATAAGCCAATGAACCTGGGAAGCTATTCTGGTACGTTGGATCTACCTGAGAGCATAACAGTAACTCTAAAGCTAATAATTATGATGGTATTCGAAACGGATGCGCTTCAGTGTTGAATACAAAATCGTCCAAGCTTACAAGACTTGGTTCGCTAAGGATGAGATGGAAATACTTGAGTGTTTCGGCCATCCAGAAACTCTCCATACTGTCGTCTTTCTCTGGAGGACTTTTCATTACATCTCGGATCGCAGCGTTAGCAAACTCCATCCGAGTGTTGTTGTCAACTGCCTGGAACATCTCCCATGCTGTCTTTGATAACGATGTTCTCCCGTAATTCGATACATGTAGAAGATGGATTCGATTGTTTCAGGCCTGAGGATATATCGACCATGCAAGACACTGCTAAAAGGACTTGATCCCGAGTTTGAACAGGATTTTGGGACATAGTCGCATTCGGATAATGTCGGGCAGGATTCCATTGTGAAAAGCTCTGGCATGATGCCGTTGGGTGCATTCTTGTACGTCCAAGCGCAACCGTTGGTGATTTTGCGACCGGTCTCGACATATGTGTGGTTGTCGAAGATCTACCCACCAAGAGCTAGCATTCCTCCAGCGAAACATGCCAAATGCTGTCCTACGTCGTCGCTCTGTCTGTCGTTGTTGCCAGTCGCTACCAGTATGTCAGCTTTGTCTTTCACCATAGGCCGGAACAACGTGTATTCTATCGCAGTCGCCATTGCGTACTCGTACATCCTACGATGCCAGCTCCTGTTGGACCGATTCCGTTGAGTAGCTGATACATCTTAGGGAGATATTCGTATGTCGAACCAGCCATGGCACCTAGAGTAAATCCTGAATTACTCGTCAAGTCCAGTTTCAGCATATCTACCACCACAGGCCACATGCCAGGCAGCTTCGTGCTATTCAACGATAACGAGCGTTAATACTGTACCGGAACCAGCGCCACAAAGCAAGGCCTGAATAGCTGGCGTTGTCATCGGGTCTGTAGCGGGAATAGCCTTGGGCGCCGCGGTGTTGTGGCTGTTCATGAACAGGAAAATAAAGGGGGGGACAGAACAGCAGAGCCACAGATATGTAGGATACGGCCCGGGTACCACAATCCAGGTCTTCCTGGAAGTGCATACGCGACCGACAAGCAGCCTGGATCAGTTGTCGAAGCAGGGATATCTGTTCGCCAGCGGTCCGTTGCAGTGTTTGCCCGCGGCCCGCTACACTGATTGGTTTGCTTCCCCACCCCTTCACTTCACTGCTATCCCCTCTACAATACAGTCTCAATCGATTCCTGCAAATAGCTCAACAGATCAATCAACTCAATTATCTCAACTCTTCCACAATATCCCCACAATACTCGGAGTTACCGCACGATGCCCAGCCGCGTCATCTACAAGTAGGATACCAAGCGGAGTTGCCAGCTAGTATGCCAGCATAATTACGGTAGAAGGGCTGACAGGCTATTGTAACAAAGCTTCTGATATGAATGTGACACATCTGTCTGAATCATGGGCGGATATCAATTGTCGTACATCAATTTTGATCAGAACGTATGCCATTCGAGCTTTTCCCGTCCCGAATGGTGTTGTTTGATCTGTCAGTGATCAGACGCATAAAGGCACTCTCCTGCAATATATGGGGGAGATGATAGTAGGCGTGCGGGAGCACTGTGGATAATGTCTGAAATCAATGGCAACTTCTTGATGCGCCTCGCTCCCTTCACCTCATCTTCAGACATATCGACAACTGCATCGCACTAAAGCGCTCAGCCTACGACATAATCGAAGAAAGTATGGTGCAACGTATCAGAAAGAGAGGGCTCCTTTCGACTAGTATTCCGGCGAGATTATCGGTCAAGCAATATCAACGTCCTCTCCGTCATACTTAGGCACAAATCACCACTGTCTCAGACACTTCCGTCAACTGCGCAATATTCGTCGCAATAGCCTGCTCAACAATCTATCGCCGCATATCTCATCAGCAACCTACATCAACAAGTCTGACCGGAGGAGCTCAACATCAATGACCTCATCAAAAACAGCAGGCGAAAACACCACTTCTACCAGACCTTGATTCGAGAGGATATACACAATATCAAGAGCTCCTATACTCTCCACAAGCGTCCCTATCGAACCTCTCCCCGTCGTGTGAGGAATTCGTTGGTAGTGGTGTTCGATGTTCGGTACGGCGTTGAGATGAGAGTGCACACCAAACACAGGGTGGGAGCGGATACAGGGACGAACGTGTGAGGATTGCAGCATTAGCACAAAGATCTCCGACACATGCGTGAAATACGACTTTTATCGAATTGATGTGACGACTGCAGTCTACGACTCCAAATGACATGTCGCCATGACAACGTATTCCGACCGAGAGATATACAACCACCGTAACGCCATAGCTGTGCAGTAGCTCGAAGGACAGCAGGACGCAGCAGAGAAGACGAAGAAGAAACACTACACAAAGCGCTTGTAGAGGAGCTGGTAGTGTGGCGATCTGCCAAAGTGGTGAAGAAGAGAAGTGACAAGTGACAAAAGACAGGAGACCCTAAGGCAAAGATTTGAAATTATGTAGGAAAACAGAGTCAGACACATGTTGGTCCGGGTATCGTGCAGAGGAATCGAGTCCCTGCTCACCTTATCTTCGCAACGACTGATACATGGTCAAGATCCGGCCTATCCAGATCCAGCCACTCAGCAAAACACAAACCCCCAAATAACCTCCTCAGCTCAGTACAGGGTGCAGCAAAGCTCGTAGCTGGCCCTCAAAATGTCCATCGATCGAATGTATCGTACAGCTAGGAAAGTCGTAGTGAGGTCATTAGGCAGTCGAAGAAACCAGTCTCCGCAATCCACTTTACAGCAGGATGAGGTAGTTGCTCGGCGCAATACCCGTCTCGCCGTTGGGTTTCTTCGCCTGCCACCACCGCCCGCTGACATCTGAGACCTCCAGGATGTCGTGCTTCTGGAAGCTGATCTCGTTGGCGTCGTCTGGGTTCGCCTCGTAGCTGTAGATGGCCTTTGCACGGTACGGATACTCGATGCTTTGCTCTGCGGGCTCTTGTGTGGGTGTTTGGGGGTTGATGCCGCCGAATTGCGGGGCGGAGCTGTTGCGGCCTTGGGCGCCTGCTGGGCCGCCGGGATATCCAGAGACGGGCGAGGAGGTTTCGAAGCCGTTGAGTTGGGCGGAGGTGTACATTTGCGGTTGTTGGCTGTTGGAGATCTGGGTCTGCGGGCGGTTGGTGTAGCCGTTGGAGATTGGGCGGGAAGAGCGCGAGCCGGGCTGCTCCTTGTGCAGGGCATACGAGTCGACGAAGGTGCGGTGGCGCGCGGCTGGCTGGGAGCCGTAGTAGAAGATCCACACAATCTGCGCGTGTCAGCAACATGCCTTCTGGGACCGGGACTGGGACTGGGGCTGGGGCTGGGGCTGGGGCTGGGGCTGGGGCTGGGGCTGGGGCTGGGACTGGGGGAAAGAGCGTACTGCGATCATGGAGAGCAGGATGTAGCCGGCAGCTGCCGCCTCGAAGGGAGCGACTGGCGAGTAGACCAGCGAGTTGACCGAGGAAGTGGTGAAGACGAGCCCAGCGGCAAGGAAGCCCACGATCTGTGCAGGTTAGCAGGTGCACTCGGGCCAGCACGGTGACTGCACGTACTGCAACATGGTAGGTCCTCTCCGCATCCGAGGCGACGGTGACGGTGACGCCGACGATGCAGAAGAACATGAACACCAGCGTCCACCACGCGAAGTTGGGGAAGCCGCCGCGAAGGGCGGATATTATGCTGGCGACAAAGGCGATGACCCAGGCGAGCTGCCACACGGTTAGCACTCAGCCGCGCTGCACACGACACCCCGCACTCACAATACCGATGGAGATGGTCGCTAGCGCGAAGGGATCGCCGATGATGCGGCCAACACTGAACGAGGAGGCACGCTGGCTGTTGTAGCCGTTGCCGTAGCCTGATTCCATTTTCAGAGAGGGCGAGCCGGTGGAGCCGTACGAGGGCATGTAGCGGAGCAGGGCGGGCGTGAGATTAAGGGATGCGAGGCACGGGCGACGGCGGTGGGAATAATGAGTGAGCGTGGTGGTCGGCGTGCGTGACAGTGGTCGAGAGAGCGGCGGCGGTGTCGAGCGTCAGTCCAGCTAAGGTCGATGTCCGGCAACGGTTCAGGCCCGGGCGAGGGGGAGGGTGGCTGCTATGTACGGTACACGAACACAAGTGCGCGGCGCGATACGGCGCTGCGGCTATCACGGGCGGGCTGCGGCACGGACGTCCAGAGCCAGGTACTAGTCCAGGATGCAGAAGTGCGGCGGCGGCGGCTGCAGAGTCGGTGAGGCGTCGAGGGCTGCGTGGGTGTCGAGGGCCGTGGGAGTGCTGCGCTGGGAGAGGAACAGAGTGCAGCACAGCAGTTAGGTTTCAGGATGGGCCAAGGTGCGGCGGGCGATTGGTCTCTTTTGGATGCAGGTAGGGCTGGGGGAGGGCCCACTCAACAACGCCCGCTTGGAGATTAGCTGGGCCTGTCCAACGGTCTAGAAAGACGCGCGTGTTAAATTTGGGGTTGGCGATGCGCCTGCACGACGTTGGTCAGCCAACAACAGATTCTGTTCCAACAAAAAATCGCTGTCCGCCGAGTCGAACACAGCAGTGACTGTAGCTACGTGAAGGCACTCATCCTGAAAGTCGGGCACTTGTCGCATGTCAGACCAGACCCTCCACATCCCTTTCCCACAGCATGAATCCTGGAACACCTCACGGCTGTCAACCACTCAACATCAACCACTCAACGTCAGTCACTCAACATCAGTCACTCAACATCGACCGCACGCACACAGATCCTCGGCTTCTTGCACACCACACTCAGCAATCCCATCCGGCACCACAGGCACTGCAGGTACGCTGCTGCAGACAGCACGTGTGTCGGTCCGGATGATCATCGGCGCTGGCTACACAACCCTGTATCAGCACGTTTCAGGCCTGACAAGCCTAGTCTGCAACGCTGCTGAAACGCTGCCGGCACGGATACTCTCGCAACCGTCTTCAAAATTGCAAACAAATCTGGAAGTGATGCGGGAATTGAGGTCACGATACCGTCATTTCGAGGTGTCCATGTGTGAAGGTGTGCACTTTTGATACTGTCTGGTCTTGCTTATGTTACGGTCCACCAATGCGGTGGGCTGTGTGAGAAACAGAACGCTTCAGGCGCCCACGGAACGACCGCTATGGCCGCGGGAGTGCTGGTGTATGGACGTCACAGCCCGCTGTCACTATGCTGCAGTGCTGGGTGCAGGTCTGCCGAGATCAAAGGTCGATGTTGCATATGCAGGACCGTCGACTCTTACAACCAGCTCTTCGAGCCGACGGGAACTGACTCTTCTTCGTCTTCGATGGTATACGTCAAGTACCTGTTGATTGTCAGAAGGTTTGATGAGGATAGGTTTTGCGCGACTCACCAATCGCTCCACAAAGCTCCTCGCTGTGCGCGTCGCTGGGTATGCATGTCTTGTGAAGAACTCTACGCTCTGTGCCGCGGGTATCACTGTGTTGCGCTCATCGTACTCGCCATCCTCTATGCACCGTCCTCACAGCTCACTCTCGCCCTCTGCACTCTCACTGCCCCCCCTCTCAGGCCGTCTCCTGACCTCCTCCCGCTGCAACGCCCGGTAGCGCTTCACAAGCCTCTCCTGATAGCCCGCCCAGACCTTGCCTGCCGCAGCCCAGTGCACCTGCTTGTCTCTCTGCACCAACAGCCCGCTTCGTCTCCGGAGCTCGGCAATCTTCAATGCCTGCTGCAGATGCCGCTGCTCTGCTTCTGCGATGCGTGGGCGTAGCTTGGCGAGCTTGGCGAAGCCGTCGGTGGTGGGAATTTGCTGGTCGTCGAGGGCTCTGAGCTGCGAGGCCGTGGTCGCGAAGGAGGTCGCGCGCTCAACTACAAGGACCGACTTTTGAGAGGCGGAGAGGGGATTGGGATCTTCTGTAGTGGAGGGCTCCGGGGTGAGGACGTCTTTGTGTTTGGTCACTGCTGCAATCAGCCCATCTGACTACGGCTTGAATCCTATCGTGCCCTACACAGCTCGTTCACACTGTCCAGCAGCGCCGTCTTGCCCGCCAGCTGCTGCAGCGACTGCTCGATGCTGTGGATGCGGTCGGGTACCGTCTGTGGCTTCTCCTCGCCCTGCTTCTTTGGCCCGCTCAGCAGGTACTCCAATCGCTCCAGCCGCGACTCCAGCAGTGCATACGTGAACAGCACCGCTTCGTCATACTCGTCCATGGTGTGCGTGGGTGTGCTGCCTCAGTCGGGCATGTGAACGCGGACGCGTGGCCTTGACAGCGCGGAACCCGGGCGCGTGTGGCCCACTTGGCTCCGGCCATCGTCCCGAGAGCTCAACGTCAGCGAGACCGGGGATTGTGACATCGCCGTCGCTTGCCGTTGCAGTCACCTATCTACACATCGCATTGCGCTCTCTGTGGTTGCTCTGCCGCCTACCGCATGGTTGTGCGACGACGGGCGCAGTATTTACGGAGAGCATGGCCAACTACTCGGCGATCGCATCCGAGCCACACGACCACGACCCCATGTCCGCGAGCGCTGGGTCGCTGCCAGGGAGACGGTGGGTTCGCAGTAGCTTTGGAGGTCGACGCTGGCTAACGGATGCAGGCGTGGGCGGGGAAAGAAACATGTAGGACACCAGGGGCAGGCGTCATGGATATCCAGCGTTATCAACCTGGCCAACACCAGTACGAATATCTAACAGCCCCGATAAGCCTCACGACGTTGACAGCGGACAGTCCTCGGTGCGGGCCTCCTCGCCATGCCCTCTGCCCTCTCGAAGATGGGCATCTTCCTCGGCATCTTCGTTATCGCGTGGGCGGGCTTCACAGCAGGCTTCGGCCTCTACCTTCAGACTCGGTGTGCGCGATACATTGACCGTGGACATGTGTCTTTCGCAGCGCTTTCACAGCTTACGTACCCGAATGCCTCCATTCTCTTCGACGCGGCGATTGCGATCAAGTGCTTTGGCGTGGCAGTGAGCTATCTGATCATCATCGGCGACTTGATGCCAGGCGTCGTCGTTGGCTTCGTACCCAGTGCTGAGGATGTTGCCTTCCTGGTAGACAGGCAGTTCTGGATCACGGCATTCATGTAGGAGCACTCGCCTGTCCTTCTGTCTTTCTCATATAGGAGCTAACACCGCCAGGCTCATCGTCATCCCCCTCTCCTTCCTCCGCCGCCTCGACTCGCTCAAATACACCTCTGTAATCGCCCTCTTCTCCATCGCCTACCTCGTCATCCTCGTTGTAGCCCACTACATCAAAGGCGACACCATCGCCTCGCGTGGCACAGTTCGAGTCTTCGAATGGGCTGGCTCCGTCAGCGCCCTCGCCGCCTTCCCCGTCATCGTCTTCGCATACACATGCCACCAGAACATGTTCTCCATCCTCAACGAAATCGCAAACAACTCACACTTCCGTACCACCACCGTCATCTTTGCCTCCATCGGCGGCGCCTGCGCGCTCTACATCCTCACCGGCATCACTGGCTACCTGAGCTACGGCGACAACATCAGAGGCAACATTGTATCCATGTACCCCACCGCCGCCGCAGCAACAATCGGCCGCTTCGCTATCGTCATCCTGGTTATGTTCTCGTACCCGCTGCAAATCCACCCGTGCCGCGCCAGTATCGACGCATGCGCAAAATGGCGCCCTCGCCGTCGCTCCCCCTCGAGCCGCGAAGGCAGTCCAACACGGCACTCGCTCGTCGGCAACGAAGCCGCAAAGCCCACGGCTGAGATGAGCGACATGCGCTTCGCCGTCGTGACCACCATCCTCATCGTTATGTCTTTCATCACCGCTATGACAGTGAGCAGTCTCTCGCTCGTGCTGGCGTATGTTGGTTCAACGGGCAGCACAACCATCTCGTTCATATTACCTGGGCTCTTCTACTACAAGATCTCGGACCCGGATTCACCGCACCACCAGCGCCTCGTCAAAGACGAAGACGACGAGAACGAGTTTGCGTCTGGAGTGGAGGGCGGTGCGAGTAGAGAGGGGAACGAGAATCGCGATTGGCGTCGTGGGCTGCTGCGCAATGCTGCTCTTGGTCTTGCAGTTTATGGATTGCTTGTCATGGTCACTTGTTTGGGGATCAACATCGTTTTTGGCGCGAGCGGGCATTGAGTTTCTGCGTGCCACGTATGGCAGACGGAGCCATTTGGCATTTGGATATTAGCGGGTGTTTAGGGTAGAGGCTTTTTTTTTTGAATACGCATAAGGCATGAAGGGAGCATGTTGGGGCGAACGGGTGCGACAGTAGCGTTTCTTTACCCACGGGCGTATCGTATAAGTGCAGTTGGTTGACATAGCTAATAAAGCTGTTGTGTGAGCCTAAGCACGCTAGAGCAACTGTTCTTCTATCTACTCCAGGTTACGCTACCTTTTGGACAGTGAAAGAGTGGGAAGTCATTCCTGTAACAACTCCTACCGTGTTAAAGATCGACGGGAGTATGCCAGCTCTGTAAGTTGCTTCTCATGTCCTCCGTTCCAACCTCCAGTTGTGTCAATACCTTCAGGCGCTATGCACATACCCCCATGCGTTCTGGTGGGCTAGCGCGTCGGCCCCGCCGCTAGAAAGCTGGACATGCCGATGCATCTTGAGAACGCGTTTTTGGGCCCTGCCGCTCAGTTGGCAAGCGCATACTAGCTGCTGCCGTTGCGTCCCTCCTACCCGCAAACCTCGCACCGCCAGATGATGCTTTCTCAGCCTCGCTGCCGTGTTCGCTGCAACCGACACTCGATGGTAGCCTGGCTTTACCGCCCAAGAAGCTTGTTTTCAATCTCCTTTGTGGCAGGTTCGCTAGTTTGATGGATTTCTGGCAGGATTCTGCGCGCTACATTGCACTACACTCAAGCGCATTTATGTAACAACATCACTTGCGCATGTACTCCAGACTCCAATCCTGACGTCTTTAGTCGGTCCGCTAGGTGTTGGTCTCGCTTCTACAGTCCCTTTTGTCCTGAACCATGAAGATGCGAGCACACAGACTGGCTAATCGATCCTACACTTACTTGAACTTACGAGCACTCATCACCAGACCCTTTTCTCACCGACCTGTCAGAAAAGCTCACCGGTAGTCAGTGTTGGAGAAACGGGTTGGGGAGCGAAGATCTTGTGGTGGAAGTGCTACGGTAGTGGTTCTCCCCTTTGGTTCGTAGTAGCCAGGATGTTATGGCTAAATTGCTGAAGGTAGTGTTGGGAACGATTTCGGCTGTTGGTAGATACAAAGGAGGCAGAGGTCTGAACTGTAGAGCAGAAGAACAGGTAAGAGGTTGTTGGTCGTTGGTGTGGGGAATGACGTTGCTGATGTGCTGGCTTGAGGGTGTGAGGGTGTCGAGTTAGTATCGCAGTCGCATCGTCATCAGGATCGGGGTAGCGGTAGTTCAACTGCAAGGCCATAATGAATATGAGCGGCGGCGCACGTATGAGAGATTCTCCACGCCACTGGCCTCCCAAATTGACGTTTATCAGGTTCTGCCACCGTTGCGAACAGAACTACTATTCAGTCGTACTTCGGATAGACTTCAACTGCAACTTTTTAGGCGACATGTCGAGGCGTCGTACCTACAACGAGTGTGGCTGTGGTCAAAAAGGCTTCCGCAACGATTACAATCGCCGCCGCGCCCGACTTGCTTGACTGGACGAGCTCGAGAACTGGAGGAAGGAGATGTGTGGATGGACGGGATAGGGAGGAGTTAGGAGAGTTACAGTAGTGCTAGGGCTGAGTGCATTCAAGATCTACAATCGACTACATTGAAACATCGTCGCATGCTTTCTTGCCAAGTTGTGTAAACGTCTTTCGATTCTGCAAGTATGAAGTTTGCAGAGTGTAACACCTGACTAGTTCTAGGATCATTCAGTAACGCTCAAGACCCTGCTGTTTGGTTGCTTAACGATTTTGCTTTGGGCCTTTTTTTGTAAAAAATGAAAACACCATGTGATGTTGACCGGCCATTAGATCAGCCAACATTGACGGCTTTCTATCTAAGAACGACCTGAATATCCATCGAAACATTGCTAAAGCCTTTAGCGTCGCTACTTGAGTCTTACAAGTCTCCCTCAACTATTTTTAATGATGTCGTTATTCCGGTTTGCCTCCTCAGACTCAACATCAGAGTCATAGGTCCAGGTATCGTCATGAGAATTATACTCCTCGGTAGAGTCTTCCAAGCTCTCGGGATGTAATTCATTCTGTGTAACTCGCGTTCCAGCGACTTTGACCGTCAGCTGACATCATTTTGATTTGATTGAAGACTGACCAGGTAGTGTTTCTCTGAATGTTGACATGTCGAACATTGATACTGCAGCAGGAGCGGGAGGAGAAGTGGGAGCAAGGCTCAAAGCCTTCTTCTCTCTGAATCGGTTGAATGCTGGCATGATTACATCTTCATACCAATTCTCTTCTGAAGTTAGCTCGGCCCAGTCCCATCTGTCTACAACCTCTTCTGCAGTCACTTCCCACAAACAGACATAGTGGTCCATGTAGTATTCATTTCCCTTTCCGTAGGGATCTAGAATACAATGGTAGTCCATCTCAGCAGTGACATCGAGGACTGGTAGACCGTTTCTGAGTCGGCTGCTTGGATCGACGACGGTGAGAGTTTGTGGTCCTCTGCGTTGGATTCTCATGTCTGCGAGTCTCGCCACCGCATCTGCCGATGTAGTAAAGGAGATATAAGGTGTCGGCTTCGCCCAATTTCTGTGATCGAGATGAGCAGCAAGTGATTCTCTTCGTGCTTCTTTTGTGTCGAGTGGCATGTCTGGCGCTCTTGACAGCATCCTTGAATCCTTGTCCGGCTGGCTTCCAGACCAACTGTCCCAAATCCGCAGGAGGGGACGGTCAAGCTGTTGTGACTTGTTGACTGCCCACGGGTGCATTTCCTCCTCAATCCTGATAAAAGGGTTGAGCAACGTTGGCTTCAAAAGCCGCGACACCTTCTGGCGTGTGAGCACTTCAGCGGCCCCACTATCGACTCGATCGTGAGAGATCATGATTCGTCCAACACGCAATTCTCTGCTTCAAGTCAACTCGTTGTTGATGTGTGCCTGGACTCGACAAGTATCGGAACTCATGCGCTTGGCAAGTAAATGAAAAATTGTGGAAGGGTTGAGATGGTTGAATTGATTGGTCTGTCCGTGAGCTATGGCGAGGATCGATCGGGACTATATAGTAGAAGGGAATAGCTGTGAATGGATGGGAACTATACTGAACTAAACAAATGAGCTGAACAATCAGTGCAGCGGATCGCTGGCAAACACTGCAACGAACCGCTGGCAAACACTGCAACGGACCGCTGGCAAACACTGCAACGGACCGCTGGCAAACACTGCAACGGACCGCTGGCAAACAAAAATAGATGTCCGCGAAAACTTGCAACGGACCGCTGGCGTGCGTATCGGCTGCTATCTGTCTCAGGTCAGGAATGCGGAACGTGGCCTGCATTATAATCTGGATCCAGCTCGGATCGATCGAGATGCGCTATGGGTGCTCTTCAGAACACCATCGACATCATGTGATTTACAGTGCCCGAGCTTATGGGTTGTTTGCAAAACACCGGCCTCACCCCGTGACTTAGCGCGGAAAGGTGGGGATATGACGTTAGATCTGATCTGTTAGTAAATCATAGTACAAACAATATCCAACCCACATTCTGCACCTGCAAAGAAGCTTAGATAGCTCGAATCAGCATCTTGTGATAGTTCTCTGGTGTTGTGCTTTCAATGGGATCCAAATCAAAGCGGAAGAACGTGCCTCTATCGAGCAGCGAGCCTGTCAAGTCTGCCAAACGTCAGCGGAAAGCCACTTGGCCATTCAATCAAGGTGTCAATCCTGCACCTCCTACTCTGCCACCAACAGTACGGCGCCCCATATGCTCACAAGAGCCAACTCTGCCACATAATCAAGGTACGCCAAGCCCGCTGTTCATGGCGGAAGATGAGGACCTGGTGGAGGATGAGGCAGCCAACGCTGGGTTAGACGATGATAACAACAACGGCGAGATGGACGAGCAGGTAGAGAATGTGTTAGCTGCCTCTCAGGCTATGGAGGAGCCAGTTACTGCAGACTCACCTGGGGCTGCTACTGCTGCATCAGTGACTCAACCGAGCCAGCCACAGCGTCCAGAGTCGCAAGTTGAACAAATAGATGAGGAGCCACACCTGCACTGGAATTATCACGCCTGGTGGATGTCACTAGGGAAGAATCCAATACCTTCAGCAGCTGTTTCTAGGTGTAAGAAGCCGCTGTACACAGTGAATGAGGACAAAGTGTGGCAATGGGCGGATGGTGTTGTAGATACGCAGCGGCCATGGGCAGCAATAATCGACAGCTTAACGGCAACGCTGTACTATACTAGTGGCAGCCGCCAAGCCAAAGCTGATAGATGTACTATTGCACTGCAAAGAAGCCGTAGTGTTGCTGGACAGCGTGTTGAAAGAGGCAATTGGTTTGACTTTGAAGAAGAGCTTGCAGAAATGGAGAAAGAGAGCGGACAAGTAATGACTTGTGATTTTGATCTGGTGTTAAAGGAGCTGCCGGCTACTCAGCCAGCTACTCAGACTCAGCAAGCATCTCAGCTGGCGCGAGGCACTGCTTGCGCGCGTCCAGGCATTGTTACTGCAATCATGGAGGATGGACTTGCTGAGGTTGTCACCAACAAGCGCTTTGCAACAGGCTATGCTATCGGTATAAGAGACTATTAGAGGTGTCAAGGTGAACATTGCAAGAACAACCCAGGTGTCTGTTGGATTTGCCGACCAGAAGGTTGTCAAATTGACCGAGAGAGTGATCATTATCCTCTCAATGGCAACCTCATTGCAAACTGGGCGTGTGCAATTACACGGGAGGAGTGTACTGTTGAAGCGCCCTCAGATGACATTCATCTCCAGATTTGCATGGCAAAGGAGCGCAGTGAGAGAGAGAATAAGCAGAGGCAATGAAGAGCGTCACCAACATCATCAAACTCCAGCATTGAGAACCTTACCAAAGCAATACTCGTCAGTCATCTTGCTCAGTTAAAACAGCCACAGCAGCGGTGCCAACAGTGGTATCAACAACCAGAGCATGAGCATCAACAGCAGAAGCAAGTATGATGAGACTTCAACTGTACTTATCACGAGCTGGAGCAGCATACTCATAACTTCTTCAGCTACTAGATCGCTTCGTCTCTACACCATGCTGAGAGAATTAGAGAGATTAAGAAGACTGTCTTTACAACACATCAGTACAACATCAACATGCTAATGGATGAGCAGGATGGCATGTCGCTCTCAACTTGGATTACTCACTTTAACCAAGCGCCTGTGATGCACTCACATATGCGGAGGAAGGCGCACAATTGGAGAAGAGACTATGCTGGTTTGACATCAACAAATGGTCAGATTATCCAAGAGTGCGAGAAGGATGATGAAGCAAGCGGGAGTCCTTCAGAGGAGCAAGAGCAGCAGCTACAAGAGCAACAGGCAGCAACAGAGCAGGTACCGTTGGGTGAAGTTAGTGGGAACTGATGTCTTGTTGTTACGATGAAGGAGCAACTCGCAAAACAATACTGAACAAACAGGACTACAAGACGAGACAAGAGGAGTCAAGGAACTGCAAGACAAGCGACCCGAGTAGCTAAGCTAGAAGGCACGCTCGTCAACAAGCAAGTCACCTGAGCCTCACTGCTTGTCAGTGTGCTTGTCACGAGCATGATACACGTGAGCACTTGTCAACGAGCATAGTCAGTGGGAAGTTTATAGCCAGTGGACACGCTGTCCTTATGGCATTGTGTTCAACCTTGTCAATCAACTTTGTTATTGGAATCTCAACCCTCAGCTTCCAAGCCAGACAGTATGCTCTGTACTACTCGTTGCTATCTGTCATCATGGTCTTTGACTAGACAACTACCTGTTGAAGTTGTACTTTAAGCAAAGCTCGTAAGCACTATTTGATTGGTTCTCAAGGATGAACTCTGGTTCTGGAACAGTAGGGGTAAGTCGCCTGGGTGAAACACCTAACGACGGCTTGGGGTAACGATGAGTAGTACAGGCAATCTGTCTAGCTCAAAGGTTGGTTGAGATCCAATGACAAACTTAAATGACGAGGTTGAACACAAACCATAAGGGTTGTGTTCCTACACATATATATACAGTCCACCAGATCTGCTTGTTGACAAGCAGAGTTGGTCCTGGCCAATCCGGATGGATTGCGGTTTGTCAACGAGCTCCGTCACATGGGTCAGCTCGGTTGAGAGCAATCCCATAGGCGCTGGCCGGGTGGCCTTGTCTTGCTACGCCTTCCCCCAGGCTTCCGTGTTTGGTTGGTGGTTACTTATTGCCCGTCGTCCTATCGTGGGACGTAGGATTGTAACACTACCCTCTGACTATTACAAAGGCTATTACAGCCTGAGCAATAGCCAAACCTCTATCACTCCGAGCTCCGCTTAAGTGATAACCCCTGACTGCTTTCTGTACCTCTGCCCATCCCAAGAACCAATCGAATAGTGCCTACGAGCTTTGCTTAAGACACAACTTCCACATTTGTCATCTCAGCTACACTCTTCATCTACACTCACATACCCGCACCTTCTATACCAGCTTCTGCAGTTAGTCTCATAACAATTATTCAGTACTGCAAGCTCTAAGAAGAAGCAAAAGTCAAGCCACTCCTCCTGCTGTTGATAGTTGTGAGAGGGGGCCAGCTGGGGATACCAACTGCTCTCTGAGATGGAAGGATTGGTGGAAGGATGGTTCAGGCTTGTTGGAGATAAGGGTGTAGAGGAGACCAAGTGTGGGGATACCACAAGTGGTAAAAAGGATAAGTGATAAAGAAGGGATCAAGTGTGGGAATACCACAAAGGATCAGTGAGGAGTGAGTTGAGGAAGGAGTTGTTGAGGTGAATTGAAGGAGTGGATTGAGTTTTGAAATTGCAAGCATGAGTTATCTGAGCAGGAGGGCAGGCTGCCTTTATAGACAGACTGCTGGCTCCTGGAATGTTCTATATACCTTGGCATTTGTAATCATTTGTAATCATTTGTCAGCAACCAGAAGATTCTGTGTTGTTCTATGGGATTCCATGATGTTCCATGAGGTTCCATGGGATTCCATGATGTTCCATGATGTTCCATGAGGTTCCATGAGGTTCCATGAGGTTCCATGGGATTCTATGAGGTTCCATGGGATTCCATGAGGTTCCATGAGGTTCCATGAGGTTCCATGAGGTTCCATGAGGTTCCATGAGGTGTGACTGGGTGGATTATTATTGGCTGCAAGCCATGTCAGGATGACAATAGTGCTGCTTCATCCAACTTTTCAACACCTTGAAGGTCTTCTCAATAGGATTGTAGTCAGGTGAGTATGGCAAGAGGTACTCTAATTGGATGCCAAAGTCTCTGCAAAGCTGTACAATTGCTGGCAGTTGGTGGATAGATGCGTTATCCATAAGCAGTACATGGTACCCAGATGTGAGTTGTGGCAGCACATCTTCCTGCAGAAACTCCTCCATCAGTACAGCAGTGATAGCACCTTTAAAGACCTGGTGCACAAGGTAACCATCCACTGTCATTGCCGGCAGCAGACTCCATCATTTTGACTGTTTCATAGAGAAACTCAGCAACACTGACTTGCCAACAGGACCCCAGCCATACTTGCGATCGCCAGTACGCTCATTGCAAGCACTCTCATCCACTGCAACAATCTGCTCTGCTGTGTAGTTCTGCTGAAAGCGGGCTTGGAAGACCCGTTGCAATGGCTCTGACTGCTCTGCTGCCTTCTTTGATGCAACTTTGCAACTCCATCTCATCTTCTTGAGCTTGCAAGACACGGTGGCAATGCTCACAACAATGTCAAACTCTTCCTCTAACCAGTCTCTGATCTCTTCAAGGTATACCTGTGGGCGGCCAGCCAAGTACTTGCGCAGCAGCGTCTGGTGTTGATTCCACAGCAAAGATGGCCGTCCAGTCTTCATGCAAGTTGATATGTACAGCTGACCCCAGTATGCCATATTCAGTTGTTTCTGCCACGTACATTCTCTATCTATGCCTTTTGGGAAGTATATTTGTGTGTTGTTGACTCCGGCTTTGATGCAATCAAGAACTGCCTGCAAAACTTGAGGAGACAGCTTGTGGTGACTGGACTGGGTCATTGCAACAGCTACAACACCAAAGGAATAATTGCAATAGCTTAATTATATGTAAATAAATAGCTTCAACAAACGCTGTACTGTGCAATTGCTCTTGGTTCTCAAAAATCTGATATTTCCATAGTAAAAACGTCTGTGTGTGGAACACCCCGCAAGTCACAGGGTGAGGCCAGTGTTTTGCAAACCATAATAATCTGGTCCTGTGCTCGGGCCCTAACTTCAGAAATCCAAACATGCACCTCAACTGGCTTGACTACCACCTCTACCACCACAACAAAATGAGCTCATTTGGGGCCCAGATTCCAGCAAATTGCATTGCAGGGGCTCAACTTTCAGTCTGCCAGAGGGATAGTATTAGACTGGCAAATGGGTAGGGGTTGGGTTGCACAGACATTGACACAGCCAATAAAGTATGTGATAGCCAGCTGTGATAAAAGGCTCTGATTGGCGATACCCTAGCTGGATCTGACATAATACAACCCAACCCCTACCCACACTAGAGCAACCCTGACCCAACCTCTACCCACGCTAGAGCTTTGGACATCTTCCCTACCTACCTGCGTCATTACATTATACAGAAAAACTCGTCCCAGCTGGTGACAGCCTCTAAATAATATTGCAACTTGTTTGTTCAGATTACATCCAAGACCCAAATGATTTGAACTCCCTTTGGACTTGACTCTTGACCACACCATTATATCATTCATTCACTATAAGTTAGGATACCCAAGATCTCCTAATGACCAAAGTCCTTTGGGTTTGGAACTTTGACTATTGTATCAAGATTACCTTTGGAAAAGTTGTGTCAGATTGTTCCAGGGTAGAGACTTGGAAACTACCAAGAACCCACCCAAATTGGACCCAATACTAATATTGGGCTCTATTACAACTGATTCAAAGGAACCTACAAGACAATCAGGCCAGATGCAAAGCACAACCACAAGGGTATCTGCAGAATCAGCTGATTGTAAACCCTCCCCAGACCCTGCAGACTCTCAAAGCCATACCAATTCAGAGCTAGACCAGGAACAACTCTCCACAAAAATTGCACAACTTCAAGCCAAAGTTGCAAGACTAAGGGTTGGCCCTGGTCACACAGCATATGTGCCGGACCAACCCCTGCCAACAACTGAAACACCACCAACCCACTCTCAACAACCTGCAGAAACCAGGTTCCTGTCTGAAACCCCTTTGTACCCTACCAAATGCCAAAAGTTATCAGAGCGTACACCCAATATCAATGTCTTAGACAATGGAAGCAATCCAACCTTTAGGCAATGGCAAGCTTCTTTTCTGGATTGATTGGAAATCATTGTGGATCACAATCAGAGTGAATGCACACGTATTGCTTTGGTATGGGGACACACAACTGGCTTAGCCAAGGAGTACCTTGAACCCCAATACCTATTCAAAAGTGATCAGGAACGCTTCAGAAATGCAGAAGTCATGATTACTCTACTCAAGTCATATTTCTGTTATGATCAAAGGGCAATCCGCAACAACACTGAACAAACAGGACTACGCAATGATACGAGAGGAGCCGAGGAACTGTAGTATTGATTGACCCAAGAAGTGAGGCCGCGTTGGTGATACTCAGTATGATCATCACTCTCAGTTGAGCAACTTGAGCGACTCAAGCAGTGAGGCCGCGTTGGCAATACTCAGTATGATCACCAATCTTGGTCAAGCAACTCAAGCAGTTAGGCTGCGTCAGTATACTTGGTACAAGCAGTATACTCAATACCGAGCAATCTGAGCAAATCCTCCTGCTAAAGTATATAACAAGTAGACAAGCAGCCCTTATGGCATTGTGTTCAACTGCATCAATCAACTTTATTATTGGAATCTCACTTGCTCTTGAGCCAGACAGTATACTCTGTACTACTCATTGCAACCAGTTGTCACGGTCTTTGACTAGACAACTACTGCCTTGCCTGGATAATCTATCCCTGACCACCTGAGCCTTGATTAGGTGACCGTCAATCCCTACGGCTTTCTGTACCTCTGCTCATCCTGAGAACCAATTGACTAGTGTCTACAAACTTTGCTTAAGGCACAAATCTGTGAGAGGGGGCCAGCTAGGGATACCAACTGCTCTCTGAGATGGAAGGATTGGTGGAAGGATGGTTCAGGCTTGTTGGAGATAAGGGTGTAGAG